TTATTAATTACTTTTTTATTATATATAAATAAGTTATAAATATATTATTTGAGTTCTAATATATTTTCTTTATTTCTAAAAGAAATTAATATTATTATTCTATTATTAAAATTATTTAGACCCGAGTAGAAAAGCCTGAAATAATACTTTAAAACTTATAAAACTTTCTATTAATAATTCTTTCTCTAATAATTAGAAATATTAGCCTTATCTAAATTCATTTTTCTCTTTTTAAAGTTTACTATAAATAGCAAATTCTATTAAAACTAGTAGCCGGAATTATTATTTACTAAATTCAAATTAACTAGCTTATTTAAATATTAATAAGTAATAATATATTAAGTTATTATATTAAAAAGATTACTTTTATTAATTCTAAAAAACAAGTCTTTAAAATTATTATAAGATATAAATTCAGTTATATTTCGAATTAGGCCCTATATTACTAAAAAAAAATATAATATTTAAAAATTATTAATAATATTATATAATATAAACCTGAATTTGGGCTTAAATAAATATTCTTCTTTTTTACTATTTATATTAAATATATATTCGAATAAAATAATCTTTATTTCTATTATAAAAACTTATATATTCTTATATATTTCCTTATTATTAATAGAAATAGAAATATAGCCCAGATTTATTTATATTATATTATAATATTTTTATTTATAACTAATAATAATAGTTGCCTCTATTAGAATAAGAATATTTAGGCCTATAATTATTAATATTAGTAACTAATTAATTATATAAACCTCTTTTTCTAATAATATTAAATAGCTAATTATATCTGGAAATTGAAATTTATATCTAATAAATTCCGAGATTACAAGTCTATTATTAATATTTATTAAATAAATAATACTATTACAGATATATTACGTATACGAATAGTTATATAATATATACTATACTTTTATATAATATAATAGCTAATAAGGCTTCTAATCTTATTATTATATCTTTTAGTCTAATTACTTATATAATAAAGCTATTTCCCTATATATATATCTATTAGTCTAAATAACTCGTAATAAATATAACCTTTAGATATTTTCTATAATAAAATATTAGAGAAATATACCTTATATATAGCTCGAGTTATTAATAAAATAGAGAAATATAAATCTATTTTAATATAAACTTAACTAGTATTAAACTAGTATATTACTATTACTAGCTAATAGGCTTAAAAGTTTAAACCCGGAATAAAAACTTTATATATATTACTATAAGACTTTATTTCTATATTATTAATAAGAAATAAAACTATTTTAATTATATTAGAGCCTATATATTTATTAATTATTACTAAAGAAATATATCTATTAAAGCTATTATCTTATATATTATTTAGTAAAAAAGACTAGTTTAATTTATTATTTTCTATATCTTTTACTATTATCTAATATTTAGCTCTATTTATATCTTTTATAAATACTTTATATTTATATTACAAAAAGTAGAATTATTTCTGTAATTAATTTATTATATAATATATATCTTTTAGTTTTATTTTTATTTATAATAATTTATATATTTCTTAATCTAAAATTACTATAGAAAAATAAATTATAAATATAGCCTTATTATTAATTAGTAAGAAAATAATAAAATAAGTTTATTTATTTAATAGATATTTATTAAAAAGTAATAGAATTATAACTAATAAAAATTCGAGAAATAGAATTAAAGTAATAGAAGCTAAAACAAATAATTAATTAATAATATTTATAATAATAAATACTATTTTAAGTATTAGTAAAATTATTAAAAGAATATTTAATATTTATTATTAAATTATAATTACTAATTAATAATTCGAAATACTATTTCCTGGTTATTAAAAATTATATTAGCTTTTATAATAATTATTAAATAATTCTATTATTTAATATATAATATATAACTATTTATCTATTATTTATTTCTTATTATTCTTACTAGTACTTTTAAACTTTATATTATAATCTATAAAAAAAGCTTTTATTTCAAACTATTAGCCCTTTATTAGTACTAGATAATTAGAATATTTAAAGTCTAGATATTAATCTTTATAATATTAATAAAAACATTTTAAGGCAGATAATTTATTTTAGTAAGCTTTATTATAGGGAACTATTATCTTTTTCTTATTATTTGAAATATTACTAAGTTTCTTTTAAATAAAACCAATATTAAATATATAACTAAAAGCTTCTATAATTTGTTTTGCTTTATTCTTTATTAGAATAGGCTTATAAAAATAAAAGATACCTTAATTAAAATTCTGAATTTTACTATATTATTCGAATAAATTTAATACTAGTAACCAGAAATAATTTGTTTTAATTAGCTTCTTTATTACAAATTCCTTATTATAAAGGCATATATAAAAGACTTTAAGGCAGTTTCGGCTATAAGAAAGATTAATAAATATTATAAAAATAAGATTAAGGCCTTTCTAGATCTTTTCTATTATTTTTTCTTTATTAAAAATTAGTATATCTTTTAAAAGGCTAATTTTCTTTATAAAATATATTCTAATATTATTACTAGATAATAGTAAATATATATATTTATTTATTTTCTCTTATATAGAAAAGTAATTAAATATAAATTATAAGCTTAATTACTATATTTATTTAATATTATTCTATTTTATTCTATTTTTAACTAGTACTAATAGTTCTATATATTAAATAATAGAATTCTTTTAAAAGCAGAATAATAAAATAAATAGAACCTATATATTAATATATTTAATAAATAGAGAAATTAAAGTTACTAAGTCTTTTAGATTAAAGAATATAATATTATTAGCTTTTAAGTTTGCCTTTAACCTATATTCTAAAAATATTAGCTTATTTCTAGTAATACCTTTATTTATTTAATAGTTTAGTAATAGGTAATAACTATTAAAGGCTAAATAATAATCTGGAAATTCCTGAGGCTATTAATAAATATCTTAATAAAAGTAGCTATTAAATAAAGGGCCCGAATATCTTATATTTCCGGGAAATTATTTATAGTACTTCTTTTTAATATAAGCCCTTAAATTCGGCTATTACCGGAAGTTATTCTGGAATTTAACTTGTTTTTAGTAATAGTTATTAATATTCGAAATATAAAAACCTTGTTTTTTAATTAAGTATATTATAAAAAGCCTATAGTTATTATTTTTAAAGATCTAAAACCAATTATATATCTTTTCTTTAATAGTTTATAATAGGCTTATAGGGCCGGTATATTATTAAATAATAAATTATAAGAACTTTTTATTATAGAATTCTTATTTAGCCAAATTTATTAAAGTTAAATCAAATTCTTTATAATATATCTCAAGATTCTTTTCTATTATTAATATATAGTATATATTAATTTGTTTTTATTCTTTTATTATAACAGGTTTATTAATCTTGGGCAAGTATAATATTCTAGTATTATTAGCCTTTAGTAACTTTATAAGCAAAATAATATCTCTCTTATATACTTTCTTGAAATACTTAATTCAATTCTCTAAAATAATACTCTTTTATAGCTAATAATATATAGGTCTTATATTTGGTTCTTTTTTCTTATTCTGCTATATAGGGCCAGAATAGTTGCTATTAAGGGGCAAGCAATACTAGAAGCCCTCTGAGGCAAGTATATTAGTTAAAGATACTATTTCTATATCTATAAATAAGAATAAAGGTATAAGACTAGTAATAAATAATAATTATAGTAATAGTTACTTAAAGAAATCCGAGGCTAGTGGGTTATAAGAGCTCGACTAATCGGATTTATTTATAGAAGTTAATAGCAAATATATCTACCTAACTATTAGTAAATACTAGAGATATATAAGAAACAAGTTCCTGATAGAATTATAGAAGCTTTTAATAAAATTACAAAAGGTCTCAATAGAATTATAGAACTAATTAATAGATATAATAGAGTCGGGAAGTATAGTATAGTTACCGACCAAAGTAATGTCTGCAATTACCGGCAAATGCCGAAAACGAATTTAAAAGTTATTTGCTATCGAGAAGAATTAATTTATTACCCTCTACCAAAATGTTTAACCTGAATTTCGATAAAAAAGCGGAAGCGTCTAATAAAAGCGGAAGTATCTGGATAGAGTAAATGGGTAGATGCCGTAGTCTTTCTGTCTTTATTTGATACGATTAACGAGACACACTTCTCCGGCCCGGGGGTTCCGAAAAATCGTTTAAAGCATTACTACCAATCTGTTACGGGAGAGACCTCCCTAATCCTTATAAATGGCGAAAGCCAAGAGAGGGGCAAAAAGATGATCTATTCTTCTATGGGGAGTAGCTAGCTAAGTAGCCCTTCTCTAGCGTCGGCTGCTGACGTAATAGTCAGCCATATCCTTCTATGCCAATCGAGACTCTAAAAACTATAAACTTCAGGATACTCAAGCCATATTGTTTATTAGTAGTCGAGACCTTTAAAAATTTAATGCGAGTCGAGCTGATATTGTTAGACTTGAAGGCGCGAGGATTCAGGAGGTGAATACTTTTTCAGGGGTTGCAGGACCAACAGCGAAGGTGGTCTTTGCCGGCTGCAAGATTATACAAAACCATTGATGACATTTTGGTTCTTTGTAGAAAGGTGAGAAGAGAAGATAACAAGCATCGTGAGGTGTCAAGACAATCGATTTTAGGCTCTGTACCAAAAATCAAGGTCTTATCGCACGTCGTCATATAAGGTTATCACGTGAAGTGGAGTTGCAAACAGACCTTCGTTGCTTGGACGCAAGTCTGTTCGGACTTTAAGAGGGTGGTACAAGCAGGATAGGTGAATGTCGACTTCGTGAACCCCTTTCTTCTTTTTCACTGAGAGCATACCACTTTGGAAAGCTGTTGGTTGGAGGTAAACTTCCGGAGATCACGTGGTAGTGGACGCTAGCCACCCCGCCAAAATTTTGAGTCGGTGCAAGATCGCTGCCTTCCAACATCAACAACGCATCTTTCCATAACCGTCTCGCCACCTCGAAAACGAACACCATGGGTTCCGTCGTACTCCCCCATCTTGTTACCGGCTGGCATGTCGACCAGGCGATCATGTCCGAGGACGAGCGACTGGTCATCATTCGCTTCGGTCGTAATTGGGATCCCGATTGCATGCGGCAAGATGAAGTCCTCTATCGTCAGTATTCCTCTCCCCAGATCTTCTACTCCTGCTAACTTGACAAGGAATCGCCGACCGTGTTAAGAACTTCGCCGTCATCTACGTGTGCGACCTCGACCAAGTTCCCGACTTTAAGCAGATGTATGACTCTATGATCCCGTCACCCTCATGTTTTTCTTCCGCAACAAGCACATGATGTGCGATTTCGGGACCGGCAACAATAACAAGTTGAACTGGGTGCTGGGGGACAAGCAAGAGTTGATTGATATCATCGAGACTATCTACCGTGGAGCGAAGAAGGGTCGCGGTTTGGTTGTCAGTCCGAAGGGTGAGTTGAACTTCTGCCCTCCGTCTGGAACGGAAGGCTGACGATGTGCAGATTACTCCACCAGATACCGATACTAGACAGATGCCTCGGCGGCTGCAGATCGACTTATCAAGTATGTTGACGATACACAGGACTGATGGCAGGGCGTTTACCGGGGCGTCATGGCGGATGGTCAGAGCCTTGAGAAATTATGGAGCCAAAGGGTTGGTCTCACACAATGAATTCTTTTCTTGAACCTGAAGATACTAATGCTGATGAAGAATGTGACGCGGACGATATTGAAAGGTGTGTGGATCTGTGACTTTCTTCCCCACTGGTTACACTTCCTTCCATTCATTACCCCCTTCCAAGGCGATACCCGTGGCCAGATGGCTGGGGCTTGTTGATTTGACTCACGCAATGTGTTGCGTTCTTCTGGTCTACTCTGTCAGATCCAGGATGCCCAACCCTTTGGCTTAAGCTAGCTCGAGCTTGCTATATGACTTTCGGAAAGTCGGTCCAAAGCACTTCCCAGTCGAGAACAAGCTGTCTCGAGGGGAATATCCGTTCGGCAAGCTCCGGTCCTGCAACGAAAGTTTCTGCACGGCTCCTCGTAGCTTTTTTTCTAAAATAAAAAGTAAAAAAAGTTAATGTCTTACTGTTTTGGGAACTCAATGACCAATAACCCAAGGTTCCGAAACGTATCCCCTCGATGTGCAGGATACAATATATAATGTATAAAATCGTACTCAAGGTCCCGGGATCTTGAAGTTAGATTGCGGAGAACCCGTTTTTTATTTTGGTACTTTTTCTATTCAAACAACGGAGGCTTAGGGTCCGCCTTGGATAAATGTTTCTCCAAAGCCCCTGTCTATACCTGTGGCTAGTTAATTACATCACTTTAAATTCCGAATGTCTATCAATCTAGGCTCTACGGTAGGGCTCTTTGCTAGCATGATGATTTGTTCACTATTCGTCGACGGCCCGAGAATCCTGGCTCGCCATGGCAAGACCACTTTCAAAGGATCATATCTTGCCCGAGGGGTAAACTATATACGAGTTAATAGAAAAGCCTTATCCTATGCAATTGATATCGTGACGTGGGTGCCACAATGACGAAGTTCTCGACGCTCTCTTTCATCTCTACGGTGTTTATAGTTTCTGCACTCGCATTGCCATCTCTTTTGCCCGCATCGCCCTCGACCAACCAGCACCCTTCTACCCCATCGGAACTTCCAATGGAACGAATGCAAATGTCTCTAGCGGGTTGTTCGAGATCGATGGGACAGTGGGGTATTTCGCAGGTTTTGGCTCTAAATCCCGGTTGCTGCTATTGCTGAAATTATCCCAGGAAACAACGCGTGGTGGCTGGCACATTTGAGCAACAACTCGGATGTCGACATTGCTCTCAAAGGAGTTGCTGCTGTAAGTTCTCTGATATCTTCAGTCGACAGGTTCTAACATAATGCAGACCGGATACAAAATTCTTCGAGTTTGGGCATTCGGTATGTCAACACCATGCCAAATGCTTCAACACCAGATCCAAGTAAAGTCTACTTCCAGCTCCTGAACACGACCGGGTCATACCTCAACTTCGGCCCTGGTGGGTTAGAAAGACTCCACTACGTTGTATCCGCGGCTGAGAAATTCGGCGTCAAGCTGGTCTCGCCTTTCATAAACAACTGCGGCGGGATGACTGCATATGGTAAGGCATTTGGTAACAATGCTACTACGTTCTACCCGAGTACTGCAGCTCAAACAGCTTACAAAACCTACGTGAAGACAGTCGTCACTCGGTATGCAACATCTTCTGCGACCTTTGCCTGCGAACTTGGCAACGAGCCAAGATGCAGGGACTGCGCCACCTCTGTGGTCACAAATTGGGCAACTGAAAATCTCGCAATATATAAAGAGCACCGACCCCAGGCATAAGGTTACCCTTGGGGACGAAGGTTAGCTTGCCCCAAGTAGTTGGAGCGGAGATGGTTCCTACGCATACAGCGACCGAAATGGCTTTGACTTTGTAGCCAACTTGAACATCAGTACCCTGGACAACGGCGTTTTCCACATATATCCGAATTCTCGGCGATATAATTACACCTGCGGAGTACTGTGGATCCAGGTACACGATGCAATCGGCAAGGTTGCTAGGAAGCCAGTTATTCTAGAGGAATACGGGACGCCTCTCCCGAAGAATCATACTGAGACCGAGGCGCCGTGGCAGGATGCTGTGCTGAAGAGTGGTTTAGCTGCTGATCGGATCTGGCAGTTTGGGAGCTATAGCTTGAGTGTGACTGGTGCGAATCTTGGGACCGTGAACTCGATTTACTCTAACCAGACGGAGAATCAGACTTTGGGTGAGGATCATGCCATGAAAATGCTGAACAAAGGAGTGAATCAGTAGGTAGTATTCCAGTTGAAACGCAATTCCGACGGTTACGGTCAATTGGATATGATATGATATGTTAAACTTCCAACCCAGCAGACATTGAGAGCTGCAAGAAGTATTCGAAATAAAGCATCGCGACGTTCCCCTCCCTGCCCTCCAGTGTCAATAAAACACAGAAAAACCAAGACACAACTTGTACGCCTTGGCATGGCAACACTGCATGGAAGTCAGCCAGCTAGGTTAGCATGCTCTTCGAACTTAGTAGAAGGGAAGGAAAGTCGACTTCGGATCTGTTGTCTGAATAACCAAGGTCCGAGTCACGTGGCACGCCCAGTCGGCTCTCGGTCAATTCTGGAGCCTCGGCATTTCCCCACACTAATCAAGAGCGTCCGGCAACCTCTCGACTTTGGGGGTTCAAAAACCACCACTCCTGTCCGTCACCACCAGCTCTCCTCTACTTTCCCAATCCTTTTCCTAATGGCAGGCGAAAGACTCAGCTCCATCCTCAAGCACATCACTCCCGGCTCGTCGGGGTTGTCTTCAATGTAAGAACGCCTGTATATTATTCTAGCACTGTTAACACTTATTGTCAGCACATCCAAGAATGCGGACGACGTCGTGATTACTCTCGCGATCCGAACCCCACTTACCAAGGCCTTCAAGGGAGGATTTAAAAATACTGAGCTAGATTATCTCGTCTACTCGTTGCTCAAGAAGGTCGTCGAGAAGTCGAGAATCGACCCCCAACTCGTCGAGGACATCTGCTGCGGCAATGTGCGTCTTCCCCAGATCTGCCAATTTCATTTACTAATACCTTGGTGTGCAGGTCTCGGACGGCAAAGGTGCATACAAACTCCGAGCTGCTGCCCTTGCAGCTGGCTTCCCGAACACCACCGCAGCCTCTACCGTAAACCGATTCTGCTCCTCCGGTCTCAAAGCTACACAAGACATCGCCAACCAGATTGCCTCTGGTAGCATCGAGATTGGCGTTGCAATGGGTGCAGAAATTATGTCCGTTGGTGGCGATCGTCTCGAGAAGCCCTTCCATCCCGAAATCCTCCAGAACCAAGAATCCGCAGACTGCATGCAGCCGATGGGCCAGACATCCGAGAACGTGGGCAACGACTTTAATATCTCAAGGGAGAAGCAGGATCGATATGCCGCGGAGAGTTACCACCGTGCGGAAGTAGCACAAAAGGCTGGCTGGTTTGACGACGAGATTGTCCCCATTGTTGCCGAGGTTAAGGATCCGAAGACTGGGGAAGTGAAGAAAGTGACTTTGACCAAAGATGATGGGCCACGATGGGGTACTACGTTCGAGGGTTTGAGCAAGATCCGTCCTGCATTCCCTGATTTTGGCGACAAGTCGACTGGAGGCAACTCTTCTCAAGTTACTGATGGTGGTATGTTTTTACCTTGCTCAAGACTGAATGCTCGCTAACGTCCCGCAGCTGCCGCGGTTCTTTTGATGAAACGATCCAAGGCCATTCAACTTGGTCAACCAATTCTCGCCAAGTACGTTGGTGCCACCGTTGCCGGTCTTGCACCGCGCATCATGGGAATTGGCCCTTCTATCGCCATTCCCAAACTCCTTACAAAGTTCAACATCACAGTCAACGACTGCGACGTTATTGAAGTCAACGAGGCATTTGCTTCCATGGCTGTTTACTGCAAGGATGTTTTGAAGTTGCCATATGAGAAGATGAATCCCCGTGGTGGAGCCATTGCTCTTGGTCATCCGCTGGGTGCTACGGGCGCGAGACAGATTGTCACGGGTTTGAGTGAGTGCAGGAGGCAGAAGAAGAAAATTTTGTTGACAAGTATGTGTATTGGTACTGGGCAGGGAATGGCGGGGCTGTTTGTTAATGAGCAGTTGTGATTGATGAGTGTTGGGATGGTACAACAAATTTAAAATTTGAATTTATACTTCAAACGTTTTCGATCCACCTTTTTATGTATAGTTGTTCCAGCAACTGCTGCACTTCCGCAACTCGAAATTTACACAAGCTCAGGAATGGTATCGTAGCTTAAATTCAAACACTTATAGATAGACTCGCAATCGCTATCTCTCAATATCAAATCTACACTTCTCAACCAAGTCCCCACCCGCTCTCAACCTGGCCCTCCACCCCTCAGACCAAAGCCACGCCATCTTGAATTCTCCCTGAGCCTTCACCTTCAAGCGCCTCCCCTTTCCATCTCAAAACCGGGCCCAACACTCACCACATTCGTAACCTTTATCGCCCCTCTCCCTATCCTCACATCCGGTGCAGTCAGCCCCCTGTCACCCGAGTGTGGTCAATACCCATCCACCTCCCCCGTATTCCTAAGCAACGGCTCCTTCTCCTTCACACTCGCGCGCCGATTCGGGTTATGCATACTGTCTTCAAGCCCACCCGAACCCACGAGCTTTGAGAGTCCATCCAAGAAAAAGGTGCTGTTTCTCTGTCTCACTGGCTCCTCGCCTCTGCCCTCATAGCCCAACCTCTTTCCTTTTGTGGGTGTACCGGCTGCTGGGGGAGTGAAGACTGGACTCGGTGGTATGCCATCTCCGTCTAGACTCTTGGGGGTAAGGTCATCGTGGCCTGCGGAGCTGAGTATCAAGGATGTCGGTCGAGAGGGGTTTCTGCGTGGTGGGGAGGGAAAGCCTTTGTTTACTGTGAACAGACTTGAGAGAGGGCGAGTTGGTGCGGGAGGCGATGGGGACTGCGATGCTGATTCGAAGAGCGACTTTGTTTTCTGGAAGAATGAATTACTTGGTATCGGCAGGGACGAGACTGGAGTTCGCGCTGCTACCATTGTGCGATCTGTGGGGCGTCGTGGGATTCGAGATTGTGTTGGAGAGTACTGTGCTTGCGACTCCGATTCATGGTGCGTGCGTGTTGCTGAGACGGGGGGGTCGTACGGTCGACTTTCTGAGAATTCCGATGCTTGAGATGTGTCTAAAGAGGAGAGTCGGGGCCTCTTCGCTGGCACAGATGGCGGTGGGATGCTGCTTTGGGTGCTGAATCGAGGAGGATCGGCTCCGGCGGAATAACTGAATCTATTTCGCGGTGACCTCAGGTTCACTGAGCTCGCTTTGGGGCTGATATAGTTGGGGTATGTCTGGGTGTTGTATGGATCGAACTCTCCATGCAAAGGAGAAGCTTGGAGCTTCAACTCTTGATTCAGTTCAGTGGGGTCAGAACCTTCTAGGGCACTGTTATCGTGCCACGAAGATCGAATGTTTGGCCGTTCATGGGGATCTTCGACGAAAGGGCTTGAAGCTGTCTCCGATGGGGTCGTTGGCGTCGAGGCATCATCGGACTGTGCATACGATTCGAGCGAAGGAATGGTATCAGCGGTATGAGTACGAATATGCGATCCAGTATCGGGCTCTTGTGGTTGGAAAGGTCCTGCGGGCTCAATTGTCCCAGGCGTATAGTACTCGCCAGGTCTCGCTGGAGAGTATTCGGAAACTGAGTGGTTATCATCGGTTTGATAGTGCGATGAAGAAGATTCCTGGTTTGCAAGTCGTTTCAGTAATGATAAGTTTGGTCTAATCGTATCAACGAGAGATACAAAGAAAGCTCGAGTTTCGGTGTGATCTTGGGTTTCTTCTTTCTTACGCCCGTCTCTTTGAGCATCTCGAGTATGCTCAGGTGATTGGACTGTAGGCTCCTGAGACGTATCATGGCCATGTCCATGCGCTTCTGGGTGGTTTTTCTCTGCCTCTTCCTCATCGGAATCTTCAAACAAGTCGCCCGCTCCAAGAACCGTAGCAGGGGATTCTGCGAGGCTGCTATGATGCTCCTCTTGAATGAAGTGTCGAGGTGTGCTCGGTGCGAAGTCGAAAGTACTGGACTTACGCGTTGGACTGACTAGTCTTTCATCTTGGATTTCCCGTTCGGCCAGTTCCGGTTTCTGATGGTTACTGTTTTGGAAGGGCAAATTTTTTTTCCATGTTATCTTCTTGGTTGTGATCAGGTTGAGTTGCAGCATGCGGAGTCATGTCACCTGAAGCGTAGTCGCCCAACCCATCATGTTCTTGATCTTCCGGCTCCATAAAAGACCCATCCGCTGTCGGGTGTATATCACCTGCATGTTCGACGTGGGCTGAGCTGGCGTGAGAGAATTGGGGCTTCGATGACTCGGTCGGCGTTAAATTACTTGACTGGGACTCGGAATGGTCTTGCTCCGCTTCACGAGTTGTCGAGTCCTCGGCTGGATGTTGATGCGCCTTGCCATGATCGTGCACTTGCTCATGCGGGGCATTGTGTGGCTCGATTTCCGGATGATCGACAGTCTCAGAGCCCGAGTCAATGTCTCTTTCCTTAACACGGATTGGGTTGCTTTCTTCGTCTCCTGTTGCGTGACTAGTCTTGTGGCTTTCAACTCTCTCAACTAGAGCTGAATGAACGTCATTGGAACTTTGCTGATCTTCGTTGCCATTCGTATCTGGGACCTCGTTTGCAGAATCTTGAGCAGTGTCCTCAGCTTTGCCTGCAACATCTACCGTGTGCCCCGAGTCGTCAAGTTCTTTGTCAATATCTGAGAGGTGTGGAATTTCATCACCGTGTTCCCTGTTGAATACTGGAGAAGGATTGTCAGAGCTTGTTGATTGCTCGGTTTTGGGATCTTCTTCCTGCTCAATCTGCTTGTCATAGCTTGTCCAAAGGTTGTCTTTAGGGGCTTTGTGGCCCTCTTGGAGTGAGTACTGTGAGTCGACATATTGGGGTTCGGGCTCTTCTGCAATGCTAATATCCTTGTCTCGAGGCGGAGACCTCGAAAGCCAACTCGACTCACTGGGGTTCCCTGGGGCTGGAGTCGTAGCATGTCTTTCTTTCTCCCACCATGCAACCGCTGGGAGAGCAGGCGACGAATGATCGGGAGCTTCATCATCCATTTCAGAGTTCTCATCTGGTAGCGACGTTTCGTTTTCTTTCCGCATGCGCCTCGGTGTCTTGCAACTTTTCCAACTTTGGGCCGCCTTCTGGAACCTCTTGATGTAGCTCAACAGGAACATAAGATTCCTCGTCTGGTATTGATTGTTCTTCAACAAGAAGGTCGGCGTCTGAAGTCGAAAGGCTCGGTTTCTCGTTGGCATGCTCTTTAACTTCGTCCAGATGCTCCTTTACCGAGTCGACTTTCGGCTCATGCTCTGCAGTTTCATTTGGATGTGTCGGCTTTTGTGTTGCATGCTCAGCTTCATGCTCCGACGCTTCCTCAATATTACGTCCGTCTATTGCAGCTTCACTATATCTATTATTTTGGGTAGTCTCGGGGATTTCGGCCAAAGATACATTCTCATCATCGGCCCCTTGAACTTGGGTGTCTTCCGATACTGCTAGATACCCTTTCTCCGAGGCATCAACACCCTTTCCCTCAGCAAATGAGTCTGTTGAAATAAAAGTTGGGGTGGTTCCCTGAGTTTCTGGCACGTAACTGTTAACTTCGATGTTCTCCTCAACCTCGCGTCCAGCTGCTTCGGTAGACGGGTTATCGTGGGTTGTTTCAACTGGTTCGATATTCAAGACTTCTGGGCTTGATGCCTCGTAGTCATCGGGAGTAGCGTGAACCTCTTCAGGTGGTTTCGTCTCGGGTTCGGGCCGAACATCTCTTGCCTCACTCGCGGTTTCCCTTTCCAAGGGAGCGAGGTTTGTTTCCGACGGCATCTCTCCACCCCCAGTTTGAGAACGGTTTGTTTCGACGGAAACAGGCTCTTCCGCAACTGAGTTGGTATCAATGGCGTGGATTTCTGGATGAGTCGGCCCGTCTTCAGTTTTTAAATGGTCCGATTCATCGCCATTTTGAGCTTCATGAGTGTGGACTTCGGGGCGTGGCTTTTGGAAATCTGGTATCGCTTCAGCAGTGTCCGCTGTATTGGATTCCGATTCTGGAGGCATGCTCAGCATTTGTTCTAACCGCCTCATCTGCTCCCGATGTTTGCTCAAGTTCTGTCCCGGACGCGGCCGATGTTTCTCTCGGCTCCCTGATCACCTGCCCTTCGGTTGACTTTTCAGCACCCGCGGGCTTTTTTTCGGCCCGCCCGTTCGTCTCCGTGTTTTCAGTGACATTCGATTCTGCGCTGGCATCAGAGACAGCAACGTTCGAATCTTCCGGGGAATGGCCATACTCCGCCTTTGGATCGATCGGTGTTTCCATTGCTTCGTCGACCGCTGGTTTTGCAACCTCTTTTGGAGCACCAACAATTTTGTTTCTGCTTCAGAAGGTATGTCCATGGATTCGTTCACAGCAGGAGCTGCTCCTATAAACGTATTCGATATATCCTTCTGTTCGCCCCGCAGCGTCTTCGCTCGACCCCTAAATGTAATCGTCGGAATGACAGTCGGCGTATTAAGAGCCGCATCGATCTGGGCATTGATAGCCTGTTCCCCTTAGCACTCATACCTCCTACTAAGCTAGCTTCACATACCTTCCGCTTCTCATCCAACTCCATCAACACCCGCTTCCCCTCCTCAACTTCCCTCTCCATCTCATCCTCCAATCTTTCGAGCTCCGCCTCAACCTTCTCCTGCAAGCTCCTCTCCGTATCGAATCTCTCCCGCTCTCGTTTATCATCCTCTTCTTTCTGCAGTCTTACCCTTTCTTCCTCTGCTTACTGGAATTTGGCCTGTCGTTTCTCATCCTCCATCTTCCGCCTCGCAATCAACTCCTCATATCCCCTCTGTCTCTGCGCTTCCAGCTCCTCCTCTTCCCTCTCCCTCTGTTCCGCCAGCTTTTGTGCCTCTCTCTCTCTCTCTCTCTCTCTCTGTGAAGCTAGTTCTTTCAGCGCATTCTCGTGCGCAGTTTGTAGCACTGTAATCTTGATCTCGCGTTCAGTGGACAGCCGCTCGAGCTCGGCGTCGTGAGAGGCGGTGTGAGAGGGATTGGATACATTGGTCGATGCTGTCGATGTTGGAATGTAGCTTGACGACGAGGTCTGCTACTGCTGTGCTGGGATTCTCCCACATTCTGTCTTGTCCCCTTCTCTACCGTGTGGTGAGTTGTATGCGGGATCTTCGGATCTTCGTGTAAAATCTAGATCCAGATAAGTACTCTCTATTCGAGACACAGTCCAAACAATAAACAAAGATAAAAGTGCAAAACAAAAAACAAAGAACTGTGAGAAACTTCAGACGAAATGCTATCTATTGTTCCATCGTCATCGAGCCAAGGCATCTAGGTGACAGAACAACGCAGTAATGACAGCACATCATTGCAAAGACGAAAGGTTACCCTTGTCCTATACTATACCTTACACGCAAGCGACTCTCCGAGATAGCAGAACTGAGGCTTCGGGAAGGAATTCAAACCAATGGTGAAGCTTTCCCTTGCTCGCATGATGAATGGATAGAGTGCGTCTCAATGCTTCATGCTGATTGTATTGGCGGCTTTTGGTTCGAAGTCTCCATTGACAAGTATTGGCGCCACAAATTGTACATACTGATGCTCATGGAGGGAATGGGTTCGCGATCAACGATAGCGTAAGGAGAAGGGATAAAAGTCGTGTGTTATGGGCAGTGAAGGGCGTGTTGTTGGCAGATGCAGCCACTCGGGAGGGGCGTCGTATCCCTGTCCACCAGCTCTTTCTCGATGCAGTTAGAGTAAAACGGCAATCCACATGTTTACCAAGAATGGAATTATGCAACACATGGCATGCTGTACCAACCGGCCAATAGCAGTAGCTGTTATATCCTCAATTTCGGCAATCTGAAATCAGGGACCACGTCCATGGCGGTGTCAGTGGCAATGGCCAAGTTCTTGGAAAAATTAAAGCCTGGAAGGACACTTGATCTGGATGTCACGAGGAAACGAGAGAAGGAAAGAATTGATGATCTTGATTTGATCTATGAGAAGCGGATGTATACAGTTAAGACTCCGTCGAGGAGATGTGTGCTCCAAGATCTAAATGTTCACCCCTGCCGACCGGCCCTTCTTTCCCCAATTCTTAAATTCAACCTTTTCCATCCAGCCACCAACAGACAATGTATGCTGCTGTCAGGCCACTATGACAAAATACTATGTTATAACGAAAAGAAGTGTTGATGTTCGATCGATCTAAATGCGTGCCATGTCCGCCTTATTGGCTCGTGCTGCTCTTCTTCGATATTGTTCTCGGAATTGCATGCGTCCGATTGTGCCGTAGGCGATGGTCGCGATAAATAAAACAGTCCAGATGCCTGTGATGATGGCTCCGATCGGGAAGATCAAGATGTTCAATCCGGGCACCACAAAAGGAGAGCCTGCCGCTACTACGAGGGTTTGAATCGGTGGTTGGACTCGTGATTTTGTGGGCGTGACAACGGCGGCAAAGACGCCGGATACGAAGGTTGCTTGGTCGTTCGAGAGTGTTGTGTTCACCGTTTGACCGGTGGCTCCTTGGCCCGTCAATGTGACGGTTGGAACGAGGATCTTTTGCAGTGCGGTTCTAATTAAGTCAGCATAGAACATTGGCAATAAAAGTAATTGTACTCACGTCCCCATATTGGTAGCCAGTAGGTCCTTGTTGATTTGTCCAACAAAGGCATATGATTGAACCAGCGTAGGCGCCGTTACTCGTTTTTGTAATCTCTCCTCATCCCTCGGCCACGAGATCAACGAAGTTTCATCTTCTTGTCTTCGCTTCAACGACGATGCGTTGACAGCAGACACGGTTGCTCCGTCGTATGCCAGTCCCACTTGTACGTTCGGACTCGCGATGTTCGCGAATCCTCCAGTTGGTGCAGAGATCATGTATAATCGAAGGTCGGCCTCGAATACTCCACTTGTGTTGTCCAAGAACGGCAGATTATAGCAAACAGCCATTCCAGAAGGGTTGCTCGCAACGCCGTTCAGAGCCTCCAGCGATGCTGTGCATGCCGCTGCAGTCTGCGCATCCCATTCGGTAACGTTGACCTTTCCAGCTCCCGTTGTCGTTTGCCTCCGTTCTATCGGCTCGATGAGAGCGTCCACGACCCTTCGCATCTTTTGCTCCATCGAGTGTTCCCTCCGAACTAGCTGTGACATATCGTTGATGACTCCAGCAGAAACCACCTGGCTAACGAAAAGAAGAGAAGTTGTGAATGCCAACATGTTGGCGGTTGAAGAAGAGGTCGAGAAGGTTGTTGTATTATCTGGCCAAGTATCCGGCCGGCGGTAGTGGTATCAATGAATGAATGTTGGTCGTCCCTGCCGCAATAGGGAACGAAAGAATGATGGCCCGGCAGCAAGAGAATGGAAGAGGAAGGGGCCTGCCCAAGAATCGAAGGGAAGGCACCTGTTAATGTTTTGTTTCTAGACCCGGTCAATGAAGATGGGCGAAGATAGATACAGGAAGGAGAAGTAGGTAAGAATAGAAGCAGAAGGGAGGCATTGGCAGACGAGCCCTAACAAGAAACTTTTGGGACAGGCATCACGCGTTCATACCAAAAGTTCGAGGGCAGGAGGAGATCACATCGACCTCAAACCGAGATGTGCAGCAATGGCTGTGCTCCAGACACGGAGGAGCTAGCATTTTGGACAATTTGATACAGATCGTGGCCGGACTGGCGTGACCTTGCCCGTATCCCAGACAGACTTTGTCGGATGCACCCGCCGAATCAGGAAGACGCACAGTCCAGCTGCCGATCGCAGCAAGTTCAAGAGGGCCATTCCGCACTGAATCTCGAGGCCTCCCAGCGAGAGGGCATGAATGAAACGAGGCAATACAAGGGAAGTGGAGACCATGAGACAGTCAAGGTGCTCGGGATTTCTCGCCAAACTTCGACTAGGGCGAGTGCACAGAGAAATTCTAAATGACTGTCGCCCGGTGGGAACGTCTGGTTGGCTCATCGGAGGCTAGAGTTGCGCGGCCTTGGCGATGAAGCAGCGTCGAGCCACAGAGAGTGAGAGATGGTGTGCAGGAGGTTGTGGCAGATCAGCCAGTGCGCGAACAGTCCGAGACGGAGATGGTTGCAGAGTGAAGCTCGCCGCGTGTCAGAAATTTGGTGAGGCCAGGGGCTGACAGCCTAATGACTAAGATTCTGCACTAAGCGAGCCACTCACAGCCAGCCAGCCGAGCCGCCTATAACCTCTCCCTCGATTCTGTGACAACACCAAGATTTGGCCTCGACGATAGTGACCTCCTTACCCTCCCGTGATCGAGAAGGAACAGCTCCTTCAGATCAGATCAGCGGCGCCACGCCTTATCGCCGATGCAGGTCGTTTCGGGTCATCACGAGCTCACGGCCACGAAGCACATAGAAGCCAGTGGGTGCAAGGCATCATCACAACGAATTCTCGATTGCGAGGCCTAGGATCCTCTAAAATTGTATTCCAAAGCCATCCCATGCTCAGTGGCATTGATTTCTCCTATCTTTGGAAGGTATTTTGCGCATTGCGCAATTTGGCCCACTGAAACCCGTCTCCTGATCGCCTCTGGAGACCACCGAGTAACTTACCAAACCTCACGGGCCAAGTGGAGGTGATTCTAATTATATGTCATTGTTGAACTCGAGCATCATGGGGTATGTAAAGCAGACACCACATGCTGAAGGGAGGCTCAGTCCTTGGGTCGACATCTGTCAAATTGTCGATCCCCACGTTTGCTATGCGGTCACTTCGAAACGGTGGCCTGCTTGTTTATTCTGTGGCTTGCATCCCTCATTATCCTTTCATCGTTTTGATCTCTTTATCAAGGGGATGCCAGGATAGCATCATTGAGAAGACCAATGGCTGTATGTTTCTGTCCGGCGTATCGATCGAGGAGTCAAAGCCACGCATCCACCACCCCTGGCCTCATGCATGACCGTCCACTTGGTAGCTGCATTCGTGCTGCATTCGTGCTGTTCAAGTCTCAAAATAGACCGATGTATGAATGGGAGTATCTTCAGCACTAGCCTCAATAGATGTCTTCTCAAGCTTTTCAAGCCTTCCGGCGAGGATCTTCCCACTTTTTCAAGGCGTAGGCATTCAAGACGCAAGCCTCATCGGACCCACCATTTGTGGCTCCGAGCGCAGTCAAAATCCAGCCTTCCGCCTGATTACTCCTTAGATGGCTCCCAATGCACTCGTCATCGATGCGGAAATTGTGTTTCGAAACTCTCATCCGATCATTAAACTATTTTGTGGCTTGCATCCTCGTCACCCTTTCATCGTCTGACCATTACTACCCACAGACGCGGAGATTGGGGAAACAAGAAGCAAAGTTGTTTCTTGAGAGTGAACACTTGTTTTCAATCTGGGAGGGTTCTAGCAGAAGCCTTTTGATCCGAAAACCTTGAGTTCATTGCATCATTTCTCTCTTCATTGTATCTCCGAGCCACGACATCACAAGAACAGTCCATCACTGGTCAGCATCGACTCGATGGTTAGCTCAAAAGCCTTGTTTGCATTCGGAGAAGAAACGAGCAAACCTTTCTCGTCTAATGCTCCAAAGCAGGTATGCAAGAGTCTTTTCTCAGTTATCATCATCCAAGTCTTCCTTTGCCGAGTTTCCCATCTGCAACCAATCACCGCGACGTTCCAAACCGCCCCTACATCCCCTTCGTCAAAGCTGATTACCTACATTCACTCAAAACGGAGTTAACTGCCCCTCACTGCCTCTCACCAGCCCATGTTGATTATGCGAGTTTTCTTTTATGCTGGGATCAAAAATACCAGATGGCAATACAGATCAGAACCACTGATTGACTTCATTGATTTGTCAGCATGGATCAGTTTCTCGATGGTTTAAGGCGAGAAAGAACTCTAGCCTTCCGCATGAAGTTCCCTTTTTGGTCCAGAGTGCTATCCTAATCAGAAAACCAACCTTTCTGCTCAACGTATATACCCTTTGATGGACGCGCCAAGAGATTCTTGCGAGCTCCCGAACTCTTCCTTCGAGACTCGAGAGCTCTCTGCGGAGCTCCCCACCTCACAGCAATCTCGGCCTTCAGTTGCGATGTTCACTGTTACTTTTCTCCTTACGTGTCATTGACGGCACTCGAGAAATCTCTTCCTCCTCATTCTCAATTTCCAAAAATTTCTTAGAATCTAAAAATAGAACTACCCGCAACTTCGTCCGTTTCCGCCCTCGAACTTTTCCCAACTACCCAAAAGTCACCTCGCGAATGACATTCGAGAATTTCGTTCACGCGGATTCCTTACTTAGTATATTCTCTGCACGTGCAAACTCTAAAATCTGGAGATTCTTCTCGAAGCAAGATCTTTCTGTTCATGCACGATGACGTGATGCCGGCCGAAATTTTCAGGCCCTCATTTTTCTTACTCATCGGCTCCCGGCAACACCCAATCAAAGCCGCCAGATGGGTCGTTGCTGAAAATTTGTAATCCAACTGCGCCTTTCGAGGTGCGTAGTGTGACAAAGACGACATGGGTTTTGAGCGAAGCCGCTCACGTACGAGTAGCCTATTTACCGGATCTGGCACTCCGATGCTTGAGCCGAACGCCGTTTGTTGAATTCCGCAGTGCGGATGCGGTATGTGGGGCGTTAGCTAGGGCGCATGTGGCTGAAAAGGCTTTCAGGGCGTGTGTCACATCGGATTGACATGACATGGGCAAGGCGTGCTTTGCCGAAGCGTAGGATACTAATTACACATATTTTGAAAAGTCATCTTTCATCCCTGACTCTATGGCGACTTGAGGAGGATAAAAGGAGAGCCCTTCGCTGTCCAAAGTACAGTTCACTATTCAGAACATCATCACATAATCTTCAAATCAAAGCATCTTCACACAACTCAATCCACTCACATCAAAACCCATACAGCAAACACACACCCGCACATCACATCACTCCTCTATTCATCCTCGCTCTACACACACAAAACAACCAACCAACAAAACAAACAACACAATCGCAATGGCATCCACACTCCAAATCTCAGCTGCTCCTCAACACTCCACCTCCAGCCACAGCTCCCTCAAGAACGTCGCACAGAAAGTCATCGGTGCCGTGAAGCAGCACAACAAGGAGGTGAACGCCGCATACCAAGCATACTATGGCATGAACTACCACCCGAGCGTTGAGTACTTGAAGAAGGGTCAGGCAAGCAGGGCGCCAGTCACTGTTTCTCAGCAATAAATTGATGGGGCGATGGAAGGAAAGGGAGGGAGATTGACAGGGGATGAATTTGAAGGGGGTTTAGCGAGACGGGACATATGCATTTGGGATGGCGTTCGGGATTCTTTGAACTTTGTAGTGCGGATAAGATAGTGGCAATGGATGGTACACATTAGTCAGAATAATTTAATGTCAAATATCCTTGAGAAATTCATTCATTTTGCGTAACACTGCCCTTTTTCCACTTTCGCAATGTTTAAATCACGTGATTTGAAAGTTGTAGGTATCTGCTCACGGAGCCTTCACCACCTCGGTTCCGACTGCGTTCTGGCTTAAAACGCTTAACACGAGAGAGAGCAGAGATATTAATATAGAGGCAGAGGTTAGACGGACATTTCACAAGGGTGGTGGGCTCCTTACCTCCATACAGGGTTCCACGCTCGGTTTCTACCTCGTAGTCTGATCCAAACATGGTAAGCAACAGACTGTGGAAGTGATTGTAAACGAGGTTTGGTGGAGTCGCGCTCTTCTTCCAGCTGTGGCTTTGACGCCACCAATATTCAGCGAGGGGTTCAGCGGCTGCTTTAGGGGTAGGCTCGCTAAGACAATTTTAAGCGAGGGCTACGGGGGAAAATATGGCAGGTTTGTTCGAGCCCACTCTGACTCCAAAATTGAGCCAATAGGTCTCCAATGTTAAAAAAAATACTATGAGGTGTCTTCTTCTCCCAAATACAAGAGTTTGAGCCTTCAAAACGGCTTTTCTGCTAGGACATCTCACTGTCTCCTGCGTGAGTTTCCCGCATTTTGTGGCTTATGTACCAAAATGTTTAATTCGATAGATAGTATGAGATATTCGTTCTGTAATATAGTCTGCCCGTCTTCACGTTGGCCTTGATCTAAGAGTAATGAAGTTTCTTAGGTTTTTTAAGTTGCAATTTTGGTTTCAAGGTTAATGCTGGGCAAAACAGCTACACTTCGCTCCGTGGCCTTGTAGCAAGACGACACCCATAATTTCCCTTCGTCTACCGTCAACTGTTCCCTCCATCACCACAAACATTTATATGACAGTGTCCACACAAACTGTCGGCCTCTCCCAAGACATCCCGACAGCCCCACTCCTCCTTGACAGCTCTCGAATCAATACATCGTCAACCTCTGGCGGTTGGAAATAGGGAGATATTAGATTGTTGGATGTATGCTGTCGGGGTAGGGAAAGTTGCTCTGAGTTGAGCTTCGATGTTGGTGTTTGATCTGGACAGGGGGTGGCGGAGGCCGGCAGGCGAGGTGTGGGTCATGTGGCTGTGTTAAGCCTGAGCTGAAGGTGTTGGTAAGTCGGCGGTTAATGGTTGGAGAGTGCTAAGGAGCTCATGAAACGCGGTGAACAAGATTTAAATCGAGAGATCTCTCAACTTTGGTCTCCTACAGGCTAGAATGAGGACCTTTTTGGTTCTCTGTGTGGGTGCGCATTAATAAGCGAGTTTGGTTTGCAACCTTTCAAATGGGGATTGTTGTTACTTACTGTTTTTTACTTTTCTTTTACTTGAAATTATACTTCGCTAACTAGAAAGAGCAAATTCGAGAAAGTGCAGTTAATTTTACCAGTTCCGTGTTGCTTGATATTATGCGAAAGATTTCACACGCAACACTCATCCCTCAATACTCAATCCTCCTTCCTCTTCAAAGTCTTCACCTCAAGCCTGCTTTCTGAGAAGTAACAAAGCACTGGCAGAAGACAAAAGCCAAAGTTCAGCAAGACCAGCCAGAGAAGCATCAGAAATGTCTTCATCTTTATCATTCCCCGTGCCACAAACCCGGTATGGAACCCGGCCAAAAGCACCCAAGTGATAACAACGCCCGTGTCAACAAAAGTAAACTCAGTTGTCAGTCAGCACAATATCTTGTCACATACCTCCGTGCTGCTTTGAACTAATAACACTCCTCAAGCCAACCAACCTCACAAGGAATGGCGCGATCCCAATCCCCAAAAATATTGTCCCGACGTTCGGTAACTCCTCGTTATTTTTGCCACTTCTGGGCGATCCACTCCAGCTGTAAAGGAGAAACCCAGAGAAAACAGAGCTGCTGGTACTCCCAACACTAACTGGAATGTGACTCCAAGAATCTAGTTAACAAGTCCTCTTGTCAGCCCGCGGAATTCACCGTAAAACATTTTCTGTCTGTCCGTTCCCATCCTCATTTCCTGTTGCTCTTTTTCTTGTAAGCGGAAGTAAAATCACATCTCCCGAATTGAGATTAAGGTACTGCGAAAAAAACTACATCCAAATCTCAGGCCTGAAGATGCCACAATAGGCTGCTATTGAAAACGTTGTACATCGACACCGGTGGCGTATTTCCACTCTTTCACCAGCTCTTTGGCTTCGGCGTCCGAAATTGAATGGTTCTGGATCCGGATGGCCGAGAAATAGGTTCATGCTTCGTTGGGCGCAGTGTGTCAAAAAAGTAATCAAGGTATTCCGAATATTCATGAATATTCATGATTAGCTTGAATAGAATATAATTACCGCAATGCTTAAATAATTTGATTAGATTAGAATATATAATCATGAATATTCATGAATACTTTGATTACTCTGCACGTGACCATTGCACGTGATACGCTAGCCTAATTAAGTAGAGATCCCACTCTAGTGTCTCCTTAGCGCCACCTCGCTGTCTAATTAGTGGGTCGAAAGCCTTGCAAAGACGATGCTAGATCGGGAGCCATACCTAATTAGGTTAGTATATCACGTGAGACAGTCACGTGTATAGTAATCAAAGTATTCATGAATATTCATGATTACCTCAATTAGAATCTGATTAGAATATAATTAGTGGGTATTTTTGATGAATAAATTAGATTACTAGCCAGTATTCTAATCTAATCTATTCATTTGACACACTGGTTGGGCGTTGCAGTGGGATAGGTAATTTGAGTATACGTCATAGTTGAGGAATTGGTTGTGTGAACTAAAGGAAGAGTGGTAGTTGTTGTAGGGCGTTCTAGGAAGGAGAATATATTGAGGTGCGACATGAAGTAAGAGGCACCACATCTTGCAAGGGGTGGCGGAGGGGTGAGTGTGCCTAGGTCCAGGCCAATTAGAAACTCTAAGAATGTGTGGGGCTGACTTGAGCATACTGAGAATTGCGAACAGAGAGGTATGAGCGAAGTCTACAAGAAACTACTTGGATATCACGTGACCAATGAAGAAAAGGGGGACATCCGCCACACTCCCTCACCTCCCATGTCTAGTATCGAATCAAGCTCAGCAGAATGCAAACAGTGAGCTCAAATCATAGGACTAATGATATAATCTCTTCTTTCTATTGAATTAAGCATCAGGGTATATAACGAAAAAAAATTGAAATCTTACCCATGCACCACAACGCTATGCTCACATCAACGCACGCACAAATGCTATTACCCAAGGCGCCCTCGCTCGAACAAACAAACTTGACTGAACCAGCAACCACGTAATAACCAATCCACCCCAAACACCAACAATAATGCCCAAGCCGCCCACTAACCTCATATCAACAATCAAACTAATCAACCACCCTCTCAGCTCCGGGCTTAGGAAAAGCCAGCTATAACTCGGGATAGCGTTATTACTCTGCGCTGGTTGTTGGCATGGTTGATGCTCCAATGCTTCAGCGAGTTTCCACGCAACTCGGTTGTTGATCTTCTCCCAAGTTGCATCCTCGGCCATCTTCCGCGACTCCATCGCCATCTGCTCTCGAAGTTGGGCGTCGTTGCCTAATTTCAGGACTTTCTCGACGAAAGTTTCCAGGTCTTGGGGTGCGACTAGGTATCCAGATTTCCCGTCCGCGACTATCTCACTTGGGCCTCCTTCGTCTCGAGCGATGACCGGGACGCCGCTCGCCATCGATTCCAATACAACCAAGCCGAAGGTCTCTGTGATCGAGCAGTGAAGGAATAGATCGCCGACGGCATACGCTCTCGCCAACTCCTCGCCCTTCAGCATCCCGGTGAACGTCACCTTCCCCTCGTCGTTCAGGTGCCCGAACATATCCTTGATCTTCTTTACCACCTCCAGATTCTTGTTCCCTCCTACAACGAGAAGCTTGAATGCGAAGCCCCGCTCATCCAACTTCTTGACCACTTCACTCAAGAACTCGAAGCCTTTCTCCGGCGCCAAGCGGGAGACACAGGTCAGAATCAGCTCTCCGTTCGGCGCCAGCTGTTTCCTCATACTCTCCGTTCTCTTCGCAGGGTTGAACATCTCGCAGTTCACACCTCTTCTGAGATTCATCATTTTCCCATCTTGAACGCCAGCCTTCTCAAGATATTTCCGGACGAATAGCGAGGGATAGAAGACCGTCCGCACCGAGGGATGGCGGAACAAATATCCTTGAACAGAGCGGAAAACCCATACCGCCCAATGATCCAGCGGGCGAGGAAAGAGAATCTCACAATATCCACTCAAATCCGTCTGAAAATTAAGCAACACCGGTACAGGATTCTGCTGCTGTCTCAACTGCAACAGGACCTGAAATCCCAAACTCGCCGGACTCGCAAGATATATGAGATCTGGTGGGCCTTGAAAAGTCCTTGCGTACAGTTGAGAGAGGCGGACGGGGTAAACGACAGAGAGTTCGGGGTTGTAAGGCAGAGGATAGCCTTGAAGGCGGACTTCAATGTGATCTGGGTTTGTGTTTGTGGTGCCGACGTGCGTCGAATCAGAGCCGGTGCTGATCTCCGGCGCGACGACAGCGACGTCCACGCCCTTGCTGCGCAGGTAGGTGACGAGATTGAGAGTTGTTCTGCTAACGCCGTTGACTGGGCCAAAGGACTCTGTTGCGAGGAGCAGTTTTTTGCCTTTGAGGATGGAGGGGAATTCGAGGGGGCTGGAGGTGTTTTCTCCTGGCGAGATTTCCATGTTATGGGCAGAGCGTAAACACAATGCAGGGCAACAGAGGGGCAGTAGAGGGGTAGCCCCTCATTGATTCCGGCGATAAGAGGGCCTTTTGGCCCTTTATCGCGACAGACTCTCCATTTATCGGAGGCTGCGTGACTCGCCCCCATTTGCCAGCGTGCCATTGCCATGGAGCTGCCAGGGATGACCAGTGCCCCTCCCCCCCCACCAAGACATCCGAGCCAGGCGATGGCCTGCTCCGCGTCTCGTTGAGAATACAGGCCTGCGATTGGTGGCCTCCCGTACAAACCCACAGCCGTGTTCCAGCGCGAGTGCAGCGTGGTCCCCTCACGAACCCACGTGGGGCAAATCAGTGGCCGCGAGGCTGACGGACGAATTCTCCTCTCACCAACACCAGCGACATCTCCGCTCCCCCACCACACTTCTCTTCACCATCGCCGTCGCCGTCGCCGTCGCCGTCGCAATCTGTCTGCCACAGCCTTGGCCAACGTGTGCCATTCTACTGGCCCCCAGCTGACATCTACATGCTCAAAACACCTGGTGCACACTGCACAGGCTACCTACACCTCGGCATTCTTCGGCCTTGTGATGCGGATCATCCTGCTCAGCTGCTGCTGGCTGGAGGGCCAGGCCAGGAGGAGAAGAGGGACATGGCTTGCGGTCACCACTCGTCGGTGGTATGTCGCTACAGCCGCTGACTCCATTTTCCGTTCTTCCGTAGACCTGTGCTGCATCGGTGAGTGAGATCTTTATTTTGCTGCAGACTTCTAGTTTCACTTTCATCCTCTTTGTTGTTGCGTCAAGACACACTTCACTTCAGTACCTTCCTCGTCACGGCGCGTTCCTGCCGCGAGCAAACGGCTGCAACACACCAACGGAAAATGATCTAGACGGGCACTCCTTCGCGTGATTCTCACCTGCTGGATCATTTCGCCACGCGTCTCAATCCCGTGAAGTCTTCGGAGCTTCATGGGCTCCAGGTTTCAAGGTCAGGGCCTGCAATCTTCCGCTGCTGGTGTTTACGGCTGACAAAGGCAAAAGAAGCAGTACATACCTCAATTCTCCCAAAATCTCTTGCGTGACGGCCGCATAACACCTGCAAAAATGTACAGACATCCCTCAATACCTTCGTCGAATATCGACGCGTCTGAGGATGGCCTCCTCGATATCTCGACTGCGCCTACGACTCCGGATGGCAGCTTGACTTTCAGCCCTGTCTTGCAGGCGTTGAAGCTGCAGGATGCGTTGGAAGATGCTGCTTCGGGGCGGGGCAAGCAAAGAACGAGCAGTACATCTCTGGATGCAGCGATGAGGGCGAGCGGAGCCGGGGTGAATAATATCTGCTGTGTTGGGGCGGGATATGTTGGTGAGTTTATACATGATTTTGACATACCATTTTGCGACCTGGCGGGCACGTTAAACTATTTTCCTGCTAACCACTTCAATAGGTGGTCCTACAGCAGCCGTAATGGCCTTCCAAAACCCCCATATCAATGTCACAGTCGTGGACCGAGATCCAGTCCGAATCAAGCAGTGGAAGACGAAGCACCTCCCAATCTACGAACCAGGCCTGTACGAAATCCTCAGAATCGCGCGAGATGGCTCGAAAGCATGCTCCTTTTACAATGAAGCCACACGTTCCGATTCCCTAGACAGCATGTCCTCTGCGAGCTCCTCCACTTCAGAATGCGAAAGTCAATGCGGAGACCACAGAGACGAAATCGCAATCCAAGCACGTGTACCGAACCTCTTCTTCTCTACCGAGATCTCGAAAACAATCAGCGAGGCAGATATCGTACTCATTGCTGTCAATACACCTACAAAAACGCGGGGAATGGGTTCCGGGAAGGCAACAGATCTTACAGCTCTGGAAGCCGTGACGAGAGAAATAGCCATCCACGCCAAGCCCGGGGCAATCCTCGTAGAAAAGAGTACAGTACCTTGTAGAACGGCAGAGCTCATCCAAGACACAGTAAGCCCTTTCCCCCCATCTCAAGAACCTGCCTAATAATGTACAGCTCAAAGTCCACCGCCCAACCCAATCCTTCGAAGTCCTCTCCAATCCCGAGTTCCTAGCCGCAGGCACAGCAATTACCGACCTACTCTCCCCGGACCGCGTAATAATCGGCTCCTCATCCACCTCTGCCGGCCGCCGCGCAGCCGAGACTCTAGCTTCCGTGTATGGCTCCTGGGTACCGAGAAACCGGATAGTAACAATGAACACCTGGTCCTCGGAACTCTCGAAACTCGTCGCAAATGCCATGCTCGCCCAGCGCATCTCATCAATAAACTCAATCTCTGCCATCTGCGAAGCGACAGGGGCCGATATCTCCGAGGTCGCGCAGAGCGTTGGCATGGATCCGCGGATCGGGGACAAGTACCTGAAAGCCGGGATCGGGTTTGGCGGAAGCTGTTTTCGGAAAGATGTCCTGAGTCTGGTGTACCTTGCAGAAAGCCTAGGATTGCACGAAGTGGCAGAATACTGGACTGGTGTCCTGAGCGTCAATGTCTGGCAACGCGAGCGCTTTGTACGGAGAGCGGTTCGCTGTCTAAACAACACTATCGTTGGCAAGAAATTGGCAATCCTCGGCTACGCATTCAAGAAAGACACAAACGATACCCGCGAAAGTCCCGCTTTAGAATGTATCAAGATTCTTCTCGAAGACTGTCCCCGCGAACTCGCTGTCTTTGACCCCTGCTGCGACCCCGCTACCGTCAAAGCCGAGATCGGTAAACTGGTAGGGAAGGAGGTGCTAAAGGAAAATGGTGGCAGTATTGAGGTCTACGCTGATGCATACGCCGCGTGTGCAGATGCTCATGCCGTGCTGATCATGACGGAGTGCGATGAGTTTAAAACCTCGCCTTCATCCTCGAACTCATCACCAACCCTCGTCCCTAAATCAAAACCCGCGTCGAAGAAAGGACCAGTTGACCCACGGCCCTTCGCCCGTCTCGAACCCACGGAATCCGAGATCCTCCAACTTCAAAAATTCCTCACCTCCACCTTTGCGGTCGACGACCCATTGCAAAGATTTGAGACTGAGCAAGAATGTGGAGAGGAATGCAAACTGTGTGCTGGGGAATTGGGAGATGAGCTGGAGAAGACTGTTGTGCTGAGTAAAGAGGGAAATATGAAGGATAAGCTGGATTGGGCGCGGATCGCGTATCATTTGCAGAAGCCGAAGTGGGTTTTTGACGGAAGGGGGGTGGTGGATGCGGATGAGATGCGGGGCTTGGGTGTTAGGGCTGAAGGGATTGGCAGGGTGGGATGGAGAGGCAGACGTTGATGTGGAGGAGAAGGTTTCCTTTTGTTTTTCATTGCGTTGCATGGACGAGGGAGATGTGTGCATATAGATTTTTGTCTTTCAAAGGAATGCCTAGGAGAGAGTGAGTGAGAGAGAAATGGGATGGCTAGGTGCTGCATTTGTTTGATACCCGTAATACACACATATTTCATTATCAAACATTCTACTGCGATGTGAGTTTTGAGAGAGGGGATGGGGGGAACTGGGGCAGAGTTCAAGGCTCTTCAAGCGAAACTTTTACGGGTAAAAACTGGCACTGATGTGACAGCGCAGCATATCTCAACAAAAATGTAAGCATCACGATCCTGAATAAAGGTGGGAAATTGAGTGATATGAAAACAGCAATGTGGCATGCATCATACAAGTTATTTAGATTGTTCCACGGAACTGTCACTTGGCGTGAAAGCCAAGAAATTAAGGACGCCAAAGTTGTACTGTAGTCTCCACCTTCGATTCCTACTTACGAATATGAAATTCAGCTATATCGAACCTCATTTCCGACCAGGTATTCCCAGATTAAAGCTAGAATCCTTGCTCACGACTCCAGTAGATGAACCCCTCAACTGAGACAATCTTGCACGGCTCTCTTCATTTCCTTCCCTCTTGGTGTCATCCACGAAGATCTTAAACTGTTTTGACATCACTACAACGCTCTGGATGTGATGTGCTCGTAGAATAATTTCCTTCATCTTCTCGCCGTCTTTCTTCGTACCATTCTTCTCATATGACGCAAGTGCAAGCGCCGTTTGGAAAGCTTTGGAAGGGGTGCATTAGCAATAGAGTGGGGTTTAATTAAGAAGACTAACCATTGCGAATTTCTCTCCCATTCCATTGTATCTCTATTATGTCGCGTTGTATCTCGTTATTTTTCCGCCAGGCACCCGAGATGTAAAGTTCTGCATCGGGATGGACTGATATGGCAGGCTCTACTTTCTCACTTTTGAGCCTCTCGAAATGGTTTGACCAGATTTTCTCTCTGTCTTCGTCCGCCAAAGCCTTGTATAGAAGACCCACATGGATGCGGGAGAGGAAAGCATCATCGAAGGTGCCAACTCGGTTTGTGGTGAGGAACATAATACCTTGAAACTGCTCAAGTTCGCGAAGAAAAACCGACACGAGAGCGTTTCTTTTCACCTCGCCTTTCTGTCTTGATTCTAAATAGACATCGGCTTCATCCAGGAGCACCTGTAACAAGTGTCAGATCTTTGACGGATCCTGTGCGGTCTTATCGGGACGAACCACACCATTCCAAATTTCTCCCCATGACATGTACTTTTTAAGCTTCCTTTCTACGGCAACTACATCTGTCCCAAGGTCACCGCAAGTCAGGGCTATCAGCGGCCGTTTCATGAGTTCCGCTACACACTCTACAATCACAATAACATGTTAGACACTTCCTACTAGTGGAAATCGGATTTGAAACTCACCAGCGGTTGCAGTTTTGCCTACACCTGGCGCGCCATGGAGAAGAAGAATTTGGCCATTTCCCTTCCCCTCCACAAAATCCGCATTAAAAGAACACCTAGCCCGCTGCAATGATCTCCATGCAAGAGCCTGGACAGTGCTTTTGATCTCCGGGGATAAGACCAGCGAGTCCAGCACGCTTTCATTAAATTGGACGTCGTGAAGATCAGAAACATGGACACACTCCCATTTCCTATCTGATAGCAGCCAGACTTGGACCAAGACAAAGCACAGACGATAGAATAGATCGTCTTCTGGAGGCGGTGAGTCATCGGGGTCGATATTGTCGAATCGTATCCAGTCTCTACCTTTTCTCTGGCGAGGCTTCTTGCCACAGTGCACGCAGCGGCAGCCTGTTCTTGCAGTGGTATCGTCTTCATTGTCGTTCTCACCACTGTCATTCTTGTCGCCGACGTTGTTAGCCATCATTTTAGGCTTTGATGATGCCTCGTCCGCGTCTTGGTAATACTGGTTGAGATCGACAACAACTCGGCCATGAACCATGGATTTCTGTCCTGCCTTCCCTACCCCTACCAACGGTCTACCCCGCAGCATTCTGTAATGGCCCCCACTTTTACACAACTCGAAGAACGCCTTTCCACTCTGCAAGAATTGTTCCTTCCTAGAGAGGGCACCGTCCTTCTTTGGATCGTCTTTGTGGAATTTAGCGGGGTACATCTTCAATTCTCGGATCGGCTTTTCGCCATCGAATGGCTGAAAAAGGTGACTATATGCAACCCTCCCAATCACTTCACAGTCATAATCTATGCCCCAGTTGCTCACCTTCAGCGGAGTAGCTCGAGTATCTGCAGAAACTCCACCAGTGAGCTTTTCCACAATGAACGAAGAGACGAGTTTTTCCGAACTGCCCCATTTCCAGTAGACTTCTTCTCCGGGTTTGAAAAGAAGCCATAGATATGGAAAGGTACAGACTGGGGGGTCCCTCTGGTGCCGCATGTGCTCTTCCTTGAGCTTTTCGCCGAAGGTAACTCTGAGATATCTCAGCAACTCCTCGATGTGCTCTTTGCATTTGTTCTGATACTCCGGGGGATGATCTGCCGGCTGATTATCCTTATAATGCTCGAGTTCGTCCATGTGGTGGATCAGCTCTTTGTATGGCTCGTTGAATTCCACGGCGTGGGAGAGGAGTTGCAGCCCCGGGTAGTATTCCACAACTGCCCTTAAGGCATTCATGAGATGCTCGGAAAGAATTTTGAGGGACCAAGTGGTGTTGCTCTCAGGTGAGACATCAAAATCTTTTAGCTTCAGCTTGACATCCTCCGTGTCTTGGCTTTTATCCTTCGGTCCCTCAGATTTATCCTTACTCGCAAGGTTTGAATTCGTATCGGTAGCTCCATCCTTCCTGTCCGTAGCAGAACCATCATCTTTCTCTGTAGAAGAACCGTCCTTTGATGTCTTTTTGGTGTCTTTGGAGGTTTTTGCAAAAACCTTGACTCTCTTGATAAGTTCGAAGACGGGGGCATCCTCCCCTTGGTCAGAACTGTCTAGCGGAGGCGCCGTACCCTGTTTGACTGCTATCACAGTCCCTGTGTTGTCTGTGTATTCGACGCGGAAGATGTGTTTGCTTGTATTTTCCGACTTCTTCTGATCGGATTTAACAGGGTTCGGCGGCAATGTTGGTGGCTCTGGGATATCGGTGTCTGATCTTGCGCTCTTCTCGTGGCTTTCCTCTTGAGTTTCTGGAGATGGGATAAACTTATCGTACTCGGCCAAGTGTGTGTTGTCGGTCCCGATAATAAGACGGTTTGGAGTTTCGAGAGCCATTGTGTACAAGCTGGTTACTGCTTTAAGAAAACATTAGTTCTGCATCAGATACAGGACTTTTCAGCAGTATTCTAGGAATAATTCCTAGCATGTCACAACTAGCAAGACATTCGGAGCATAATGGCCTTAAATGTACCGCGACTTACTAGCCACTCCGGCGGAAGAACCTTTTGGTGTGCCAAAGCTCATCAGCCATTCGGAAGAAATTATCCTCGAAAGTATCTCAAAGCCTAGACGCTGTATGCGTAGACTTTCTGAACGTGCCAGTACCTCCCGGGACACTGCGAAGAAATAGGCCCTGCATCTTCCACCGCTGGCAAGAAATTCATGTCGGGGAGAAGAAGAAAGCTCACAAACCAAAATTGACAACTTTTACTTTCAATCTCGCCAGACTGATACTTACAGATGCTAAGATCTGAGATTTGCTCAGAGATTTGACTTTGCTGTCGTTTGGTCGATCCGCAGGTATGGGAAAGGTAAGGTTTTATGTTGTTGTCTTCCTGTCTGAGATGCGAAGAGTCGTAGCCTTCCTTTTTTTATTTTAGTTTGGAACCACACCGTCACCCTCCTCATTACATAAGGCTGGCTTATTGGGTCGCACGACCGCCATGCTGATAACGCGAAGGCAGGTAATATGCAGCCGAATCCCATTTGAGGAAGGCCCGGCTTAGCCGGCTGGATATTGAGTGGGGCGGTGATTTCACAACGTAAAGTCAGCATTTTGAATCGAAACCCGCCAATTACTGAACTGGTGGTGGCGCCCAATGTTCTTTCTGTGTAGCCATAGCTGAAATTGCTGCCTGTTTGCGGGCCAATGCATGTCAAGTGTGGCTGCATTTGCTATGAATGCTGCGAATCAGAATTCGAAGGATGAAGAGGGTGTTCAACTTGCATGAGGTATTTATGAAACGCAATGTAACCCCGCAGCCTTGGCCCCCCAGGTCCTACACGGTGAGGCTGTTCGGCCTTAAAAGAGAGGTGCTCGAGGTACTGGATTCTTGATAGAGTCGGGTACATTGAGCCTTATTTGGTTGGGGCTAGACTACCAAGTCGGCAAAACAACTTCCCACTAGCTCCAAAGAAGATAATTTGGCACGGAAACGGACATTATGGAACCTCAAATGATTGAAGGAGACGATAGGAAGGAGTTGGTTCGCAACTTCAGCAATAAGTGGTATCAGGAGGAGCCATACAACAGCCTTGCTCTTGGTGTGGCCGTAGCTGCAAACAGCCCTGCGACTCAGGCGAATCCAGAGGAAACCTTCAAGCATCTCTATCAAGTCGACGCAGATGGTGATGAATTATTGTTAGTAGGATTTCGTTAGCACTGGTATTTTTTCGTTAATGAAACAACAGAGATGGCGCGACGATCAATCTTGAGAAATCTAGCAAGATCTTGAAAGCGAGCTGGGATCACTACTTGGAAGAAAAAGGGATCGACAAGATGCAAAGGTCTGACTATATTTTTGAACCCAAGGGGGACGATATGTTCGCCGAGTTTGCTGCGCACATCAAGTCATCTGTTGAAGACTGGAAAAGCCGAAAACGATCCTTTGGGAAAGCTCGAGAATATGCTTGGTCATGCTGCGATACGCTGTCGAACCACTCGAACTTCTTCTCTATATTTCCCAAAGGTAACCCCTACTGCTCCATCTTCTGTGGCGTATTAAAAACTCTTGTCAAGGTAAGCCTTCCTACCTCAGAATTTAGAAAAGTATCTATTTCTTCGAAATCTGCCCAAAGACATACCCATGGAGCTGGCAATAGAGTTATCAATTATCCAGATCTATGGGCACTTTGACATTATTTTGGCTAACTTTAGTAAAGGCCGGTGCAAACCACAAAGCAATTGGGAATAAGCTCAATGAAACAGTAGAGTCTCTTAACGACCAGGTCGAGTTGTGTCAGCTAGATTCTATCCTGATGCAAACCAAAGCTATCAGGGCATTAATCGTGAAACTCTACGCCAAAGCTTTTGAGTTATTCGACTTGATTCTTCAGTATCTCTCTTCACCAGTCACTCGTCTCCGAGACGCTCTTAACGAAAACGCCTTTGAGAGAAAATTTGGCGGCTATGTTAAAGCTATTACATATATTACGGACAGGATACGGAAAAGAGCCGAAATGGGTTCACGAGCTGAGTTAAGAGATGTGAACTTATCAATCAACTATTTTTTCCAGAAACTTGATAAGGGACTGAAGACCGAGGCAGAAGAAAGAAAACAAGGTCAGGAAAAGATCCTGACTGAGATGAAAACTCAGGGAAAGATCCTCCAGGAAATGAAAACCAAGCAGGAAATCTCTCTTAATTTTCTGGGCGCAGCATTTCACAATGTAGGGACTACAGGGCATAGGTTTCTCATACAGTCACATATCCCCGAAGGACCTCTGCCACGGGCATTGTCAGACAACTGGGCAAGAACACCTTGTCTTTTCTTAGTCCCACAGGGTACGTGTTTCTCGAACAGAGACATGATTAATATACTGCTAATGTAATGATTGTAGGTGAGGTTATGCCACTATCTTCAGTAAAAGCAGAGAAACCCGGAAGATATTCGGCCCCACAGCTTGGAGAAGAACGCGTTGTGACAGAAAGTGGGAACTCCTTTAAGAATCGCCTTTCTTATTATCCATTGCTAACAGACTTTAAATATAGCAGTACCAAAGCAAGCGCTATTCTACACATTTGACGACATCAAAACAAACGCGAAGATCATCAAAACTTTTCTCATTTGCAACCCGTTACCCCTAGCAGATGCCGACGGACCCACAAATAGTGGGATTCTCCCACAACCAGAGATACTGACAGCACTGCAGTCATGGACACAGGCAAATGGACTACAAATCCTCTGGATCCACGGTCTTGATGGAGACAAGCACCGCAAATCTTTCACCAACCTAGTCAAGGTGGTAGTCACTAACGCGGGAGACTTCGATGTCAATACAATGTATTTCTCTTGCGATCCCTATTCAGGGGGGTACAGCAATGCTGGTGGCGATGAAGAAGTCCAAAAACGGTGTCTGCTTGACTTAACCTATGTTCTCATTTGGCAATTGGTCCAGATTCTTCCACCTTCCTTAAGGGTTGACGAGGATTTCTCGGCCGGACGCTTCAAGACTTGCAATCAAGATTACGAGAGTATCAAAGCCGCAGTGAGCATCCTTCAAGACCTGCTCGAAGTGGCTCCACCCCTCGCTATCGTTGTCATTAATGGTATTGAGCGCTTAAGCCACCCCGTGGTCGAGCGAGACCTGACCTATATCTTGCAATTGCTCGCGCTTTATACGAAAGAACCAGATGTGGGAGTTGTGAGGGAAAGGATGAGTCAGGATTCTGATAGTACCTCATACAGGGGAGACAAGTCGTTGAAGATGCTCTTCGTTACTGCTAGACCTTGTCAAGCTTTAACAGAGCTGTATGAGCTATACGAAAATAGAATGAAGCGGGTGTTAGTGTCCTGGCAAAAGTGGCATCAGTATAGCAAGGATGTTGACTTGTTTTGAAAGTAGCTAGCACTACGCAGTAGAGCTGGTACCTGGGGTTCTCAAGCCTTTGACGCTACTTCTAGGGCTAGAGTAAGTAATTGTATATTCAATTGAAATGTTCTCCTCTTCGTTCCTCGCTTAGTCAAAGTGAGGATATACTTTATAAGCGAGATTATGAGGTAGAAGAGTGCGAGACGGCATTCTAGTCTAAAACGTAGCCCAAAACCGAGGCCTAATTTTATAAAAAAGTACTATATATAAGCGTCTTGACTATTAGTCCGCGAGGAGGGAGGAGGAGGAAGAATTGTCTTCCGGGAGGTGGGCGGTGTTGGATGAGGCTTCTTTGAAGGTGTCGGTGAACGTTTTGACGAAGAGGGAATGCGGGCGCAGAGCTTGGATTTGTAGAAGTGGAAGCGGATTTTGATAGATCCAAAAAGGTAATTAGCGGTACGGTCGAGAGAGCTTTGCGTCGTGAGTTTGGCGTTTTCGCGTTCCTTGCACCTCGCTTACTGTAGAATGCGATTTTGACGTTTGATCTTGACTTTTGATTTGTTTGTATATGGCCGTCCCTCCCTTCCTTTTAACGCGGTTAGCCACGATGGCGCGCTTCTGCTCAGGTGCAACTTACCCTCGCCCCACCCTTGCGAAAGCATCAACTCTATACGATTGTTTTCGGGGGACTAAGTCGGCTCCTTGGAGCCCAAATAGGGCCTCCCAAGATTACAATCCTTCAATCCCAAGGCAGATCCCTTCTCACAACATGCGTTGGCCTGACACCCTCCCAACGAGGATGCGCGGCCACGGCTTTCGTACTCAATTCGTCTTCTACACTTCGTCCTTTCTTCCACCGACTACGTGACTACTTCTATCCTCTCCTTTTCTCGCTCACCTGTGACCTCTCCCAATCCTACTCCGTATTATCGTGCACCCTCTGCTGTGCATGCGGACAGTTGCCCCTTTTGGGTGGGTGCTGCATGTTTTAGCATCGCACGGACTATGAAGCCCCTGAAATATTGCGATCATATCGAATCACAGGCTTCAGATCGCTAAATTTGAGAGCAACACGCTGGAGAGGGGGTTTCCGTCAAAAGTCGCCAGCGAATCACCCGCTTATCGGATAAGGTTCTCTTGGCAGAATCGGATGAAATACAGCATCTCTTTACCGAATGGGTGTTGATGGATATTGAGAGTTCTATTGTTCATTGGATTCATTTTGCGCGTTGCGTCAAAGGAAAGGGGGTTGTGGCCGTTGCTGAGGCTGAGGCTGGGGCTGGGGCTCCAGGCGGCTGAGCAGCGGGGGCTCAGCAGAATTATGGGGGGGACTGGGGGTAGTCATATGTCTGCATTAGTGCCGTTGCAAACTGTGCCTTTCCCCTGTGGTGGCTCAAACTCGACTTCGACCTGATTCCCCTGCGGCGGTAGCGTGGCTCAGGAGAAGCGATGACCACACTGTTGCCGGTAGAGAGACGAAACCTGCTTATGACCAACGTCCATAAAAGAAGACACCAGCGTCATTATCGCTCTGTTCGCAACAACAGAAGCAAGATATTTCCCCACCAAGCTTTATAATTTTTGACAGAATATGGAAGCTGGCCAGACTAGCGATATCGCTGAGACACCACCAGCAAATCCGGCTCCGTCTGAGTTCAGACGAGTTGATGTAAGCGAAACCAGCTTTACAACACTCTATGATGGATCAGAGAAAGACGGGAAAGATGCGATAGTCGAGTAAGCCATCATGACGGCCAATCTGTCTATCGTACTAATAGCTATGGCGCACAGTATCATCTTTGTTCATGGACTCGGCGGTAACCCAGAGACGACGTGGTCCACCTCAAAGCCATCGGTTCACCCTGCGGATCAACCGACGCTTTCGAGTAGCAGCAGGTGGCTTGTTTGTTTGTTTGTTTGATTCATAAACCGTTCCAGGCCTAAAAAGGCCCATGCAGTAACTAATTACATGAGATCTAATCCTCAGGCAGTGATTTCGCTAACTAATCCTCTTCTTGTTGATAAGAAGACGCGTTTTGAAAGAGGTCCTGGGCTTCGATAAACAGCTCCAAAACCTTATAGGAAAAGGGAGCTGAAGAATGCCCCTCCTGCCCTAACTAGGCACCCTACCCCCTCCCTGTCCTCTCCTCCCCTTCCCTCGTCTTCCTGGCACCTCCTCGAAACACACGGGTAGATAGACAGGCTAGGAGGTAATAGTTCTGTCTGCTTTTGCTCTCCCGGCAAGAGCAGTAATTAAATGTACTCGTAGTCTTCTGCCTTGAGAGATAACTATACGCCGGGTATATATATAGTGCCTCCAAGGTTCCTTTGTATCTCTTGACTTGATATATTAACTACTCTCGGAAGCGCGTTCATAGAGATGCTCGGTCTATCTCCTTGGGCTCTTTACTACATATAAGAGGGAAGACCAAGTGGCTCGTTTAATAAGGCTTGAGTTCGAGGGCAAGTCGGGCGCATTTCGTTATAGTATAATGTAAAATGGGGTATGTAAGGACGAATTTGTATGCAAGCGTACGGTTGGTATAATATAAATTCTCTATTATAGCTCTAAGAGGTTAGCTAGAAGCTCTATAATGCGAGATAGGGTGAGATGAATGGATTGTTTCCGAAAATTTGCTTCGTCGATTTTGTATTGTTTTTCTAGCAGCAGGTGGCATTACCTGGACCGGATCCGGTCGAAATCACGTGGAGAAAAATCTGCCATTAATGCAGAGGGTAGCTCATCAAGCCGCAAGCACGAAACATTCTGGCCGGCCGAATTTCTCCTCGCTGCGTTTCCTTGCACTCGTATTCTCACCTGGGGATATGACTCAAAAGTAACCCTCTTCTTTTCGGGCTCCGTAGACCAGGGTAGCTATTACTCTCATACAAAAGATTTACTCTATGACGTCAATGATATTAGGGCAACCAATAGTGTAAGCTCCCTTGACAAAAGCCAGGACAGGATAATGTTTGCTTACTGACTCGCGCATAGCGGAAGAGACCTATCGTCTGGATTGCTCACAGCTTGGGAGGTATCATTGTGAAAGAGGTTAGCATTCCCAAACACACAAGATACATAGTAGCTTACTTAACAGGCCCTCCTTCGTGCACAATCTGGCTTGGGAGATAATTCACTAAAGGATATATATGACTCCACCAAACAAGTTCTATTTCTTGGTACACCGCATCGCGGAAGCTCTATGGCGTCGTGGGGCATCCTAGCTGAGCGAATTGTTAAAGCTGCCGGGTTCGATACGAATGCTGTGATCTTAAAACAGCTTACGACCCAGAGCCCAGCGTTAGGGAACCTCAACGAACGATTCATCAGCCTCTTAAGGAGTCAAGATTTTGATGTTGTAACATTTCAGGAAGCTAAGGGAATGGAAGGCATGCGTGGTCTTAATGGCAAGGTATTTTTATAGGATGCTTCCAGTTACCTCGTGAACCGGATATCCCCTGACAAATCTATAGGTTGTAGAAGATTTTTCTTCCACCATTGCTGATGAACGACAAAGGACTATCCCAGGAAATCACAGCGAGATGTGTAAATTTTCGAGCATACAGGAGACTGGGTATCGCCGCATTGAAGCGGAACTACGCAGAGTTATTCTCAAGATCCAGGAAATAGCAGGAAATGGGGCGTTGGCGCAAGCAGGAAGTTCGTCCACATTTCGGTCACATTAAGTTTTATATTTCTGAAGCTCCAGATTGATTTCCCTAGCAAGGCTAATCATGAAATCTTCATGGTCCAAGGCAAAAATCAGCATTTATGATACTTTCGGATTGCACGTTGCCGTCTCTTCACACTGGATTTGCTTTTCGCCGAGCTTCAAATCTCCGCTTTGCATTTCATCCAGCAGCTTTTGTAAATGAAACCTTGATATTCTACCAAAAACTGTGAGCTTAATTATTTGGGGGTCATATCTCTAACAGTTCTTACAGGAGTTGATCCGGATCCGTTGCACGAACCACAGTCCCTAGTGGCTGGGCAACTTCAACACTTCGCTCTCTTAGAGCAGTTGATGCCAGACACGTCGATTTTTGGGTATGACGTTCTTCTCCACGACGCAATAAAGAAGGGAGACGAGCCAACTGTTCGCAAATTGTTGATGATGGGGGCGAAGATAGAAGAAGAAAATTTGCTCTTCGAATCAGATCTGAGCCTAGCTGTCAGCAGCGGCAAGGTTGAAATTGTCGACTTATTATTGGAGTACAGTGTGTCAAAGAACTACTCATGCTACTCATACTACTCATGAATATTCATGAGTAGCGTGAGTAGAATATGAGTAGCGTAATATCCTAAAAATTTGAGTAGAGTAGAGTATATACTCATGAGTAGTATGAGTAGTTATGAGTAGCCGTCACGTGACAATAATAAATTAAGATTTATCTAACAATAATTAAATAATATAGGTATTTATTAAGTAACCCTAGTAAAGGTAAGTTAGGGCTTATATAAGACTAGCTAAATACTAATTTTTTATAATAATAAACTAGTTATACTCTTTAGATCTTGATTTCCCCCGTCTTGCTTACTAAGTAATGCCACTGCCTAATTGGGTAGAGACGTGACGCTAGAGCGGCGCTAGACGGGAGGCTTACCTTATTAGGCTAGTCTGTCACGTGTGCATGTCACGTGGGTACCTACTCACACTACTCATTGTTGAAATTAGGGGCCTGAGGCCCCTAATAGGCTTAGTAAGCCCTGGAACCGAACGCCATGGGGCTGTGCACTAGCTTAATACCCTGTCCAGCTGGAATACCCTGTATAGCTGGAATACCCTGTACGGCTGGAATACCCTGTATAGCTGGAATACCCTGTACGGCTGGAATACCCTGTATAGCTGGAATACCATGTACGGCTGGAATACCCTGTATAGCTGTAATCGGTTCAGCTGGCATAGGGATTTAGTACATGTGACTTAGGGGGTTCAGGGCTATATATACGGGCTACTTACCACTGTAGAACAGCAGTCAATTCAGTACGTTTTACTTGGTTTACATTGCAAGCACGTGACCCTAGCTATATTGCTTTAGCTAGTTCAACACTCATACTACTCATGAGTAGCTTGAGTAGAGTATGAGTAGCGCGATAATTGGTTGAGTAGAGTATGAGTAGGACCCACTACTCTACTCTACTCTACTCATTTGACACACTGTTGGAGTATGGGGCCGATATTGAGAGAAGACGCCCTTACTCCAAGGAGACACCACTAATGGAAGCAACAAAATTAAGATCCCATGCAATAGTGAAATTGCTGCTCCAACGAGGGGCTGACAGCCAGTCAATGGATAGGAAAGGAAATTCATCATTACATATCGCTTGTGAATGCGGTGATGAGGGCATCGTGAACTTACTGCTTCAGCACCGAGGCGGTATTGAGCAGAGGTGCTCCGACTCCATGGATACGCCACTACTTCTGGCTACAAGATCGGGACAAATCGCCATAGTTGATTTGCTAGTCTAACGAGGGGCAATCATCGAGGCAGCCGATTCTGAGGGGAAAACACCGTTGCATCTCGTTTCTGAGCTTCGGGACGATAAGATGGCCAAGTTATTGCTGAAATCCGGGGCTAACTCTGGAGCAAAGGAGTCGAGACGGCAGAGAACCCCGCTACATTATGCAGCTGAGAAGGGAAATTTAGCTGTGGCCAGGGCTCTGTTGCAAAGTACGGCTCACATCGACACTCAAGATGGTGAATATGGCACAGCAGCCTTACATCTGGCGGCCGAGCTTGGTCACACAGATATTGTTAGTCTCTTGATCCAGAAAGGAGCCGCTGTTGATGTTTCCCATCATGCCAGTCGCACAACGCCTTTGCACCTGGCATCAGCGAATGGCCATGACGCAGCGGTGAAAATTCTGCTAGAGGCAGGAGCTGATGCCGCAGCAACTCAATACCCTAATCTGCACGGGAAAACGTCACTGCACCTTGCGGCTCAGTACGGCCATGATCGGGTTGTGAGACTACTTTGCCGTGAGAGTATTGTTGAGAAGAGAGATAATTTTGATGGCAATACACCACTCCACCTTGCCGCCGTCGGGGGGCATACTCTTGCCGCGAAAATCTTATTGGAGAAGAATGCTGAGATTGAAGCTAGAAACAACCAAGGATCGACGGCCCTCTATTTAGCGCTCAAAGCAGGTAACGAGGAACTCGCGCTACTGTTTCTCAATGAAGGGGCAAACACGACGTGGCCGGGTGCCGCCATATCACCCTTACAATACGCAGCTTTTGTCGGCCAAACCTGTGTGGTACGGAAACTTTTAGAACTAGGTGTTGATGTTCAAGACGTGGGCAGACATGGAGAACTAGCACTAATATGTGCTGCTTCGGCCGGCCATACAGCAATTGTCTTGCTGCTGCTTTCAAATAAAGCTGAATTGGACTCGCTGAATGGCACTGGATGCACAGCCCTGCATCAAGCGTCGCGTAATGGCCACGGAGAGACAGTGCGTCAACTCCTGAAGAAAGGCGCCGATTTCAAGCTCAGTGATAATATTGGGAGGACTGCACTCCACGACGCAGCATCACGGGGCCATGAAGATGTTGTGAGAATTCTCATTAGTGAAGGGGCTGACTGCACTGCAACCGATGAAAATTTTGTCACACCTCTTCATTTGGCAGCTATGTCTGGCCATGATAATATCATACCCCTGTTGATCAAAGCAGGCGCATTTATCGATGCCCTGGCTTCCGGACGGCAAGCTCCTCTCGCCTTTGCTTGTAAACACGGCCATGAGTCCACAGCAAGAGCTTTGATAGCAAAGGGGGCTCAAGTCGCAGGACCGGAAATTACACCACCTCTAATAGCAGCCGCAATGGGAGATCACTTGGGAATCATTGACATATTAAAGAGTCATCGGGATCTTGATGGTGGAATTGGTGAAGTGGAAGCGCTGCTTGTGGCAGCATATCACGGCCACACATTAGTGATCAAGAAATTGCTGAGTTGGGGAGGACTCGACATCAACGCAATCGGACCTGGAGGGGCATCCGCTTTGCATTTTGCGGCTACCAATGGACAGGACTCTGCCATACAAGCACTTTTAGAAGAGGGTGCGGATGTCGACCAACGCTCTGACATGGATTGGCTACCGATTCACGGAGCAGCCCTTAACGGTCACACATCAGCTATAAGGACATGTTGAATGCTGGAAGTGGCGTTGAGTGTTTGCAGGATATTTTCAACGAAGACCTTTCAAGTCTTCGACGGTCAGATCGAGAGGGTCTAGTCCGCTTGTTTGTTCAATTCTCAAGGGAGACAAAACGATTTTACACTACTATTAAGGGTGGTGACGTAGCAAGTATCCGCGAGCTGGCCACAAATACAGCAACTGCCAATATGAGAGATGCGAATGGCAACACAGCACTACACGCGGCCATCGAGTACGATTGCACAGGAGCTATTCCGATCTTGTGCGATAGCGGTACTGGCATGGACACTAAAAATGCTCTGGGGCGAACGGCGTTACATGACGCTGTTCTAAGTCGGAATGTTGAGGCTCAACGCCTCCTGCTGCAGTATGGATCTGATGTGAATGCAAGGGATCGCCGTGGGCTTACGGCACTCCATGCCGCAGTTGTGACTGAACAAGAAGTTTCCGTCAAGATTCTACTTGAAGCAGGTGCTGATATTGGTATCAAAGACAATTCGAATCAAATGAACCCACTTCGATATGCAGAAGCACGAGGGTATGAAGCGGTGCTTCCACTCCTCAGAAAAGATCGCAAAGAGTATTACAAAGAATAAAGTTAGCCTATGAATTGTCTACATTTAAAAAGGCGGCAGCAACTGTTTTTGGAAAAAAAGAAAAAAGAGAGACTCTCTTCAGCAAGGCGGAAGGATCATTCACTTGATCGTGCGATATCATGAATCAGTCTTCTCTTTCTTAAGTGCCGGATGGGGTTAGGAAGCTTGCCGCTCTTGCTCAGGAGTTGCACTCACCTGAGCTGCATGAGCACCCTGAGTACCACGAACACTATACTTTTGTTTTATATATATTGCTTAGTAGGCCTAGACTAACTTGCAGGAATGGGTAGAGACCCAGCAAACACTACCAAAACACCTGCATAAGCAGCAGTAGCAGCTAAAACATCCTTTCCCGTGCTGTCCGTTGCGCTAACTGCTAAAAGAAAACCGAACACAATCGTTGAGATCAAAATAGTAAGAAGACCTTTGACCGTAGAAGGGTCAAGTGTCATGATAAGCATAGGAATATAGAAGGCTGTTCCTCCGAATGCCGCCATATTAAGGCGCGACGAGAACGCTTGATTTTGATCACGTAAATGCTCGTCTAGCCCACGATAGCCCCAATTTCCGGCTGCAAGATCTTCTGTTTGTTTTGGGATTGGTGAGGGCGTTTCCGGGACGAGGGATTTGATGGCATCTGAGAGAGTATCAGACGATGAGCGCACGAAACGCTTTCTAAGATCTCTGCCGTATGATGGACTGAATAGTATGCTAGAAAATATAGCAGGTTGAATCGCGAACCCAAAGATTCGAGGTTGCCGTTCGGGAGGGTTAACTGCACCCTGCTCCATCACACCAATAAGTCCCGTTTCAGGCGGGATAAATGGGACAGCCCCCTCCGACAATGTTTCGTAGTTCCGCAGAGCTTTGGCTGTACCTCATGTAAGCAAATTCTGTGGAGCAGAAATAATAGCAGACTCACAATAAGCTCGTAATTTCTCATCGACTTCTTTTGTCTTGTCGTCTGGGACTATATCGCTCGCGGTCTCAACTGCCAGACGAAGCAGATCACTCTGCAGCTCGGAAATCCTTCGTAATTGCAGGCTTCGAAAGCTAAGCACGACCAAATTCTTGGGATGGACCCTTTGATGATCACCAATTAGACGATTGGCCCTGCCTTCGCCCTTTTCTCTCTCATCTCGACCACTAATCTCGGCTGCTTGAATCTCTTCAGCTTGGACATCAGGTCCGCCTTGTTCTTCCTTATGGTGTGGGTTGCTGGCATCCCGAGTCCTGGAAGCTTGCTCCATGCTATGGATAATATTTTCCAGGTTGTGGTTCAATTGATTAAGATTTGTTGCGGAATGTGGTTTAGTGATTAACACAAAATATCCCACCGAAGTGATTCGTTTTGGTCTTATAATAAAGAGTGCAAATCAAACCTAGTACGTGACAAGGCCCTGTGGTGTCACTACCGACGCCTCCACTTTCAGCTCGAACACGTAGCATCGCAGCGGTGGGATACATGCTGTGTAACCACAGCCACAAATTGACTGGATTGTCCGATTGTCCTATCTTTGTTCAGAGTCTACGCGCCCATCAGCGCCTTTGCAAAGTAGGGTCCTCTTCCGACGCCAATAGTGGCCCCGTCCAGGGTAAAGAAAACAGCAATACTGAATGTGTGTCATTACTTTTTATCGCCCTCGGCCTTAACCCCACCCTTCGAAGTCGTCTAACGATGATGAGGCTGAGTCAATTATTACGCGTATAGAAGGGAATGTAGTTTTAAAAATCGTTTTGTAGAAACTTTAGTTGTAAGGGAACCTGTATGAGATCTTGCTTCAAGACGCATGACAAGGAAATTGTAGCCGAGCATTAAGGTGCCTAGAGCGAGCCCCTTTCAATGCTAGAATGGCCTCTTATTAAATTCTTAAGCTGACTCTGCCGTGCACTTCGATTGCTTAGGCCGAGATCGGGCATGCTCGGGCTCTGCTCAGGTTTGTTCGCCCCCCTAGCTCAGGTAAAAATGGCCACTGCACACGTCCGGAGACTACAACGGAAGGAGCAAATACGGGATTAGAGCCCGACTACCTTGGTATTGATCTAGAGGAGCTTGACTCCGAAGATTGGACATATCTTGGTGACGCAGCTCCCAACTTTGGGTGCCGGACTCAGCTGTGCATCGACGACCCAGCTGTGTCTTTGAAATGCATATATCTTCTATGAGCACGTGTGGATCCACACGCAATGAGTTTCAATGGACGTCTTACGCCACTGGCTGTCTATTTCCGTGGCAGTACAGCACATCAAGTGGAACATGCAGGAAAGTGGCTGCAGATTCTCTCGCAAACTGGCATAGACTTGCACAAGTATGCCACTGAAGAACGGAATTTACATCGCCATGAACCAGGCTCGGCAACTATTGGTGTTTTTAGCGATCGATTACAATCGATGCCAGAATCGTAAAGAACCGTATTGTTCTAATCGATTCAGAATCGATTCTTAGCGAGCAGATTCGCTGAAGTGCTCATAATTATCGTCTTCTGGTGGATAATTATATGGGTTTATAAGGGTTTATAGTATACTTTCTACTTTAACCGCGAATAACTCTATTACTATTAATTATATCATAATCCTTTTATTTGCACAACTACTCTATTTGATTGATGTCAAATGCGAGGTGTGTACCAGTTTGGAGAGACCCGGATCAGCTCAACATTTGGCTTGAGGGTTATGATGCTCCCAACGAGTTCGGATATGGGAGCTTCGATCTGGCGATCTTCTTGTTCTGCACTCCATTAGAGAGTCGGGCGAGGTGGCAGAGAATCAACGAGGTGGACAATATGGTGCTACTCAGCGAACAAGAAGCCTCCCAAGCTCATCTCTATCATGAATCAGCTAAGGTTTCAGTCTTTCAATCCTTTCTTTCCGGGCATTGGTTTTGATTGCTAGTTTTATCTTCAGCGTTCCATTATTTATTCCATATATTTCTGGTTAGTAGTTGAACGTCTTTTGCTGGCACAGTGAGAAGAGGAGTTGAAAACTCTAGTAGGGTGGCCCACCTTTTGAAATGGCTCAGAGAAAAGGAGTGGAGATTTCACAGAGAGTGCCTTTTGTGAAGCTGGGAATGAAGATTTTTTTTATCATTCAGGCCGATATACGTGACTAAAAAGCTTAACCGAAATGAAACTGCCGGGTCAACAGAATAGTCCTGTTCAAGTAATAGGGAAGTGATTCTTGGGGTCTTGGCAGCAATATTTCTGGATTAAAGAAAACGCGTCCAGGGAGTCATACGGATTAACCAGACTTCATATGAATTTAAGAAAGTGAGGAGGAGAGCAAGATGGAGGGGAGCTCGGGTCTCAAGAATAACGAGAGGGTGCCGTGTCAGCCCCATATGGGAAAGGGGATGCGAGTCAGTTGCTGGAAGCGTATCTGATCAAGTAGTAATTGTAATCAGGTGAAACCACAGGTTTGGTGTGACGAAGTGCGACCTGTCCACGCCAACCACGCACTTGTATTCTCGTGGGGCTTTGTGTTGTTTTCCAGTTCAGCAGCCGTCATTGCAGCGGCCAGTGTCTTTTGGCTTGACCGTCCGGCTGTAGATGTGAACGTTGATTTATCTTCTTTTCCTGTTTTCAGTGAGGTAATCTCAGTACAGGAGAGGAAAGATTGGTTCGTGCAAAAAAGAAACGGATGATCTCACGACGCGGCAGCAGTCGAGCCGCCCCGCAGCTACAATATGACAACATCCACTCTCTCACTCCCAATCGCAGCTGCCGTTCATGACTTTTCAGAAATTAGACTAGTTCGATCTAGTGCATATCGATAGTTTCCTAGCTTGGAAAACGCCGCGAGCATTATATATATAGTATGACTTGAAAATCTGCATTCGTTCATGCTTGGTTGCCATACCACATAGATTTCAGAAACCGGAGTATTGCTAAAGATAGTTAGTTACCCGCGTTCTCTATTCTAATGGCTTGTTTACTACAATTATTCGGATTTTTAGCGAACTCCCAGCGAGTTGATTTCGTCCTATTCCGTACAATTAAAACCCCTAAATTTGGAGCGCGGCAACGATTTAAAGGAGTTTGGGGTCTTTGAGGTAAATAAAAACTACAGAACTGACCGAACCCAATAAAGCCCAATGACATACAAGGGCGACAAAACCTCGTGCACAAGTTCAGCCTCAAAGTGAGAGAGATGACAACGCTCGATCTTCGTATGGCTAAATTCTTCCGCATGCCACAACATATATTGGGCCTATTTTGAGCGAACTTTCACTCCACACAACTTCTCCTGCTCCATCTAGTCGCAAAAGATGCGGAATTGGGTTCCTAGAACCTAGTCAACAATGCCGATCTCTGCGAGAATGGGTAAGCGGGATCTGGATCTCCCCCTCGTATCACGATCTTTCGGGGAACTTGCATGTAGAGTTACCCCGGGTTCTCGTGCGGGGCAATAACCCCAAATTCAATCGCCCGTGGTTGGGCATGTGTGTTCACGACGTGCGCCAGGGGACGAAACATGGGAGCATCCTTGACTTCTGATGGCCTGCCTTGACAGATGACAAGAAAGGGGAATTGAGCTCAATGATTCGCTGCTCCGATGCTACACGAGCACAAATTGATAGCCGCGGTATTAGGATTGAAGTCGCGCTCGCTCAGTCCTAGCAACTTGGGGCCTGGAAGAGCAAAGATCGACAGCTATCCAGCTGACTATTCAGTTTCAAGCCCGTTCTTCACTGAGTGAGGAATAGGGGATGAGGGCATCGTCATAGTTGCAAGCCATGTACGTTTCTAGTCCCTTTTTTCATCTGAAATTCTGCAAGAGGAACCCAACTGAAGAGTAAGATTTTCGGCTAGTCGGTGGCTATTAATTTGGATGCAGAATTCTACTCTTGGAGCATGGTCGTGCTTAGCAGCAAGTCTATAAGAACTCCGGTGTTTCCCTTCAGTTCACTCTTCAAATCGACAACAAGTTCACCCCGGAATATCTCCACATCGAAAACATTCTATTAGATCCCTGAAAGGCCTCGAAAATCAAATCAAAATGCTTCTCGGAAAGCTCTTCACCCGCCTTGCCTTCGCGGCCACGGCAATCGCCCCTGGTATGTATCATCTCTCTCAATCACCCCATTCATGCTAACAAATTGATTTCAACAGTTGCCTGTACCCCAATTGCTGAGCCAGACGTCACCACTTTGGAGGTAAAGCGCACCACGGTCGGTGATCGCACCCGTTCATGCTACAGCCAAATTCAAACACACTGTGGAAACATCAGTACACCATAACTTTCCTTCTCCAAATATTGGCTAATATTCACCCTTCCCCAGACAACCACATCCACGACCACGGAGGCCATATCAGCGGAGGCGTAGGTCCAAACCCCGTGTGGCTCAACTGAGGGCTAACAAGGAAAAGGATGTCGATCTCATCAAAGTGGAGCTCTCGGCTATTGTCGCACTATGCCTAGACTTGTCTGCACATATTACTGTTACCATCAGCTTAGACGGTATCCAAGATTGCGGTTCCGTATTCGTCAACATCGTGAAGCTTCTAACCGACCTCCTGAATTCCATCACAGGCGCTTGCGATACAAGTACGGACTACTTTTGCCTATCAGGCCATCCTCAAATCTCTCTCTTTGCTGACGGATTTGCAGGTGCAATTGCCGCTCTCATCGACCTCGTGCTCAGTCTCCTTGCTCACATAACCCTGATTTCCGGTTGCCTCCTTACTAACATTGAAGGTCTGTTTGGTGGGGTCCTGGCTCTTCTTGCGGGCGTCTTGCGCAGCTTGCAGTTGGATATTACTGGGTGCATCTCTCTGTTCACTTCTGCTTGCGGCCCATATCACCACTAAGAGGAAATTGAAGCGTGCTGCAAATTGAAAAAAATTCCACCAGGAAGGGTTCTGAATTCGCTAGCACTTCTGGATAATGGGGATGGGTTTTGGAATCATAGTCAGTAGTGAGGTAGGGGAGTCGAAGGGAAGTCATCCGGGATGTGTCTTTTTTCAGAAAGTAGCAACGGTTATAAAGCAATGTTTAATATAACACAACTTTCAGAAACCGTAATCAAATTGCAAGCCAGATGTTCGCTGAGGTTTCAAATCTGTTTGGAAGAGTGGGACCGAAGTCTGTGCCGTTTCGTACCTCGGACCACGAGTTGGGACGGAACCGTTCCGAGATCCGACACTTCACTCCATCCATAGGAAACCTACAAATAAACACTCCCCTCTCTAGGCACCACTTTATTCTATTGCAAAAACAATCATCATGGTATTTTACGAGCCTGAGCTCACGCGACATAACCTCCCTAGAGATCCATTCAAGGTGAGCCCAGCTCAACGGGTTCATCCTGGAATCTCACCAGTGAAATCTAGTCATGTGTGGTTCCTCGACCTATAGGATGGATCTCAACTCGATCTGTCGATGGCAAAGATAACCTTGCTCCATATAGGTATAACCACCTTCCTCTACACTTGACAGATCAATTCATGGCCTAATCCGTCGCCAGTCAATTTAACAACCTCACTTTCGACCCTCCCTACGTCATGTTCGCTGCAAACCAAACAGAAGTCAACACTCGCAAAGACACAGTAGTAAACGTCGAGTCAACCGGCTCCTTCGTCTGGAATATTTGCACTTGGGACCTCCGTCAAGCCATGAACATCACCAGTGAACAGCTCCCCTCCTCCGTGGATGAATTCGCCAAATCAGGACTTACGAAAATGCCATCAGCGGTTCTCAAACATACCGTCCCAATGGTCTCAGAATCTCCTATAAAGTTTGAATGTTCTTACTTCTCTACGCTGCGGCTGCCCGGAAACCCTCCCATGGGAACTGTGGACTTGATAATTGGGAAGGTGGTGGGGATTCATATTGATGATGGGGTGTTAACGGAGGGTATAGTAGATTTGAAGAAAGTAATGCCGATTGCGAGGTGTGGGTACTATGAGTATGCGGTCGTGAGAGAGACGTTTACTATGATGCCTCCGGGAGACGGGAAGATGGCTATTGGATTGGAAGGAAGCACGGCTGGGAATGCCAAGGAGTGGAAGGAGCTTAATAGGGAGAAGAAATCAGAGGTCCTATAGACATAAGTAATTAACAGGGTTCTAATATTTTATAGTCTAGCTCTGATTAGACGATAGTTCTGCGTCAAGCTGCCTGAAATTTTTGATGTTGTATTAGATGTATAATCCGATAGGGAAAGCCACCAGCCTTTTCTTCTCTATTCATCTGCGCTGGTATTGTCACCTGTCTCCCCAGACTTTACCTGGTGGGGTTGTTTCATGCTGTTTTAAGAAGAAGCATATTCTGTGGAGGAACGACAGCTTTTTTTCTACGAGCATGAATAGTAATTGATCTACATGCTATAATTCCGAGCAAAGTCCCAGATTCTTCAATAGATCACCAGCCGTGACATCCATCATCGCGCTTCTTCGATCCTCGATGCCAAATCCCAACATCAACACATCATCCAGATATCCGACATAATTTCGGCCTTGCTCTTTCCAGTTCATAGATGTGATATACACCATCTCACTTTGATTCCACGATTTTCTCAACTCCGCGTCGTAAAACTTTGGAATTTTCCCACGGCCCGGCCCTCCTCTCCCTCGAATCCAAAATGGCTTTTTGGTCAATCCGTAGATGCCAAAAGGCGCCGTTCGGTGCATAAGCACAACGTATGGCTCGTAGACACCGTGAAAGCCGTGCCACAGCTTGTGTTGGTAGATGTGCATTATGTATGTGTTGGCTTCGACGTTGCACTCGGGATCTTCTCGTCGACAAAGCACAATAGCTAGAGAATTCGTAGCTTGATGAAGATCTTCATCCTTGCCAGGGACAGGCATGTATGCCGCCATGCACTTCTCGTCGTGGCTTGCAACCAAAGGTGCAAGGTCCTCACTGATCATGCCCTTCTTATCCATTCTGACAAACGACCTCTTGGGTGAAATGTCATGATGGACGTACATATCCCCGACGGCATCCCAAAAGATAAACCAATTCTTCTCAACGGGGCCAAAACGTGGCCGTTGAAGTTCCTTGCCAATCAAAAACTGTGTATCTGCTGCAGCTACCCACATAAGGAATGGCCAATTGATGAGTGGCCTGAAATCCTGTATCCATTGACCAAAACAAGTGAACTGAGAGTTGGATCCGAAAACAATGAAGGGTGATTCGGGCCCATAGAAGACTCTTGCATCGTGAGGTCCAATATTCATGTTGAGTATGGTGATATCCCCCACGCAATTTCCTCCCGGGGTAGCTGATATTGGTAATATATCAGGTTTCTCAACGCAGGTCAAGGCGCCTTTCCGAAAGATTGCTTCGCAAGTGATCTCTACACTCCACTGGCCACCGTATGCAGTCCCGGGAGGGTCCATCCTCTGCGCCACAACAATCCACACATCCGTCTTGTTCGGGTGAGGTATCATGTTCGGATTGATGATCCCGAATCCTCCAAAATCAATTGGCCAGTATTGTCCATCTTTCCGCGAGACAGAGAATACTTCGTTGTGTGAGCTCGGCGGGGGTGCGGGGCGACCGTTTGTGGACACTGAAATCTGACCAACCGCAGCCTGGCCACCACGAAAGGATAAAGGAATGATTTTTTCGTGGTAACTGGCGGTTGATAATAGGAGCAGGATTATCAATACGAAGCCGACAAAAGCCAGGATGGGGCTGGGCCGTTTAGCTAGCATTATTGCATTCGGACGTGGGTATCTGGAATTCAAAGTCGATGAAATGAACGGAAGTCGACAAACATACATGTTGCGGACGATTGAATTGGCTGTCAGGAGTGCTTGAACATTGGACGATGTTTCAAGGTTTCGAGCCAGTAATCGCGTTGCGAGCACTCGGACAACATGCGCATTCTCAAACGTCAATGACTCGACCTTGGTATTATACTTACACGATCTCCCCGTGGCTCTCGTTGTCAGGGGCCAGCCCGCGACACAGACGCCATAATACAGTGTTTTCCTGTGTGGCTGGTGGCGATTCAAGGCACTCTCCGGCCCTCAATATTGATAGGCGTAAATTTGATTATTACCCTTTCCGGTGGAGATTTCCGGTTGCACCAACTGGCTCTCATCTCTTGTGGCGCGTTCCAGCGTAATTTTGCCTGCCCAACCAAAAGCCAACATCGCTGAGACAGCTCACCATAGGCGCAACCCCTTTTCCCAGAACATAACGCCAATCAGCCCTTCGGCAACCCCCTCAAAACCTCGCTTTTCGATTTCCTTTCTTGCGCACACAACCGAATTCGAGCCTTTTATAAATCGGAAAGCACGAAATGACCTGAAATTTCAGATGAGATACCTGGCTTGCAAGCTATGGAATGGGTTACAGGGCATGCATCTGAGATTATTGGTCACACTGATGAAATTGGACGGTACCGCTTATTTGTTAAGGTTTACTGCCAACACTTCTATAGCATTCAACAGCGAGTTTAAGGAATAATCAAAGAGACGGGAAGGAAAAGAATTAAGTAGTTCTAAGAATTTTATTTGCTCGATTTAAAGTAATTCAATACTTGGGAAGGGTTTGAACTTTGGAAGTGTTGCGGGTGAACTTCCCTTAGATGAATGCGCTGCATGTTCGCGCGTGGAGCGAAGCCACAGTAGCCCACCAAATTCCTTCCGTTTGCATAATTTCCAATGCCCCGTTCTTAGTATTATCACCTTCTTGGCTGTTCCCAATAATAGGAAGATTCCTGGTCGTGGTAATGCCCCTCCCTGCCTTTTCCGGGGGACTTGCTTACTAGAGCTCTACAAGCTTATTTCCCTGTGCCTCCTTGTCAAAAGCATGAATGTGAATTTTCCAAATACCGATGATACGGAGTTCCCCATCAGATTCTTCTTTCACTGCCAATACATTATACAAACAACGACAGATGTATGAATCGTATACCTTGGTATCAAACCATTCCTCAGCCCACGGAGTATCCATGAAAGTAGCCCACTGAGCTTTCGTCCCAGGTTTTCCACTGTATTGTTCGTTATCACTGCCCCAAGCAAGACCTTCTCAATCTTTTTCAACGTGGTTTGAGATAGTTGGAGAAGGTGGAAAGATGTAGCGGCTGAGAGTGGTACCTGAATTCGTCCATAATGATTGTCCTGTGTGAACACCCTTCCAACCTAACACTGAGAGACGTCGTTTATCCCGAGAGTTCAAGTTGTAGTTCTCAATAATAATACATATATTGTAAGAGACGTTGCGGTCCTTCAAACAAGACACTGCAGGGAGATCAACTAACAACAAACATAAGATCAAATTATTAAAACTAGCTTTACATTCGATGTGTTTTGGAAGAGACATTGAATCTCAGAAAAGCAGCCGAAGCTGGGACGAAACGTCAAACTCCACCCTTTCGGTGCAGGTATGGAGATCTTGCGAATCCCGAAGAGTAGCCGTTTGGTTACCCTGAGTGAATCCAGGGGGAGGGAGTCGTCAAGCGAGAACCAATCAACAAGAGGATAAATGCTGATTCGCGACGTGAAATCAACACTCCTCGGAAACCACAAAATATGGAATTAATATTCAGAAGTACATGTGTTGGCTGCTATGTCTACCCAGTAACCGATTTGCACCCTATTTAAATTTTAAACCGTTTCCAAATTGTTCCGAACACCCGTGAGTAAAAATGGTATGTCTTGCGCTTGCATAAATATATCTTCCTAATCGAATAATCTGCTCATCAACAGCAATGCCCCGCCACTTGACGTGTTCTTTCCAAACAAAGCACCGACCCATCGTGACCTGCGTAATCGACTGATCTCCAGATCTTCCCTTTCATCCAACCCCTATCCGTCCGATATGCGGTCGCAAATCCTCAGCCAATTAATTCGAATCGCTTGGCAACCTCACACAACATTCGTTTGATATCACAAGAGAACTCGAAAGCTTGAGACAACTCAGGTTTGATAGATCCATCACTAGGACAATGGTTGCCAGAATTCTCGAGGTCCCCAGATCCTGCTGTCGATCATTCGGTTTCGACGCCAAGCTTTGTAGAGAAAAGACCCGAAACGGAACGAAGATGACGTTCCATTTGAGCCTCAACCACATCAATCGTCTCGTGAAATCAATGGGTTTGAGATTATAGGTGGCTAGCGTGTGGATTCATACGTACCACACCTCGCTACCCAATTCTCACAGATTGCCAAGAGAGACTAGAAGCCTCCCACAGACTATCAGTGACTGACTGAACAGCTGCCTGTATCCATTTGATAGCCTTGGAATTCCCGCCTCGTGATACCTCGCATCGCATCAGAAGCACCCGCCAGCCCCCTATCGTCAATCGTCATCAGCTCCGCCCCAAACTTGGGGCCACGAAGTTCAGACGGAACGAGCCCACATTCCAATTTCCCACTGCTCCTCATCGTCGCAACTACAAAGGGGTCTATATCAAGCTTTTCGTTTGAACAAGCTTCAATCGTCTCAACTTGCAATGCCGCCACAGAAGAATTCGGTTCCGACGGTAGTAAGCAGCATCCCTTTACCAAGTGAAATGATATAAAGTCTTGCCATGTTCAACTCTTGGATTTTCGTTCAGCTTCGGCATCAGCACCGGCAGTATCTTCTTTCTTCAACTTCATTCACATTCTCTTCGCACCAGGATCCGATTGATTCGCGGCCTCCTTAAAGTTAATTTTCCAAGTCCATACACATCAATTCCAACCCTTCTTTCTCAAACCACCTCAACTCACTCAATTCTTCGCACCCCCCACCCTACCAACTCCAACATCCACCAAGCAACCACAAGCATGTTCTCCAAGACCATCCTCTCTGCTCTTGTAGCTGCCGCTATCGTCTCCGCACACGGCAAAGTCGCCGTCGTCACCGGCGATCTAGGCGGTAACGGCACAGCACTCGGCATCAAAGGCGGCGTCGTCCCTGGCCCAGGACCGAACTACGAGACCGAGGTCGATACAACAGTGTTCTGGAGCAAGGAAATTGCGACAGATGACGATATCGGATATATTGAGGATGGAAGCGGGAATAACCAGTTGAGTGATTTGACGCAGGCGATGGCTTTGTCTGGGTCGACTTTGCCGCAGGCATGTTGTTCTTCATCCACTCCTCCCTGAGCATTCTAAGCTTGAGGAACAAGACTAACAAGAGTCCAGGTCAGCAGCGGGGGGAATGTCAAAGGCACCTTTCATATCGTGACCAGTGATGGCGCTGGACCATTGCAAGCCCTCGTCGACCAGTCTGCGACTGGCAAGTGGTCAACCGCCAAATCTGCTACCGTGTCGACACAAGTACCAGGCACGAATGGGAATGTTGTAACCAAGCGCTCGCTTTGGAGCCGCGCTCTCATTAAGATGGGCCTGATCACCGCGCGTGCTACGAACGTCAATGAAGACCATGTGAGTAATTATTCAGGAAAGAAAGTGGAGAGAAAAGAGGCTGACGAGAGCAACAGGCCTTCGCAGTCGACATCCCATCCGGGACCTCTTGCGCGGGAGCCATCAACGGGATCTCCAATCTCTGCCTCGTCAAAGTTTCCAACAACAACGCGAACGGTCCTTTCGGGGGCGTGTTCGCGGTGCAGATGTCGAGCTCGACGACCGCTCGTGCCAAGCGCAGCACTAAGTTCACTTCTTAAGTAGAGCGACTTGTCGTGATTAAGGATTTCACTTGCGCTAGCGAGGTGAAAGGATGATGGAGGCTTTGTAAGATTATGCGGGAAGAGGGAAGAGGGGAAGGTGTGAAGGATCGAGGGGGTCGGACATATGATGTGTATCTCTTCAATTTGATGCTTACTCAATCGTAGACCGTTCGTACAACTTCCCACTTCTTGCTTGATTCGCTCTCCGCCCCAGGCTCGAAGCCACACTAATGACTTCGAGTTTCCATTAAGTAAGAGTGCCCTGTTGCTGAACTCTTCTGTCTCTGTTCTCATTCCTTCACTGGTGCCAGGATTCCATCTTCCGCTGATAAAGTTGTGTGATTTCTAAAGGAGGTGAGTTGGATTTCGTCGTAATGGCAGATTCAATGTGCAAGTGACTTTAGATGGATGAAGATATTTTCTTCCAACGCGAGACAGTCCATAACCCCCGGGAAGGTATAGCGCAATGGAGCCAAAAGCTGTATTGACCTGGGAGTTGTTGTAAAATGCGGTGTATTTCAAACAGAGTATGCATTCGTCTAAATCAAATAGTCGTTCCATCAGATGGCCGCGATGAACTCTCTCCCCCATCAAGGTTGGCAGTATTCTTCTTCTCAGTCATGTCTTTCGTCTCAGTCGTCTCGTTCGTTTCCCCATGTCGATCGGCCTCAGAACCCCGTAGCGTAGAAGACTCAGATGCTTTCCCTGGCAACGGCCCCGGTGCGACTGGTGGAGGCGCGGGTTTCTGCTCTTCGTCAATTACACTCGCCGAGTCCTCTTCCCAACTCTTCTTCTCCTTCGCCAGTGCCGATCGTACCCAAGGTACAGTAATCGCTGCCCAAATAGCAGCCCAAATAAACGGCGCGGCCCATCCTAAACTACATTAGCTAGTGAATAAACTTGGAACCGAAGTAATATACCAATGCCATACGCAACGGGCCTCGGCACAGGGTGGATGCAAATCACCACTGTACATGCCACTGCAACGAACAACCCAGGAATGGACCAGAACCAGGATTGGTCTCTGATCATCTTTCGGAAGATAGGACTCGCGTTATATCTAGCAGCCCATCCCTCTCGGAACGGTCTGCCACCTCCTGCGTTCACAGCCACGATATCTTCCACGATGTAATAAATACCAGGCAAGACCTTCTCTCCCTTGGCAGTTGAGCTGATCCGAAAGGGTGCTTTCCAACCACATGCACTGTATAGAGACATGAGGAAGATCGGGCCTGACAAGCAATACAAGATAGCAGGCCCCGGCATTGAGAGGACCCGTAGGAACACGATATGTGGTGCGGCGCCGACAATCAAAAGCGCTGTGACTGTGGTGATTGTAAGGACCAATATCCAATTCGTGATATCGAAGGCCCATCTTTGATTCGCCCCGAGCGGCTTGAAAAAATGCTCTTTCTTGATCAGCCGCAGAGATCGTACTGCGAACTCAACATATGTAGGTCCTCCCCAGATCGCAGTCACAACTGCAAATGTGATGTATCCTTGGACATTTCCTCCATATGTCATGGTGTAGTAGAGCAAGATGGGCACGATACAGGCGTCGAAGACCATCAACGAGATGTAGCCCGCCAGCTTCCACCGCTTGAATCCATGGCGGAATGTGAACGGCAGCTGGGGCAGCAGTTCAGGGTGTGCGAGATAGTAGGATTGCAGCGTGCTGCCGCGCCGCTTGAATTCCTGTCGAGTAGCTGCTCGACTGTCATAGTATGCCAGGCGATTTGCCTCGTTGAGGTCGCTATCACGGTGATGGTGGGAGGATTGCCGTCGATTCGAGGTAGATTGTCGTGGAGAGGCTATTCGCGCTGGAGAGGAAGGCTCGTCTCGAACTTGGTCGAAGGTTACTCGTCGATCGTGGATAGGACTTGATGGTGAAGTTGGATCTTGGGAATTGGATCGCCCACTCCCTCGGACGACGGCAGGCATGTCTGGCTGCTGTTAGCATTGCCGTGGTAATGGCAGAAACAGAGAGGACAGACTGTGAACATCTCAGGAGCGAGAGTGATGATGAGAGGATATGACATCGGCGAGGTCAGTCCTGGTCGGATGCTGCGGAGGTCTGGCAGACGCGGCTTGCTGACAAGGATTCCCAGGGGCACGACAACGACGTCATCTTCGAATCCGGATCCAACCACTGCTTGGCAGAATGACCGCTGAGTCGGCCACGATTCATGATTGTTCGCATTGGCATTAGCACAATAATGAATTGATAAGTGTCGAATGTTACAAAAACGTAAAGAACAAGGTTCAACCGTTGTACTCGGGAACACCCCGGGACTTCAGCAGATAAGGAGAGCTTCTTTGGGCATCACCCTTCGGTACGATCACATGGTTCTGTTTTCACTCGAGCAAACATAAATGCGTATCTCGTGTTTTTTAAATCCGTTTCTAGTGCCTATAATAGGAGACAACTCGTTCCTCTTACTTTCAAGAAACCTTGACTTGATATGGGGGTAGTCTTTTCGAATTGATGGGTATATCTTCATATCCATTCATAATTGCAGACGACGAAATTAAGGAACACAATGAAGCTGAAGAATTCATATTGTTCTCAACTATTCTAATTTCCTCGCCCTGTAAAACATCGCAAGGAAGTAGCTCAGGGGGAAGATCCGCGCGAGTTGTAAGCATGAAATACTTGAAAACAGATTTTCCACCAGGGCAACGTCTTTATGAAACCTCCTACAAACTTGGGGAATCTCGTAATCAGGCCGAGACCATGAGGTCTTTCCACAACATTAGCATTCGGAACTGCGGTGAGCTTCCGACCTTTCCGCCACCAATACTCAACACATCCCATATCAAGCCCCCCAAGCTCGTTGAGTGATTTGATTCGTTCTAAGATGATATAAAGACTTCCGTCCGAGAGCCGTAGACGATTACTATAGCTAGTTACAGATAGGGGCACCAGTACCAGCACAAATCTTGAACAAGAACGCACCGAAACTAAGCCTGCTGCTGTTGACCAAATATTCCTTAGCTTAAACTCGAATGCATAAAGCGCCTCGGAAACATGCCTGATATCAACTTGTTGATCCATCAGATTTGCACCCTCCAAACCTACAGGCTGCTCGAGACCTCTCGTCCTGGTGGGCCTTTCCTCGATCAGAAATAGAAAGATGGAGAGTCATAAGCTCTGGATCTTGGCGCGGAGGACGAAGGCACGGAAGATGTGGGGATCGCATGTTACAAATATCGGTGTGCCCGCACTCCAGTGACCAGCAGTGTGAAGCTCGTTAAGCAATTCTTTGTCTTCTTGAGTCAGGAAACTAGCTTCCATCTTGTGTTTGAAGAAGTTTCTTGACCTCTTCACCAAACATTCTCCGCGTCGCCTTTGGAGGACGGAAAAGGTCTGACTCATTCCTTCCATATCGTTTTGAGGGTTTCCGTTCTGGTGATCTTGGAGCTGGTCCAAGGGTTTTCTGTTTCGTGTTGCCCATCTTCGTGGTTTCTTGCTTCGTTGAATACTTCATCGTGCTTGGTTGGTTCTTGTGAACACGGGCAGAATTGGGAGAGAAGCGATGAATATGGCATGAGTTGTGTCTTTCGAGAAAGGAAAGAAATCGAGGAATGAAAAACGCTTGCCTTCTTTAGATCCCTGAGGTGCGGTGGTCAGAGTCGAGATGGACCGTAGATTGACTTTCGCCATAACTGCCGCTTTAACTTACGGTTCACGAATTAGTTCGCATCTTAACCCAAATATATCTTCCCCTCTCCTCCTCCCCTCGCTTCCAAATCTCCAATCTTCATTAGCATTTGATCAAATAGGAAACAAACCCCAAATCTAGCAACCAAAATGGGCTCGGAACTCCAAAGCACCAGCAAAAGCACCGACTCAACGGTGACTTCTCCTCAAACACTCGCAGAACTATAGGAAGACGCGAACCTCGGGTACAAAATTCATGTGCTACTTTATGATTTGAGGAATATAAAATCCAATCCGGAGTCTGAGGAGAGGACTTTGCAAACGACGCATGAACTGTATATCAGCGCCCCGTATTTCAGGGATGAGGAAGCAGAGAAAATAAGCAAAGCTACTGTGTCACTTCCACCACCAACCACGGACCTTGGCGATGAAGAAGAAAGCTGAAAACAAAAACGAGGGCCCGAAAAGAGAGCGAAGATGAGAGAATCGACGATCGAAGACGGGATCGAGGAAAGCTCGACGGTTTTTTATGAGGGCGGCGAGTGGTGATGCAAGGCCTTATGGACGGCATGACATAACACCCACCTATGAGAGGGTTTTGGGAGTTGAAAAGAGTGAGCTGGATGATGAGAGGTTCTTGGGGAGGTTGCGGAGATCTGGGATTGGGGAAACAGAGGACAGCCTGGCAGGTGGGGAAGGAGAAGGAAAGAGAAGTCGCTATGGATGCTGAAGTTGGACACACCGGTGAGACCATGATAGTCGGAGCAGGAGATACGACTATGAGGGTCACTCGACGCAGGTTCTGGGACGGTTGGTGAGGAATATCTGAAAATTACGCCATTGAATTAATGATCGCTAAAACAGGGTATGCCAATCTATGCATGCAACAAAGGAGAATCCCCACCGAAATGATACAAGACTTCCATTAAAATTTACAGGAGAACAAGGGCGAATATTAACGAGCAAACCCCCATTAATCCACTTCCCACCTTCACGCTGCTTGCTGCACTCTTGCCAGTCGAGCCACTCGCCGGCACGATCGTCTTTGTAACACCTCCTGCCTGGGTCTGCGTGGCTCCGGAACCGGATCCGGTATCCGTCGTGGCAGCTGCCGTGGACTGAGTAGTAGAAGTCTTTGATACTGTGCTGGAAGTGACAGGGGTCCCCGCGGCAAAGGTTAAGCCCCAAGTGTTTGACACGGTAGCAGGCAGTGCACTGACCCACACATCAATGACACACTCGACGGCCATCTTCTGATCCGTCCATTTGGAGCCCGACTTCGAGGGTGCAAGATTTAGGAGGTAGGTGGATGTGACACTACCCGCTGTCCATGCGATGTACCCAAGATAAACGTCAGAGTTGTCGTTGATGGCTGTGTTTTGGGCACAAAAGTCGATGAAGCACTGAATTACAAGTCAGTATCTGTGGCTGGAATAGAGATTTGACGTGCTTACAGAATCAGAGGCACCAGCACCGGTCTCACTGACGATCGCTTGCCGCTTGTTCTTTCGGAGCCACGCGGCAACGGGTACGAATGTGTCCTTGACATTGTCCATCACGCACTCAATGTGATTGCCCGAGTTATCGATATCGAGATATTTGTGCAGATCGAAGATGATGTTGTCCGTTGACAGATCTGGGTTCGTGACCGTGGCCATTGCCGCACCCCAACCACTGCTGATGAAAGTGCCAGCGCTGGAGAAGTTCAGTCCAGGCAGGAGGATTGTATGGGAGACCAGTTCGGCTTTGCGGATTGCGTTCACGGCTGCTTGACAGCTGGCGGCCCAGGTGTCGATGACGAGATCGTGCGGTTCATTCATCAGTTCGAACATGACAAATGAATTGTTGGCATATTTGGTGGCCAGTTGTGTCCACAGGTCTGCGAATTGAAGGTCTGTTGGTCCTCCCTGCCCGATGATGTCTCCATTCCACCGCGCAAAGTTGTGGATATCGATCATACAGTACGCGCCTGTCTTGAGACAAGCCTGCATCAGCAGATCGTAATTCGCAAGGTTCTTCTTGTCGAGGGGTCCGATAACACCGTTGGTGAGGTATTGCCACGAGACAGCTGCATCGAGTCAGATAAAGGAGATTCCAGCGGGTCGTCGAAGACCTACGCAGACGGAAAATGTTCATTTCATCGTCCTTGACAAAATGTGACATTTGGCCGGCTCCATCTCCACCGCCCAGACTCGCAATCGGCGGTATAATAATTTTCGTGAGTGGACAATCTCCCTGCGCATGCGGTCAGCTACTTCATCCTAATGTTGTGGAGTGTAGAACGGCGGAAACGTACAGTGATTGCGCACCCAAACTCGAATCCTGCAATGTTCATGCCCTGCGCAAAGGTCAGCTCACGTGACAAAAACAAAGATCCATCGCACGAACATAGAGTTGGGTCTTCCCAAACACCGCCTGAACTCCCCCCAAGATTAAAAGCGACGAAAGAAACTTCATAATGAATGCTGTATAAACGAGTGTTCAACAATCAAGAGTTGTTGGAAGGAGAAGGAGAAACGAGCTGTCGAATTATTTAAGGGTATATTAGTACTCATTACGCTTGCCAGCCCCTTGTCCGCTCAGCCTCGCCAAGCGGGTTGGCGGCTAACCCAGTTGGGCTGCCGTGCCTGCCAAGCTGCCAATCAGGCCGCTTTCTGGTGCAGGCGAGCAGGCGAGCAGGCGAGCCAGAGCAACGAGCCACGCCTTCAGCTTTCCAGCCCGAGTGGGATCGCCGAGTCCGTGGGGCCAGTTCAAGACAGTGTGGGAATCGTTTGGGAACACGAGAGTCGATCACGAGAGGGAGAGATTACGACTCGTACGAGCTCTTGGAAGGCATTCGAATCTCTTCTCCCCACGGGAATACTGTACTGTTGTAATGTGTGATCTTGCAATTTTGAACCGCATGAACTTTTGAATGCCCAGATGAAATGAGCGCGGGCCTGCTTGGCTGTGTGGCACGGCAGGTTTTTTTCAGGAGGTGTTGGGGTTTCGAGCGCCTCTCCCCTTCATTCGCTCGCCTTCAAGCCACAATGCAACTAAATCACAGATCAGCAAGGTTTCGGGGGCCCGCCCACGCAACCAGTGCGCAAGCGAGAAACCTTGCCATTGAGAAGAGCGCATCTTGGAACGGCCGAGATCATGTGGGTGCACGTGACAAATACAAGCTTGAAATTTTGGGGGATGAAAGGGGACGAAGATACGAAGAGGCAAATCAATCCGATGACGAAAACCTATTCGTGGATTCTTGGCGGCACTCGCGCCGCAGGATGTCTCGCGGTCTCTGCGGAGTCTGCTCAGAGCCCAGGCACCAAGTGGGGCGGCTTGGCCACGTGATAGGCTGGAGACGAAGGATTTTTGTTGATCCTTCCATTTCCGCCCACCCCAACACATGAGAAAGCCCCACGATTCCCTCACTCGAGTGCCGCCAACTCCTTTGAATAATCGATAGATCCTGTCACCTGTGAGACAGCCTCATCAGCTTACCGTCTGCAGACGATTCTCACGATGCACGCCTTCCTCCCAGTTCACCTCCCCTGGTTCATCAGCGTGCACGCGTGCGGGATCGCCATTCTTGGCCTCTACTTCCTCTTCAAGGCCCCTCCTCCAGGCAAAGCAGCAGGCCATACGCCTCAACTTGGCATCGCGAGCATTGCCATCGGCCTCGCATACCTCTTTACGTCGTACATGCCAATCGAGGAGAACCAATGGCTGTATGCGGCTGTGCCTGTTCGTTTGATTCTCGGTGCCCTTCTCATCCTCAGGACAGTGGTTGGAAGTGGATTGTCATCGGCGGAGAAGAGGAGCTTGTTGAATCTGGGCCTGTATGATGGATTCGGCGCAGTGGTTTTGGGGCTTTGGTTGGGTAAATGGGATGGGAGACTTCCGGTGGCATCGTCGTAGGAGCTTAGAGTCAGGCAAGGAGTCGCCAAGGGAGATGGCCGTTGACTTGCTCCGATAAGATGCCTTCCTTTGGAAGGGACTTGGAGGTTGTGAAAGGAAGCTGATGTCCGGAATTGGGTTTGCAGGATTTTGTGGAGGCTGATTGCGGCTGGAGAGCCCCTCTTTGACTCAGGCAGTTCTGGGCATTGCTCGTGAAGCCGAAGACTCTGCTCGTAATAGGATCTCCCCTCTTTCTACCGTTGAGCAGGTCAATTGAAGCTGCGACGTGGGAAGAGAGCAGGAAACCTTCAATATTGTGAATTGAGTTTGATATCACGTGAGCTCGGACCGCCTTCCAGTTTGGGCAAATTCTGCCAGCTCCACTTGCTTCAAGAATGACGAAACCTCAGCCGCGAACCCCTTTCACCAACTGAGGATTCAAATTCAGATGTCTCAAGCCCACTCATTGAGTCGCAAGACTTGCCCCAAGCGATAAGCACGATGGCAAATCGAGTATTGAAACCTTTTCTAGGAATACCCCCAAGCTCACACTGACACCATCAGATTTCATTTCGAGTCCACGGTGAAGTCCAAGGTTCGAACATTTGTGATACTAACCGAAACTCAAACTAACTATTCCAGGTGTTGGCTTTCGGTACTTTCAACATCGATACTATGGACAAGACCCATAACTGATGAACTCCGCCAGATATTTCACCCGCAAGAAAGCTACTTCATACGGCCTGACAGGATGGGTGAGAAATGTTCCAAACAACAAAGTGTGTCGGCCTTTCACAAGAGGTTTCATATTTCTAATCTTCGAGACAGGTTGAAGGCGAAGTCCAGGGCGAGGAAGATGTGCTGCAGAACTTTTTGAAGGACATCGGCCAGGGACCGCGCCACGCTCATGTGGTCAAGCTGGAGAAATCGGAGATCGAGGTTCAGGAAGAAGAGGCGGCGTTTGAAGTCAGACATTAAGTGAGCGGTGATATTATTTCTGTTTTGTTTGCCTGTTCTAAAGCTATCTCGAAGAGCCTTTCCTCACTGCCGAAGTGTCGCCCGTTTTGAGTGACTGGATATTTACATGCGTAGCAAGATAAGACTCGGCCTCAAGAGTCGATGAATATAGCTGTAGTGAGCCAAAGCCTCAGTTGCCAGCATATGGCGGCGCTGAGTCCTCCACTACTAATGCGGCAAAGGACGTATTCAGTTCTACTTCTCTCCCCTAGTCATACCTCAATGGTACCACCAATTAACCAGCAGTCTCTTCTCCATCCTCATTCGGCGTCTCATAGCCGACATAAGTCCAAGCGAAACAAGTACACCGCCATGCAAGCCTCTTCTTCTCTCCCTCTGGCTATCCTTCCCCAGAACATCGTAATCGTTTCTCCGTGCGCTTGCCTCGAGGTGCTGCTGATCGCTGCTGAAACTTGCTGTTCTCATCACAATATCGCTCTCACTCTCGGTCCTCCATTCTCTCTCACTCTGCTCCTATCTTTTCTGCGCATCCATACCGTCGGTCCTGAATACGGTTACAAGCGTTGGTAGACACAGTTCTTGCCGAATAAATGAAGGTTGGTGACCTGGAGGTTGAGTTCTGGGAATGTCGCATGAGGATGTGATGTAGAGGTATTGGTCCATGTTCCATTTCTCACGAGCGACTCGGCGTGGTCGCATTTGCCTGCGTCAGGATGCGCCAGCTAAAGTGGTTGAGATCGAAATCGGCAAGCAGGCGCTGCCCGTGCGAATAAGCACCGGACAGACGATGATAGGAGCGGATCGGCTCCAGGCTCTTCATCACCATCTTATCCGTTCCTTTTTTTTCTTTATGTCGAAGTGTCGAGACCAGGAATTGGCCTACTTTTGAGAAGGGAATGGGCTCGTAGAGAAAGAATTTGGAGGCTGCAGTCTTTATTCCATCTGTGTTGTGACGTCAGCGTCACATGACTTGGCCCTAGCGTGGCACCCTGTACTTAGCTCGAGCTCCCCGTTATCTCTATAGACGTTTACATACACACCCAACAGAGCTGATTGCCTTCAGGTCTTCCGCTCCGGGTCGTGATACCCTGCTAGCTGGTCAGTGCTTGAGTTGGGAGCGGAGCAGGAAACATACCAATGCCATATAATTTTGCTCTGGCCTCGAAACTAGGGGTGGATAATTATATATAATCCCCACCCCATTATGGTATAATTATAAATAAAGCTCTTGACCCCATTATGCGTTATTTTATGTGGGTCCAATGGAGGTTTCGAATTGGACCAATCACAGGGCTAGAAATTAATGCACGTGAGACCCACTTCTCCCACTTGCAGAATATGGGTGGGAGAAGAATAAAAGTATAACTTTAGTCCTGAAAGCATGCCATGTGACCTGTCATTTGCATTAAAAAATCCATAAATTACATATAAAATTATGCATATAATAAAGCTGACCCCATTATATATAAAATACAGCTGACCCCGTTATATATAATATAATTATGTAAAAAAATTCCACCCCTACTCGAAACTTTCACAGCTGCGTCCCATCTGTTGATCCCAGGCAATGGCCGGTCCTCCCAGGTACCTACGATAGAGCAGCGGAAACAACGCGAATTGCGCAAATCAAAAACACTTACCCGATTGAGAAGTCCAGCACGCATCCTATGGTAAGCAAGATCATGAACAGGCACACGAGAAACCTGGGAAAGCTCAACCGCGGAAGGTGGAGATGATGCGTGATTGTAAATTTTGGATGCGGGGGAGGTGGAAGGTCACGAGTTTGTGAGAGTAGTTAAACCGGTCTTGAAAATAAGATCAACTATTCAAAATTTCCGAGTAAAAGTCAACGAGCCACCTGAAAGGAAGAAGATGGTGGTCAATTTATATCAAAAGAATCAGGCATGCAGCACTCAGCCCAGGAGTCAGCCTCAAAAGCAGCTATACTTTAAGTGGAAAGGCACTTCGCCACAACTCAATATCACAAATCACCACTATCCTCCTCCAACGAGTACACCTCAATCTCCGCAACCATCGTCCTCGCCGGAATCGTAACACAAATCGGAAAGCCGCCATAATCCGGCTCCTCATCCGGCATGATACAGAATTTCCCACTACGCGTCTCATCACCATTCAGCCTCCTCCCCGTTGTCAACTTACCTGTCTCAGGATCAACGATCTTCTCTGTGAAGCTCAAGATACCTGTAAATGTCGACTTTGGTGATAGATTTTTGAATAGGGCTTGGAAGCCCCATCCGATCAGCAAGAATTTGGCGTCACCGAGGTGGATCAGCATCCCAGAACCTGCACCGGGTTTGCCGAAGACGAAGGAACGCTCGATTGTGACTTCGAAGTCGCCGAAGCGGGCAATGGTCGATGGAGAAGGGTCACGTCCGTCTTCGAGGAGTTCGTCGAAGAAGAAACCGACTGAGGAGCCCGGGTTTCTGTGAGCTTCGAGAACGATGTTCTTGACGCTAGCTAGAAGTCCGTAATGCCTGGCAAATGGATTGGTCTCTGGTTTCAAGGTATCGATGCCGAATGGGGAGGTACCGATTGCCTGGTAGCTCCCAAAAGCCTTCCAGATTCTGCGAGCGCCGTATTCGTCTCGTCGTTGTTCCGGGATAAAGAGCGGTTGATCCAAGTGGCGATATTTGACACAAGATGAGCTGTAGTCGTTAAGATAGATGTCTGGGGCGATGAAATCGAGTGATGGAGCAAATGCTCTCCAGATATCAAGGACGTTGCTGACTCCGCCGCCAGATGGATAGTCTCCCGGTGCACCACCACCTCCGGCGACGACGGGGAAAGCATTATCCCCATCGTCACCGACGTAGTTTTGCCACACGTTCGTGTAAAGAGGGAGAGCATACTCTTTCTTCCCAGCGGCAGCTACTTTTTCCACATAGATCGCGTAATGATAGGCCATGAAGAGCTCATCTGTCTGTTGACTCTTGCCAAACACGACTTCCCAGGAGCCAGAACTCTTTGCAAGAGTCTTAAACACCTGGAGATTCCGTTTGAGATCGGCATGCAGCGTGTCCCATTTAGTTGATAGATGCTGAATGAAAGGGGTAGGGACAGGTTCCGAGAAACGCCTGTTGGCAGTTGAGCTACCGTCTCTCGAGTCGCCGAGCAGTCCGATTTCATTCTCGACTTGCACCATAATGACCGTGGAATAAGCTTCATCAGCCTCTTTAACGTGACGCATCAAGGCAGAGAATGCTTTGATATCTGCTTTGAGAACTTCTTCGTGGAAGATGGATACAACGTCGCAAGTCTCTAAAAGACCGCCGGCTTTGCGAAGATGAGCTCTAGGGAAGCGCTTCACATCCTTCTTGATCCACGAAGGAGCATATGTTGAAATACCTACGATCGTTAAAGACTTAAAATGTCGGTTGCAGAGAACGACGCACCATTTTTGAATGATCCAAACCAGAGCAGGACGAGATGTAGTCCATGCTTCCGCGCACCAAGTATAACCTGATCAAGTTCAGTGAAATCAAAGTGACCTTCGGTAGGCTCGATATCCTCCCAAGTCACGCAACCAAGGACAGTGTTGATATTGGTATCAACTAGCTTCTGCCACACAGTGTCCATGTATGCTGCCGAAGTCATGGAGGAGTTTTGCAACTCAGCCCCAAGGATGAGAAAAGGCTTTCCATTGACGATGAGCTGCTGCGAGTTTGCAGTCTTCTCGAGGCGAGGAATTGATTTATTTTCTGAAGCCATAGAGGATGATGTGAGAGGATAAGTGGTTCTCATGTTGTAGCTTTGAGGGTTGCAAGACGGGGAAGTTTTGTCGTAAGAACTTCGTACGAAGCTTGACCTTGCATCAAGATCAGGCCGTGCTGATATATTCTACTTCAAGCCGTCCTTGCTGACAGTCTCGGAGCACATTCGTGTCACTTTGGATCCACAGTCGTTGGAGATTATCACTTGGCGGGGTACCCTTTTTTCAGGCCGGGAATGGAGTGTTTTGATTGGTACTCATGCCGGGCGGCAAGAGAATAGTGGATTTGGTGGGGCAGAGCCTGGCAAGTGGCGGCCCGTCATTCTCGGACCGAGAGGGAAAATGACTCGTGAATGAGAACCTCAGCTTCGGAAATAAATTGGGCGACTAAGAACCTGAAAGTCAGAGGTGGGGAAGAGGCGAAGAACTGTCGGGTCCGGGAATGGCCACAGATAATTGGGACAGGGCCCGGCACTAGCTCCACATCTCAAAACCTGGGGCCCCATGGTGCAATTCTGGCTTGGATAGGGGTGTCGGCTTGTTGACCAGATTCGATCCTTAGGAATGTATATATATCCTCGCAATTCCCGGGCAGAAAAGTTTCTAAGTCCAAGAAATTGGAACCTTTCAGGCACTCTTCTGAACTTCTCAAGACCTTTAATTCTAGCCCTGCTTGGAAGAAATCCGTATCTACCGACACCATGGAGAAAACACCGGCAGAAGACTCTGTCGGCCGAACCTACCGAGAGGACTCAGATGGCCTCGCGTACAGCTACGAACATGTCGCCGGGCTTGACGTACCAGCCGTCACCTGGTGGAAGGACCCTGGTCTTCGAAAGCTCTACATCATGATGCCAGTTCTGTTCCTCGGGTCCACAATCAATGGGTACGACGGAAGTCTTCTCAATGGCCTCCAGACCATGGTCCCATGGCAGACCTGTAAGTAAGACTGCAGCTTGATATGTTCCGTAACTGACGGGAACATGACAGACTTCGATAATCCCAGCGGATCCAGACTTGGTCTCTTCACTGCGATTCAGAATATTGGTGGGATTTGTGCGTTGGGCTTCAGTAGCTATGCCGCAGATATCTTCGGCCGACGAATCGGCGTTTGCCTTGGACTTTTGATTGTGTTTTTGGGCACTATTCTCCAAGGTCAGTAGAACAATATCAAAGTGATAAATAAGTGGTAACACTAACCTGTTTTGCTCACCAGTTGTACCAACCAAAGATCACGAGGGAATGTTCATCGGTGGCAGATTCTTGGTAGGGTTGGGGTAAGTCCGAAGCGCTTGGAAGAGATAAAGTGACTAATCGTTGATAGCTCGAACCTTGCACAAGGTTCTGCACCGTTGCTCATCATGGAGCTTGCCCATCCGCAACACCGAGGTAAACTAACAACAATGTAAGTGAACGAGATCAACTTTTATGGATATGTGCTCACAATGCTGGTTAGGTACAACACATTATGGGTACAGTCGCCCTTTTTCCGCACACATTGGAGGTGATCAAGTTTGCTGACCTTGCACAGTATGTTGGTGCCATCATTGCTGCTTGGACAGTTTTCGGTACTGTGAAATACACTTCGGATGCTGCGTGGCGGATCCCTGTTGGAATGCAAGCCGCCATGCCAGTCATCCAGTTCGCCTTGATATTCTGTCTACCAGAGAGTCCTCGATGGCTTCTCTCAAAGGATCGTCCTGACGAAGCGCTGGCTGTCTTGATCAAAGTAAGTAAATTCTCCGGACACTCGGACAGAGTTGACTCGGCCAGTACCATGCAAATGGAGACTCGACCAACCATTTCGTCCAATCCGAGTTTCATGAAATTCAAGAAACAATCCGCCTAGAGAAGCTCAATTCAAAACATGGGTGGACAGTCTTCCTGAAGACTCCTGGCAATCGCAAAAGGCTGCTCTTGATCGCCCTGACCTCATTCTTCTCGCAATGCTCTGGCAATGGCCTAGCCTCGTATTACCTCCACGACATACTGAACTCAGTTGGGATCACTGGGTCCTACGACCAGTCACTCATCAATGGTGGACTCCAGATCTGGTCATTCCTTGTCGCGATATTCTTCTCGCTCTTCGTTGATAAGATTGGACGCAGAATGCTTTTCATGATTGCTGCCGTGGGGATGTTGATCTCGTTCACCATTCTGACCGCTTGTTCGGCCGTCTATGCTCAGTCTGGGAACAACAGTGCTGGAAGCGCTGTGATTGCGATGATCTTCCTCTTCTATGGAGTGGCTGGTTTCGCGTGGCCGGGATTGACCGTTGCTTATTGTGCGGAGATCCTACCGTTCAATATCAGAGCGAAAGGTCTTGCCATCAACTTCGCATTAACTGCGACGGCGTCTGTCTTCAATCAATATGGTGAGTCTCTAGATTGCCAACAGAGACTGAATACTCACTAGTGATGTAGTGAACCCCATCGGCCTTCAGCACCTTGCTTGGAAATTCTATTTCGTGTATATTGTCATCCTCATAATCGAGTGTTTGTGTATTTGGTTCCTGTTCGTCGAGACCAGGGGCCCGACTTTGGAGGAGATCGCACGGCTTTTTGATGGAGCAAGTGCAAACGTATCTGGAAAGCAGGTCCTGGACAAAAAGTCGGAATTGGCTAGATCTGCCCAGATTCAGCATACTGAGGAACTATGATTGGATGACGAATGTCAAGTGGGTAGTAGAGAACGTAGAAGACAATGGATTTGTTGATGATTGTTACATTGTAACATATGGCGCCCGAATAATGCTTTCCGTGACACGGCTTCGCTCGAGAAGTCTCTCGTCTTCGACTGGACCAATAGGAAGTGTTGACGGCGAGGGCATCGTGGGCGAATCTTTCTCGTCCAAAGCCAGTGCATGCTGCAGCAAAAACTTGACCATCCACTTATCAAAGCGATGTGTGTCACTCTGAGCCGTCCGCAGGCAAGCCTCTTGAAAATCTATCAACCGTTTCATCTAATAGACCACAATTAGTTTGGAGGGCTGAACATCATTCTTTTCGAACTGACCATGATATCGACGCTGGGCCAGATCTCTCTCAACTTGACCAAGAACTCGAAATTTGACTCCAGGCGATGCCTTGCCATTGGAAGCTCGTGATCATCGCCAAGAAGTAGTGTATGTAAAAGAACCGAGGATGAAACAACGGTCATATGTCCAACAATGTTGTACAGGGCTTCTGCTCCGCCGTGTTGATCGGAGGTGCGGATGAGCTCACAGTATTCTGTAGCATGATGCTTGCAGCGCTGAGCAAACACCCTCGTGTTGGAGGTCGGCGGTCGGCGCTGGTCGAGATATTGATAGTATAGAAGAGTGCAATAGTGGTGGTAGCCCAGATGCAATGCCACAAATGTCCTTCCGATCCCTCGCCCAACATGAAAGTCGAGATTCTCGATGGTGTAGACCATTGCTGGTGGCAACTCGTACTCGAACTTGGCTAACTGCTCCGCCAATGACAGCACTCTTGACTCAATGGAATTTTCGTCCCAGTGTGTTTGATCAACCAATTCATGGTTCAGATCCTGAATATGACCAAAGATTTCGACCAAGGAAATCATGTGGCTCCAAATCCCAGGTTGCCAATTGTTCATATCTTTAGCATTATGTGGACCACCTGTCACATTGAGCTGCGAAAACATGACTTCGTCCATAGGGAGTCGAGGGACTAGTCCACCATTATGGAAATGTCTCGGCAGCCCCAGCCCAGCGCTGGCCCACCGATCAATCAGGTAGAGACTCCACCAAACCCGGCGCTTCACTTCTCGTGAGACTTCATCGTCGACTGGATCCTCTTTGGATAGTTGTAATAGTTGAGCCATACGGTTGGCAATTGCTCCAGGTGTTAGCCAAACGTTCTATCTTATGAGGGCCAACTTACCAAAATAGAGGGATTCGGAATCAGGATTCGACTCAGCGAGGCAGACATTACCCACCAGGATGAATGCCTGCACATTCTCGAGACAGATTGCTTCTAAGTTAGTCTGAACGAATTCCCTCGCCTGATTCGCGAAAGCATGCCCTTGGCTTCGAAGTTCCAGGTTCGAAGAGAATCGGGCGGAAAGCCCCGCGATTCCGAACAGAACACCATGGTGCAGTGTCCCATTCTGAGCTGCCTGTCTGAAAGAAGGTTCATGAAACAATGAATGTGGCTTGTCGTGGATATAACAAATATAGAGATCTATAAGCTCTTCGACTACCTTAGCCGGCGGTAGGGAACTGGACTGGTTCGATGGGACATTTTGCGGTGAAGGGAAAAGGGCCACGGTCGACGCTTCGCGCTGTAAGCTTGAACATTGCAGCCCGCGCTTCTTGCATTGCTCGCAGGCAGTTCCTACAGCGGCTTTGTCACATTTCCGCTTGCCTGATCTGCATTGTAGGCATGCTGAGCCCAGCTTCATGATGTTGGGAGGATGGGATGTCGTTGTGTTGGAAGTGGGAAATGGCGGGGGTTTTAGCAGGGGTCTGGAGCCCGCCAACAGCTTTCTAGCGGGCGATGCCCCTGAAACTCTCGCTTAAAGTGAAAGATAGGGGCTAAATGTGAACGTTGGAGTGCTGGCTTTCTTTAGAGGACAGAGACCGGGTGAAGCTTTCTCAGTGCAATGAGTATTGAGGTCTTCAAATGATCCATGGAATTACTTTTATATTTACGTATCTGGCGCAAGTGCGCTCCCGAAGTGAGTATTGTGCTCTATCCGAACAGGAGTGACAGCGGGAGAAGAGAGAGAGTGAGAGCCTCGCGAGTCTCCAGATTGCACCGTTTTTGCTGTTCCTGGTCTTCGACTTTGATGAAGCTGCTGGAGGCGGCTGAGTTGAACAAGTCCTCCGCTGAGGTGGAACCAACACCAACTGCACTAGCGATGTCAGCACCGAAGAAGTTACCAGGGGGTCCAAGAACAGGGACACCAGTAGCAGGACCCTGAATACCCATAGGTCCCGTGGTTTGAGTGATGTCACAGACCCCTCCGTTGCCAGCGATATAACCTGTGCAGTGCGTCGAAGCCCGTCCTCTCGTGGCAACGTAGAGAGAGACGTAGATTTTGTGGTCTCTGCGGCGAGACCGCCCTTCCTGCTTTGATGAAACCCCAAATTTGCTGTCTGTTGCTGGTGACTTTGGTGCCGTCGTCTTTGACTTGTTCGTGGCGCCCAGAATTGGACTCGGACTTCTTGCCCAGGACGGAATTTCTAGGGAGTTGCCTGGGAACGGCAGGCTTAACTTGTTCAGGAGGTTTGACCTTGTTGCCCAAGTGCCCCTGTGGATGCGCATTCTCGAGCTTCTGTGCCGTGGTGTTATGCCTTTGGGCTCGGGATCAACGCCTTCGACTTCCTCGCCTGGCCCTAACAGCACGTCAATTTTGCACCTCGATACTTCAAAGAGGTGAACAAGAACAAACCACAGTGTGAACCAGTTTATCTTGTCAATAGGTTCTCCTCTCTGCGCAGCCGCCCAGGTCTTAGGGTTGCTCTCGAGCCCGTCCAGGCAGCGGCTTTCCGCCTTGAACTCCGGGACGCGCCCTTCGAGCCCTGCGCGCTCCCGCATCTTTGTGTATTGCTCGTTGTAAATCATTGTGGATGATGACTTGGAGTTGTTGTCTGTGGGCTGTGGTGGTTTGGATGGGTGCGTTGTGTGGAGGGTTTGTGTTGCTGAAGTTGAGCCCGCAAAAGACAGATCGCGATCGTGATATCTGTTCCTTCGTTAGCACAAACAAGGCAGGAACAGTGAATCCCGGCGGCCTGTGCTAAGGTTGAGCAGTGAGGTTAGTTCGAAGTTGAATCACGCGAGATTCGAGAGCGCGGAAGAGAAGACTGAGAAATGGCAAGCTGTAAAAGAAGGCGTTAATACAACGCTGCTCCATGTCGGCCGATCCATCTCATCGGCTACCTTTCTTGGTATGCATACCTGTCTTATTTCGCCGATTCCGCCATCCTTTGACAAATGGTAATTCGGAAGCTTTCGAAATATGGAGACGAGCTGACTGGCTAGCGGAGCGAAAATCTCACCTCGGTGAACATATTGCCACGATTGAAACTATCACCATGTGTACGTCTGACAAGTATTACGGACGGGCTTACCCGCGAGGCAATGAGCTGAGAAATATGATTACTAGAGTTCCGAAATGGGGAAAGAAGTTTTCAAGCGCAAGTTATAAAGGGCAGTGGTTCTGGAAAGCCTGTGCGGAAAAATGGAGGAAAACTGAGCGAACACTAGCAAGGCGAGGAGTACAAGAGATTACCTCAAACAAGAGCACGGTAAGTAGAGAGCACTACATTTTCATCTCATGGGTCAATCGCACGCCTTGAGAAGGGAGACTGTTAAGTTAGATCACATGACGGATCGGTCTTGGCGTTCAACCCGTCGAAAAATTTACCAACAACGGTTTGGAAGCACTTGTACTAACCGGAAACAGATTTTCAATTCCAAATTCCAAATTCCCCAGCACGACTACTTCAGATCCATTTAATCGCCTGTTCTACAAACGTACTCGACTCGGTTCGAAATATCCTAGGTCCGCTTACCCCGCACTCCACACTGTCAATTGGCTGGCTAGTCCACTCGGCAGATCCACCCTTGTTGAAGCCTTTCTATATTTGGTACGGGATACCCATATCTGCTAGTAGGTCTGGGATTCGTGCGCCTCGAAGAAGGCGGAAGCAATGCGCGATATTCGGAAGAATATGCGGAATAAGTGCGCAAGTCGTCCCCGCAGGGGAGGTTACACAGTTACTTGCTGGGTCATGCTTTCAGGATGCACAACATATCTCGACCTTTCCCTTGCTTCAGTTGTTCTTTCTGATTTCTCTATTGACCGTCAAGCCATTCGTCGATAAGAACTGACCAAGTCACCAGAAACTTGACGGCAGGAGTTTGACACTGTTGAAAGGACACCAAAATGGATACCAATATTTCAATCGAGCCTCAAGGCTCACAGTACGACTATATTGTCTGCGGGTGAGAGATCCTACCTCATTGTTAGTTGAGCTTCATCTCACTAAAAGCAGTGGAGGTACCTCGGGTTCCGTCCTGGCAGCGCGTCTGGCGGAGGACCCAAATACTTCTGTCCTGGTTATTGAAGCCGGACAACACAACTCACTTCTTGAGAATACAATTATGGCAGGAGGATGGTGGGTTAAACTCTGAAAGTCTCTCATATCGTGCCTGATCATTGTAGGTCCCAAAATTTCGACACTGAAGCAGACTGGAACATTGTCACCGAACCGAGTCCAGGTGCCAACGGGAGACAGGTCAAAGTCAGTCGTGGAAAGTTTCTTGGTGGGTCAAGTGGTGTCAATGGCACACTCTGCATCAGAGGAACCAAGCAAGACTACGATGATTGGAATATCACGGGATGGAGTGGAGAGGAAGTATTTGGGTACATGAAGAAGGTCGGCCTACCTGGTTTGGGTTCAGAGTTGAAAGCTAATTCTGATGCAGGCTGAGAACTTTCATACGAAGAAGTGGTTTAAGCAGGATGAACCTTCACACGGCTACAATGGATTACTGGACAATGAACCACATGATCTGGTATGTTAAGCTCAACATTATGAAGTGTCCATTCTAACCAATGTCCAGGCCCCAATCTCAGATTTAGTCATGGAATCATTCCAATCCCAAGGCTTGCCTCTACACCACGATATGTTCAGCTCTGGCGAAAGTCCACATGGTTGTGGCCATGTTCCTCGAACAGTGTACAAAGGCGATCGAACCACAGCTGCCAACTACTTAGTGAACAAAGGCTCCAACCTTTCAGTCAAGACGGATACAACTGTTGACAAGGTGATCCTTGAAGGTGAAGGACCTGAACTGCGAGCTACTGGTGTGAAAATCATCGAGAAGGACGGAACAGTAAGAGAACTCAAGGCGAAGAAGGAGGTCATTGTCAGCGGTGGCGCTTACTGCTCCCCAACCATTCTTTTGAGATCTGGAATTGGCGCAAAGTCACAGCTTGCGGCCCATGGAATCCAATGCAAAGTTGATCTTCCCGGTGTTGGAGAGAATCTTATGGATCATTTGGTAAGTGGGTAATTTCATCCTGGAAGCTCAGACTGACATTGTCTTCAGATTGTTTTCATCTTCTACTCAACTACCAAGCCCGACCTTACAAACGACTATCTTCTCTACAAACCCAACGCCCTTGGTGAAGCCTACCGACAGTGGAAAGAAGAAAAGCGAGGTCCGCTCTCAACCTTCCCATTCGGAGCCTTCGCGTACGCTCGCCTCGACGAACACTTGAAGGACGAGCCACTGTGGAAGTCTGCTCCTCGGAAAGAAGGCCGCGATCCCATGGGCCTCACCTCCTCCCAACCCAATATCGAATTCTGGAACACCGAATGCTACGGTGGCCCTAAACAATACACCGACTACCCAGACGGAGAGAACACTCATGCTTTCTCGATCGTTACAGAGCTGTTTGCGCCGAAATCGAGAGGCTCCGTCACACTCAAGTCTGCTGACCCAAAGGATAATCCGGTTGTGAATCATAATTATCTATCAAATGAACTTGATGTTCTGGTTTTGAGCGAGGCTTGTAGATTCGGGAATGAGATTATTACGATGGGGAAGGGCACAGCGGATATTGTGGAGGGAAGCTGGCCCAAGACTTTGACGCATCACAAATATACGAAGAGGGAAGACTGGGTTTCATATGTTAAGGATAATGCAACGACTTGTAAGTCCACCTTGATCATTTTGCAAATCTTTCAGGAACTGACAGATTTCAGGCTACCACCCAGCAGGAACCTGTAAGATGGGCTCAAACGAAGACCCCATGGCTGTTCTCGACGCAGAATTGCGAGTCAGAGGTGTGAAAGGACTCCGGGTTGCAGACACAAGTGTTATGCCGTTGCTCAACCAGGGCCACACTCAGATGCCAGCTTACGCCATTGGTGAGAAGGCTGCGGATCTCATCAAGGGCGTGTTTTTGAACCTGAACGGTGAAACTTCTGGGGATATCAAGAGGAACGAGAATGATGCAACAACGTCTGTGAATGGGAATGGGACTTTGAGCTTGAATTAGAATGGGTTAGGAGGGCTTGCCAGGCACATTTCCAGGCCGCTTTGTACATATGAAATCCATCGATTTATCTCATCCAGTTAAAGTCAGGCCTCTTCTCACTATCTGCTACTAGGCCCAGCACCCCTAGTAGCTATTTCATCGCATTGCTCCCTCCAATCACCTCATCAAACCTCTCGGCCTCGCCTCGTCCCCTACTGCCCATGCCCCTTAGCCTTCACCTCACCACTCACAATCCTCTCTCTCAGCGATATTCCCTCCCTCAACTCAGAATATTTATTCACCGGGTGACTCTTCTCAAACCTGTAAATGAGCCCATCTTTGCCTTGCTTTACTTTCAGTATTCCGTGTTGTATTTCGCTCTCCACGCACTTGTTCACTTCGTCCAGATCAAATTCCCTTCCGCCGATGGAGCGGCTGAAGAGGGAGAGGAGTTCCTCCCAGGTGAAGGGGTTGCCGGATGCGCGGAGGTCGGCGGTTGTTTCACCGCTGGCGGGAAAGGTGGTTTTGATGTTTATTGACATTTTGTAAGGTTGGGATTGTGGATATCGGTAACTGGAAGTAGAGTCCTGGGTCAGCTTGTTGCCTTTAGTTCTTTTTGTTTGTTTAAGTGAGAGGGGATAAATAGGTTGAGGACTGAAGGGGCGATATAAATACTTAGCAAGTGGCGTCTTCGGTTGGTTTCCGCATGATGATTCAAGCCTTTGGATTATTCAAAGCCACACATTCAGGTTGAAACCATTGAATGGACTCAATGTTTCTTGTGCAATCACCCTGTTTATTTTGGAGCAAAAAGTATTTCGAGAAACATTATTCAAAGCTTCGGCTTGACAAGGATAATTTGGAATTACGAACAGTCTATAAGTCCGTCTACTTGTTCCAATCTGACTTTTGCCCATCTCCAATTATATCTATCAGAAGGCCAGATTATACCGCCGCTGGCCATATGAGGAGATACAACAATAACCCTTTGAATCGGCTAACAGGAGGGATGTGGGACGCACTCTGGGGTGCTAGCTCCGCTAGTAGGGATTATCTAGACCGTATTAGTAGAGCAAGGATTGATTCGTGGTGGACTGTCAGTGGGCAGAATGCGTTCAAGGAAGTGCATTTGGGTCACCGGAGCGCGATCGACGTAATCTGTTGAGAATGTACAGGAGAGGCCACCGCACTATGGGGGACCATACTATGAGTCCAGGTGGTGAACGGGAGGACAGGAGATGAGGGAATATAAGTGTCAGCGCGACGTCTGTATAAGTTTCCTAGTAAGAAGAGAGATCAAACGGCCTGAGATGTATCACTTAATCTTAATGCTTGAGCTGTTGATATGAGATGAGGAATGAACTCGGCTCTGTGAGAACGACGGACTGGCGATGACGCTTCTGAAATCTAACGCTGAACACTGATCTGAGTGATGACCAAGGGGGACGTTTATTTGACAAAGACCTTGGAGCGTCACTGTGGACACGACTTTTGCTCGTGGTAGAGTTGAAAGTCGCCCTCAGTCGAAAAAGGGGGCGGGGTCTGCAAGCGAACGCTGACTAATCTCGCGTCAGCCCTTCACCAGCTTCACCGCCTTGGCAAAACGAAAAGTAGCCCAAAATTTCAATCTCAACCCTCCAACCCAAACATCAATACAACTCACAATGCCTAAACAAAAGACGCCCAAAGGCGCTGCTGCTGCTGCAGCCTCTGAGGAGATCACCGACCCTCGATTCACGAACTTCACAACCGATCCCCGCTTCCGCCTCCCCTCGAAAAAGCACACCCGGACAAAAATTGACAAGCGGTTCTCGCGCATGCTGAAGGATGAAGATTTCTCCAATTCTGCGAAAGTTGACCGGTATGGACGTAAACTAAGCAGTGGTGGGAAGAAGAAGGCGTTGGAGAGGTTATATGTGCCGGATGAGGAGGGAAAGGAGGAGCAGGATGGAGATGTCGAGGTGGAGGATGATGAGGTTGTGGAGAAGGAATTGGCGCGTGCGGAGGGATATGATCCCGCACGTGGTGGAGGGTTCTCCTCCTCGGAAGATGAAGACGAGGAAGGGGACGAAGATGGAGGCGTCGAGCTTGAGGAAGCTGAAGAGGTAGAATTTCCGGATATGCAGGTTGAACAAGCGGGCGTGGAGATGGGCGATATTTCGTCGAGATTTGCGGTCGTCAACCTGGATTGGGATAACATCAAATCGACAGATCTTATGGCTGTCTTCTCGAGCTTCGTTCGGCCTGGAGGGAAGATACACAAGATCTCGATATACCCTAGTGAATTTGGCAAAGAGAGAATGGAGCGTGAGGAACTGGAGGGGCCACCAAAAGATATATTCGCACGCAAGCAAGAAGAAGAATTTCCAGAGCCAGATTCGGAAGACGATAGCGAGGACGATGAAGAGTTGGATGAGAAAATCAAGAAGGACTTGCAGAAGGAGGATGGAGGCGAAGATTTCGACAGCGCAGCATTACGGCAATACCAACTTGAGCGATTACGATATTACTACGCAGTCGTAGTCTGTTCCGACGAGCAAACAGCACAAAATATCTACGAGTCAACAGATGGCACCGAATACCTCTCGTCAGCCAACTTCTTCGATCTACGCTTCATCCCAGACGGCACAGAATTCGACGACAAGCCGAGAGACGAATGCGATGCCGTCCCCGCAGGCTACAAACCCACGGAATTTGTCACCGATGCCCTACAACACTCAAAGGTCAAGCTGACATGGGACATGGACCCCGAGGAAGCTACACGGAAAGACGCCATCAAGCGTGCATTCAGCGGTTCACGAGCAGAAATCGGGGAGAACGACCTCCGTGCATACCTTGGCAGCGATTCTGAAGACGACGAGGAACCGGAAGCAGTGGAAGAGGAAACTCCACAATTGAGCAAGAAAGAGTTGGCTAGGCAGAAGATGCGTGCAGCTCTCGGCCTCTCCGATGAACCTGTCAAGCCTTCGAAGAAGACCAAGGGACCGATAGGAGATATGGAAATTACATTCGCCGCTGGCCTCTCCTCAAACGACAAAGGTAAAGGAAGTGTGTTTGAGAACGAGCCCTTCAAGGAAGAAACAACTGCCGAAGCATATATCCGGAAAGAAAAAGAGCGCAAGGCACGAAGAAAAGAAAAGGCAAAAGCCAAGCGCGAAGGTCGCGATCCCTCTGCTGAAGCCGACGAAGCAGATCCTGCAGAGAATGAAAAGGAAGATTTGGGCTTCGATGACCCATTCTTCGCCACGGACGAGGTTATCAAGGAGAAAGCTTCGAAATCGCTTCGAAAAGAAGAAAGACTGAAGAAGAGGGAAGCCAAAGCCAAAGAAGCAGCAGCCCGCGCCTCGCAACGCGCAGAACTCGAACTCCTCATGGTCGACAACAGCACCGAAACGCCTTCTCACCTGGAGCATTTCGACATTAATGAAATTGCCCGCGCTGAAAAAGCTAGGAGAAAGAAGGGGAAGAAGAAGGATATTGTGGAGGGAGGCAAGAGAGGGGGTTTGCAGGAAGGCTTTGAGATCGATGTTGGGGATGAGCGATTTAAGAATTTATACGAGAGCCATGAGTTTGCGATTGATCCGAGTAATCCCAAGTTTAAGGGGACGGAAGGGATGAAGAGGTTGCTTGAGGAGGGGAGGAGGAAGCGGGGTGTGGAAGGGGATAATGAGGTTGAACTTGTCGAGAAAAAGAAGAGTAAGAAGCGCAAAGTTGATAAGGAGGGGGAGGGAGAGGAGTTGAGTGGACTGGTGGAGATGGTTAAGAAGAAGGCTAAGAGGTAGAGGGTGTACCAATAGTGCCGTAGAATGCAATGCCTTTATACGAAGCTCAATGTTCTCACCTGTCGTGGTATATTCAAATCTCGACAAAATCCAAGTCCTTCTGTCGACAATTAGAATGTCCCAGAAGTCTTAAATTATACAACCACCAGAACCTCTATTATTGTCCCAGATAAGCACGAGTAATCAAGCCTCCCAAACCTCAATGTCCTAGCCCCATCTCGTCAAATATCCATTGCACTCCGCTTAATACACCACATCTCCCTAGAATAATTATCTAATCTTCCCCCACTTTCAAAATATTAACTTCTCAACATCTCGCCTAAATCACGAATAATCGTCCCAAAATTCAATATTATCGAATTTTAAAAACCAACGCTTTTATTTTGGCCCGATTTGCTAAACTATAATACATCGATCAATGTCCCCGGTCGCCTGGACAATGAGAGATATGCACCTCCCTCCACTCTCCCTCGAATAATGAGCCCTCCCCTTCCCTGATATCCTCTCCCCAATCAACCACCCCGTCCTCGAACAATGCCAACTTAGGTGAGGAAAGAAGTATCCTCAACGGGTAAGGAGCGATTCCCGTCATGAGAGACATCATCGTAGTCCGCCTCCACGCTCAAAATAGCTCCATCGCCATCCTCCCTTAAGAAGCCAAACAGATTCGCTAGCTCTCTTAGCCCTAGTACCTTTCCTCCCCTCCTACAGCCCTCGCCTTCTTCGTCGTCGTCTTCCTTGATAGCCTTTTCAAGGTTAGTCAACTTGTGGAGTTGCATGGTCAAAAGACGCATGTCGACGGAATTCTTGACCACGATGCGTGTCATATAAGTGTGTTTATTCTGGCCGATACGGAAGATACGGCCGAATGCCTGCTGTTCAACGGCGTGGTTCCACCAGAGGTCAAGGGAGATACAGCGGTTAGCCCAGGGGAAGTTAAGACTATTAACTATTAGTACCGAGAAGTCAGGGCATTAGCGAGAGAGAAAGGAGACATACCCAAGACCACCACATTTGAGTCCAGCAATCAAGATCTTGATGTTCTTATCGTCTCTAAAACGATGTATAACCTTAGTACGGTCTTCTAGGACTCGATCGCCAGTGAGATAAAGGAAGGGCCAGTTTTCGGAGTGGCAAATGCGGCCTACGATTCTGGCGAGCTGTCGGAATTGGACGTAGATAACAACCTGGTCCTCTTATTAACAAGTGTGGAAAGAATAGCTAGAAGGGATGAAATGTAAGATTACCTTGTCAAAGGGAGCCTCAGTAAATCCCCTCAAAAGCAACGCCTTAAGCACAGTCGTCTTCGCACTTGCCGTTAATGGGAAGTCCTCCGGGAAATTATCACTCATCTCTAGCCACTCAGAATGATACGTATGCGGCTCAAACCCACTAGCATCCTTTCCCTTCGTACCCTTATGCGTCTCCCTATACTTCCTAGACTTGCTAGGAGTACCGGTATGCGAGCTAGAGGAATTGGAGGGGTCTTGGTTTTCGGATGGAGGGTGGACAGGTGTAATATTATCGAAGAGGCGATCGCAGGACGGGCAGGAGAGGTAGTCATCGGCAATACCGGAGGCGGCGGTGTGGATATAGGACTCAATACAGTCTTTGCAGAAGATGTGTCCGCACTATCCAAGAGTTAGTTGCTATGAAAAGTAGGGGAGCAAGAGAAAATACTCACATCCGTTTTCATAGCCTCTACCGGCATATCCGCACACATGCTGCAAGTAACCCTCTTAAAAAGCTCCTTCTCACTGAGCGTTTTTAGCGCCCCCTGCATACTAAACTGATACCCAAAATCCCCTTGTCCAAACGGCAATTCCTCAAAATCCTCACTAATACCCATCTCACCAATATTGTCTTCCTTACCCCTCTCCGCAGCCTTTCTCCTAAGCTCAGCGTCCTCAACCCAGACCTTGCATTGCTCGTAGAACGGGCGATTGGGATTGGAATTGGAATTGGAATCACGTCTGAGGCGAGAGAGGCGAGATTTTAGCTCGGCGACATCTTCGAGGGTCCACGATTCTTTAATAGTTCGTTCAAGCATAAAGGGGTGGGAAGTGCATTGGCGGAGGCGCAGGAGCTGAACCATAAAGATGGAGTAATTACGACGGGCCTCGCCGTGCCTAAAGAATGCATTTAGGTTGGCGCGAAAGCGGTTTTCGGTCTGCGTTTATTATTAGGTCAAAGTCCAATGTCCTGTTTGAATCTAAAGGGAACATTTAAACTCACGATTCGGTAAATCAGTTGCTCTTCAGGCGAGAACTGGATATACTGGATCTCCGGATGTGGAGGAGGGAGCGTAATAATCGGACGGTTGAGAATAGTGGTTTTCATCGTACGACGCATCATGGTATAGGAGAGCAAGGTGCTAATACGGTTGTATGAATCAGCCGCATTAGGATCACAGAAGTACTTCTGGAAAGTTTGCCAGTCCATGCTATAGTTTGCCTTGAGGAAGCGGAGGTAGGGGAATAGCCTTTACTAATTAGTACAACCAGTTATCCAAAGTCGAACCAGGGTTAAGCGAAAGAGGGAGGGGGAAAGGGGAAAGGGAAGAGAGGCTTACTCTTCAAGCCGATTCAGTAATGGCGTACCAGTTAAGCACCACCGATAAACGCTCTTGAGGTTCTGGCAAGCCAGGGAGGTTCTGGCCGAATTATTCTTAATAGCTTGCGCTTCATCAAGTATAACCCGGTACCAATTAACCAGATGCAAATCGCCTAACTTATGCATTGCACTCTTCCGCCAATCCTTATACCCAATAACAGCAATTTTTTCTCTGCTTTCCTTATCCGGAAATGGGAACTGCTTCATTACTTCAGAGTAAGAAGTAATAACAATATCAAGGTCTTCGAGCACTTCTATAGGAATATGAGCAGAGGATTTGTATCGCATGATTTTCGGGAAAGTATTATGCTTAGCGTGGATCCGAATTTCGTCAAGCCATTGGTCAATTACAGTAGCAGGAACTACTATAAGGGTTGCCTTGACTTTGCGCTTAATGTCCTCGGGTCCTGGGGGGTTTCCCACCATGCAAGCTAATGTCTGAACGGTTTTGCCGAGACTATTTAAATCAGGCCCAAATTTAATAGAAAGGACAAAGGAAAACGGACTTACCCCATACTATCAGCCAAAAGTCCCCATGCGGTGGTTGAGAGCTCAACTCCCTCTGTACCATCTACTGCGCACCAAGTAATTAATAATAATAAAGGGCACTTGTTATCCCTTTAATTATCCACTTGCCATCCTGTGCCTTAACCTGTGCATACCCAAAACTGCGACTCGCCTCCTTTAACGCCTTCTTATCATTCTTAATACTCTTCGCATTCGCCTTACTACCATCACCAGTCGGAACATTCGCAAATAGTATCTGGAACTGACTTTCCTTGGTTCTGGTAAGCATCGGAGCTTCGGGCTCAATATTGAATATAGGGTTCTGTAAACGATCGGAAATCGGGTCATTAGTCATAAGGTCCTCCAGCATCATTTGACCGATATTATCGATTCCGGAATGGTGGCTAAAGTTGCCAGAGCGGAGGAGCGATTCGCCATTCTTAACTGTGCCTTTCTTGCCCTTCTTGGATACAGAAGCTTTTTCCTTTCCTTTACCTTTGGCAATTGCAGGCTTGCTGCAAGAAGTGAAACCACTGTTACGGCCTTTCTTCCTTTGGGTCTTGCTACGCTCCTTTTGACGACGACGAGACTCTTCGGTATACTCTCTTGCGTTCTTGGCACGTTTCTTACGTGGCTTGCCGGACTTAGTGAGTTCTGGCTCACCGGGGCCATCGAGGCCATCGCCATTGAGCTCTTGCTGTAGCATCTTCATCATAGTATTGTCCTCGCTGCTATCTCCATCGCCATCGCCATCGCCATCGCCGAAGTTCTTAGCCATTTCATCGTCCTCTAATACATCGCTATTGCAACGAGGTCTGTTTCTCCGATGCCTGTTCACAATATCCTCCCTGGACTCCTGAACGAAGAGACTATCTTCCTCGGCTTCCTCAACAGCGTCTCGTTGCATGGCAGCAGCCCTTAATCGCGTTTTCATTTGAAGAGTCTTCTCTAACTTGAAGAGTTCCATGCGTTCATTCGGCGTAATTTTGCTTGCTTTCTCCTTCCTGGAAAGAGAAGTATAAAGACTCTTGAGCGTCTCATACTCATCATCGCTTGCAAAATCATCGTACATCCAAGAATGGTCTTCATCTGTATCTCTCATTGCAGCATCGACTTCTTGTGGATCATCGCGTTGATAATTAGCCTGTCTCGGAGATTCGAGGACGAAACCGCGCGAGGCAGAGGCCGAGGCAGAGGCAGAAGACTCGGCTTCATTCTGAAATGGATTGGGAGTGCGAGAACGGGAGCCAAAGATGCTAGTACTGCGGTTAGAGGTATTATTATTTTGTATGTCCTTCCATAGTACCCGCTGGGCGTCCATGATTTTTTTAAAGTCCGTAGGCTGCTTGGCTAGCTTCTTGAGTATAGCTGGAGCCTGATCAACGTCTATAGGCTCTAGCTTGACGTAGTTACCATTATTATGAGATCTTGGTTGGAATTGACTCCATTTGGCTTGTGCCTCGGGAGATGCGCGGTCAGCGGTAATAATCGTAAAGTCGTTTTCATTATCTCCGTCAATAGTGAGGGGGTCGAATTCTGGCGGCATGGTGAGGATGAGAGGTGATCAGGCGCTACAATGAAGAAGATGGGACGGCAAGTTCGAAGATCGGAAGTGATGTCAAAGAAGATCCGACGCATCGAGATCCGACGGTTTGTTGATGTCAATGTAATTGTGTCCTGAGCTGAATGTCCGAGTCAGATGTTGGACATTCAAATGTGGACAATTGAATGTGAAAGAATTTTCGCAAGGTTGAAGGAACAATCAAAAGTGCTTTGATGTGAATGAAAGATTAAGATGGGGTGGAGTATCATGAAGTAGAGGAAGGGAGAATGTTGAGGACGAAGAGGAATTGAAGAGGAGTGGAAGGTAAGTGGAAGAGGTGATGTTAATGTCCGCAAGCCTTTCGGAACCAAGTCAATGATTAGACGATTGTTCACAAGGTATGTGGAACAATAGAAGTGCAATGGGAGTTGTGTTGTGCGGGAAGGTAGAAATTTGGGTGTTGGTGTTGAAGGGATGAAGAGGTGTGGGTGGGAGGAAGGAGGTCCTTAAATATTGGACGGATCACTTGATGATGTCGTCCCTTATTAATTCGCAGCCCGAAAGCTGAAGATGAAGTTGTTCTCGCCGACCGAAAATAGAAGACACCTTCAGTGGAAAACAGATAAGAAAAAGGTGTAGTGATTTAAAAAGCAAAGATGGGACGGATAACATACCCGCCTAAAGCTGAGCTGCGACTTGTGCTTGTGAAAGTCGCTGCTGCTGCTGAGGATATGCAGCAGGAGCATCAGACGGGAGGGAGGCGAAGAAAGGATTCTAACCATCTGATGTCGGAGATTCAAGGTGTTGTGAAGCTGTTAATATTCGCAATTGCTAGGCACATTGTCAGTAAAAGTTCGAGCTCAAGGCAAAGTGATTATTCCCACTTGCTTTGGTAGAATAGAAATCGGGTTTCTCGGGAGGCTTGAGAGTTCTCTAAGAAGCTGAACTCGACACGAAGGGTGGTTTTGAAAGGTGGCTTGAGACTTGCGATTGAATCGGTGGGAAGATGAGCAGTTCGTACGATGTGGAGTTGAAGTGAAGAGGGTTGTGCGGTAGATGTGTAAGGAAGGGTAAGGCAATTCGGAATGAGAACGTGGACGAGGTGAAGTTGAAGTGAAGAGGGTTGTGCGGTAAATGTATAAGGAAGGGTAGGGCAATTCGGAAGGAGAATGTGGACGAGGTGGAGAGATTGAAGTGCTGGATGTGTTAAAGTGCTGGAGGTATTGAAGTGCTGGGTGTGTTGAAGTGCTGGATGTGTTGAAGTACTGGATGTGTTAAAGTGCTGGATGTGTTGAAGTGCTGGAGGTGTTAAAGTGCTGGAGGTGTTGAAGTGCTGGGTATGTTGAAGTGCTGAAGGTCAGTGCTGGAGGTCAGTGCTGGAGGTAAGTGCTTGAAGAAAGAGCGAGGCAGAAGTGGTGTTGCTGTGGTGTTTAGTGTTGACGTTAAATTGGTTGGGCTCTAGCCGAGCAAGGGAAGGAGGATGATCTGAATGTACCTGCCGAAGTGATAGAATCGCAAATTCAACTCTCGACACCGGCCAAACGTTGAACAAGTTCGAGGCCCGAATTTCGAGCCGGAACATCCGCCTCTCTCCCTTTCAATCAAAGCATCGATCAAGTCTCAAGCAATCAACACCGGCACCCCTCTTTTCAGAACCGCAAACCTCCTCAGCCTAAGTCAAAACTGATGTTAGGTTGCACACAGCCACTCACGGAACACCAACTGGCTGGCTTCAAGGGATTACTACATGTTTCATTTTTCTGGTTCTTTCTGAAGTGCTTTTCGCCTCCTTCCTCAATTTGCATGCCTTCAAATCCATCGCCTAGCGTGGCATCCATCAGAAAGAACATACCAAGCAGGCCTCGCCAGCTGAAGCAGATTTAGAAAATCCCCAGCCTTAACGCCATAGGTCAAATATTCAAACACACCGCCGAAATCAGAGATTAGAAATTTTTATGTACAGTGAGGAAATTGCCTGTTTCCGTGAGGAGGGGAAGTTTGGTATGGTATAGTACAAAGGAGATGATATCGAGATGGGTATCCTGAAACGTTTTGTGGGGAAAACATTGTAGAGGCTTCATTGGGCCTTGAAGGGCGCCTTTGAAACGCCGTGCAGGTGTGCTGAGAAGGTGGCTTTTGTTTCCAGGAGAAGAATCGGGCTTTTGGCAAATTTGAGTTTTCGGTACTTGATCCGATATTGAGGTGCTTGTGTAGGGCCGTTGTAATCCAACCACCCCTATTCTCGTCCTGGCATGCCGTGATCCGTAGATCGGAAGCCCGGTGATGAAGGGCTAGTATGCCTACACAGCAGCCGTTCCATTGTTCCCCGAGGTTTGAATACAGTTTGTTGTTAGGGTAGCTGAGCACTCCTTCGTGGGATAATACCACGCACACACTGCAATAATTCTACTCTCGTTAGTCCAGTCCTAAAAACATCGACAAACTCACAAATAGAGGCACTGCAGAAGCATCCCCTCGAGCCAATGACCTAGAACGAATTAGCACCGTATATCTTGGAGGGACAGAGAGATATGTTTTCTTACTCTTTCCGTCACCAATCAAGTAGTTGACTAGAAGAATGGAGACAAAGAGCACAGCGACCTGGAACCCATCGAAGCTCATCGTCATATCCTCTTTGCCCATGATCCAGCCAATGACAACCAGCAGTGGAATCAAGAAGAGCGAGACTTGCATGGAAGAGCCGACAGCTACGCCGATGGCCAGGTCCATCTTGTCTTTAACCGCTACCGTTACAGCTGTTGCGTGCTCGGCAGCGTTTCCGACGATCGGGAGGAGGATCAAGCCTACGAATTCAACGGAGATGGCACCTGAGGCCGTGATGGAGGAGATTCCGTCGACCATGAACTCAGCGCAGAGACCGATGATTGCAGTTGCCCCAGCGAGAGTGGCCCATGCAACAGCAATGTGAAGCTGTGGTTCCTCGAGCTCCTCGTCGTCGTCTTCATGTGCCGTGGTCCTAACCAGCTCATCATTTGGTGGTCGTTCTGGAAGATTGGGTCGTCCAGCTCCAGCACCAAGACCGCCGGCTTGGACGAGGGATTTAGATATGGCGCCAGGAGCGAGGGAGTTCTTGCGGGGCTTCTTGGCGACTTTTTTGCTTTCTTCGTTGAACATGTCGGAATGAGTCTTCAACTGGAAATAGAGATAGCCAATGTAAACCACCAAGAGAATGACGGCTGTTCCGCGAGACAAACCAGCAATGGAGGTCTGTGGCGTAGTGCTGAATTTATCGAAACATGTTGGGATGATCACGCTGCCGACAGCTAGGGCGAGTAAGCTGGCTGCAGTCTGGGCAACTGTTACGTTGAAGAATTGCTCTGTGCGTCTAAGTCCACCGAAGAAGAAGCACATTCCCATAACGAGAAGCAAATTGGAGAGAATACTGCCAATTAGGGACGTCTGGACAACGATGACTTCGTCTTTGGTGAGGGCAATGATAGCAACAATCAGTTCAACGGCGTTACTGGAGGAAATTAGTAGAGTTAAAACTGGAGAAAGGGGTGGCATACCCAAAAGAAGCATTCAAAAGACCACCCAAACTTTCACCAACGTGGAGAGCAATCTCTTCAGTAGCAAAGCTCAGCATTCCAGCCAACGGGATAATGGCAATAAAGTTGACGACGAAGACAACCTTGCCATCAATACCGGCATAGTTGAGCGCAATACCCACCGGCGCAGCAAGTAACAGGATATTGATCCACGAGTTGAAGATAGTGGCCTGCAACTGGTTTCTGAGGGTATACGGCTTGTGCTTGAGGTCCTTGCCCTTGTACCAGGGCCTCTTCTTCGGCTTGTCGTCGTCCTCTGGCTCCGGATTCTGTTTGTGGAAGAGATTGAATCGGTTCCTCGGCTTCGTGTCTGTGTTTGACTGAATTGTTGATTGTCTCTCCACCGCTGTTTCCTCGCTCTCTGCTTCCCTGGATGGCTTTCCATTTTGGCCCGCTCCCGACATAGATTGCTCGTTTTCCTTCGATGCTCTCCGTGCGCCATTGTCACTACCACTGCCGAATCTTGAAGAGGGGAATGCTGGTTCTGTTTGGACGCCTGATAGTGGCGAGCCGCATTCATCTCCCTCCACGATGCCGTCTCTCTCACATTGCTCAATATCCTTTTCGCGTGTCGGCGGCGTCGTCCATGTCGCCCGGCGCTGTCCTATGTTCTTGCGGAACGGGTTCCAGGAGTCGGAGTACCATGCTTCTTTTCGCGCAGCGCGCTTTATCGAGTCTAGATTCGGCATGATAGTAAGCAAACGAATTAAGGAAGCGCAGAGCCAGAAGGCATGCGTGCGCGCTATGCGCAGGGAGAAAACTGACGCATATTGAATTGAGACATGTTGGGCTGATGTGTTTGTTGTACAAGGGAAAACTAGAAGAAATGCCGCAAGGGAGGCAGGTAGTGAGGTGGTGCGCGCTGATTGGGGAGCACTGCAGACGTCCGAGCGAGGCAGAGTGGCCGTTGCTGGGCTGGGCGTGTGCGTCGGACAGCGGCGTGGTGCTGCGGAGGATTGTGATCTCGTGCGATGACTGCTTCAGGACCAGATCTCTGGTATGTCTCTTCTCTGCTGCCACAGGCTGCTCAAATACGATCAGTCCAGTTCAATGGGTTCAGCCGCGGCGGTCGCGGGGCCTGCGAGAGTACGCACTGCGTGTCAAGCTGGAAGCCTCTTCGTTGACACAGCCTCGCGCTGGTTGCGTGGAAATCGGCCTGTTGGGGGCGGAGCAATGGAGCTTCGCGTGGTCGGTGGAAAGCCGTCTCAAGAGCCTCGCGGCTGTCACAGGAAGGATATTCGGTACGCCGGCCCGCCTGAATTGATATCGCGATGCTGCGAGGTGGAGGTGAGAGACGTTGAGGTTGGAGCTGCGAAGGGCGCGCAGCGTTGAAGATTGAAGATGGCACGGTGTTCTTGTAGCTGGCAGCTGTTCCGACCCAATTTCGCGACAGCCTCTTGGCAGGCTTTGCACTGCCACCCTCGTTCGTCTTGGCGTGCCTCTGGAATTCCCCAAGATTGCTTTTCCAACTGGCACACGTATGTGCTAGGAGGGAGACAAGAGGAGTGGATTCTTTGTTAAAATAGGAGCTGACGCCTGCAATAAGATATGTACTTCGTAAGTACGGATACGCAACGCAACACAACACTTCCCCCTTCTGTCCCTGCGTGCTCGCGACCTTTATCCCTCGGTGCTCATGGAACCCTCTGACCGCATCGTCCTCTCCTGCTTCTCCTGCCATGACGGAGCGCTGCATCTATCCAAAACGCCCGATTAACCAAGAAAACCGGCGACTTGGCCAGCTTGGCAAACGATGTTGAACCGCCGTCATAAGCACTACAAGCACTACAAGCAATTCCAAGCCCAGCACTAAGGTCCACGACTCAGGAACGTCGTCTTGGATTCGTGGGGGAGCAAAGCTTGCCCGAAGCGGTGTATCTGGATGCCAGCCAGTGCCAGCCACACGATTCCACTGCCAACGCATCATTGTGCAGAGATCTGCCAGTCACCCACCAATCAGAGTTCTGCGTTTTTTTGACTTTTCAAACGGACCGTGCCCGTAAAATCAGCTATGGATTTGTGGCTGGGTTCAGTGGGTTCTGAACAGATGGTGAAACATATGCGTAACCCTTGTCACACCACGTGACAAAGATCACGTGTAGGGCTCCCCTCAAGGCTCTTTCGAGGTGCCATTTGTCACGTATCCTTGTTCTTCCTACATGCCGGAGCGTCAAAAAGCCGGTGGCTCAGTTCAAGACGTGGAAAGGCAGTCCCATACCGAGTAAAGTATGAGTTGGAGCCTAGCTGTTTGAGATTTGAGTTTACAAGTCAGGCAGAATTTGGAATTTCTCTTCGGTGTCGTCAATGTAATCCTTCGGCAACCGCATCTGCATGGGGCCGAAGTCGTGACACCTCGATCCTGCTATCTCCGAAGGCATCTCGTCGTCAAGGCTGCAAGCACCCGTCGAGTCTCTTACGGCCAGTTTGGAACTATTCACTTTGAGCCGAGAGTCTGTGAAAGTCTCAGAGAGTCAGAAGTTCTTGGAGCCCAGGTTGACGGTAAATTCCTCATCAACTATATTGTGAAGGGAGCACCATATGAGTGTCCCAAGCTGGGCACGTACATTTGGTGCGGCACCTCGAACCTGGCACTCGTGAAAGGAACAAAGTTGGATAAATCGAGATTGCTTTATGAAGCGAGACAAGCGACATAGAAGTGACCTTCGGACATATATTGATATAACGAAATGATGGACGACCGCTTCACTTGTTATATATCCCTTCCCCTTTTTTCGTTGCTTCTGAGTATCCTATCGTTATTCCTGCCTGATCGCTCCTATTGCTGCTAAGTCCTCCCAACCCGTTCCTTACAATAATACTTTTCCTCTCTTACTTTCCCGTAAGCAGCGTTCCATTCCAGCTCCTCCTTCTTTGAATTAAAAATCCGAGTTCGTATCCGCACTTTTTGTACACCACTCATTATTGTCGGGCCCTGCAAGTCGGTCGTAAACTCGCCTCGCCGCAAGATTCGCATGCGGGTATAACATAATTTCCCTAGTCCCAGGAACAGCGTCCCAACTAGCCACCTACCCCAGGGCAATTTTCCTTATAATTTATCCACGTAATAAGTCAATTGCTTAGGCCTGCGATAATTCAGCACTTCCACGCAGTGCAGGCTAGAAACCAAGGGCTTCTCATGCTCTTGGGCTAAGACTGAATTAACCAATGGTGTTTTGACGCGCTGAGAGCGTGTCCAATGCGTTAATCAACACCCCTCAGGACAGTACATCGTCGACTCGCCCTCAAGATCCAAATATAACTGTACAAGCACGAAGCAATCAAATCTACAAGCGTGGTTAGGCTCTGGACAGGAACTAGAGCTTACGGATACGAGTAGAAGCGATTACAGAAGTAGTGGGCCTTATCTATATAAATAAAACACGTCCACAAACGAGTCGATAAATACACATACCGATTTGAGATTAGAGAACCTTCTCTCTAGATACGCTTACGAATTTATTCCCTCTCGATACGTGCGAGCCGTATATCGCATTAGATCGAGAATATAACCTGCAAACGGTCCTTTACTACAAGGCAAATCAAAATACAATATTTAAGTCAAGAGAATTATTAGATAAGGGCTTTGGAACCTCCGGCAATAGCGATAGAGTAATAAAGTAGGGCCTAGGTGGCATAAACAGGAGTATAGGGAGAAAAGGGTTTTATAGCTGGACTCTAGTATATTTCTTGGGTAACTACAGGTATAATTAATATATATAGGACAAGGGGGCCCTAATTATAACTGTATAAAAAGCAATGGATTCTTGGGACAGCTGATTAGTTTCTAGTTACGAACTTGATAAAGGACACCCTCTCTTACCCTCTCGGGAGGCGTAATAAAGGTATGTGGAATACGTTAAATAAATAAAGGAATTGGGAGGCCTGGACTAAGCTATACTAGAGGATGGTGTTCGCAGACGTGCGTAAAAGAGATTGAATTTAAGAAGTACGGCTAGTCACATTTGAGCTGGTCCGCCAGCTGTAATTCCGTTATAGAGTGTCCGTTTTGAATAAAGCAGAACAGGGGGGACAAGTACTGAGGTTTTACTATGTGTGGGAGCCCTCTCAAGGGCTATACTCTGAGGAGTAAGACTTGCTTGAAGGAAGCCTGTATATAGTACGTCTACATAGCGCTTCTGGCAGCTAAATGACTATGGAACACCCAAAAAAAAATCAAAAAAAATCAAATGCTTAGATTTTGATCGCTGCTTGAAAAAGTGTAACCCCTGGTCACGTGGTTTTGGTGAAATGGGTGAGAGTTGAGGAACAGGGTTAGAGAAAGTTATATGGGGGAGGGGGATGGCTTTGAGAACTGCAAAGGTATTGCACACGGCAGTATACATATCATGGTACCCGAGAACGCTTCGGTAGAGAAAATGCAGATGTGTATAGTGTGTTAAATATTTTGATTTGATTTGATTAAAGCCTCCTAAACAAGTCAAATCAAATCAAATCAAGTTGAAATCAAGGTAATCAAATTATAATCAATTGTAATCAATTCTACTTGATTCTAATTAATTAGCTTTGATTATTTTTTTCACACACAGGATGTGCATGCAGTGCCTAATAGGGAAGGCACTAGAGATGGAAGTGCTTTGAAAATTGGAAGGAACTCCGAACGTATTCAAGAATACTGATACCACGAGTAGGAAGCAGGTGAATTAGAGTTTTTTTGGGGAGTGTGAGGAGTGAATTCTTTCCCTTCCAACTTCCTAGTCGTTTATTAGAGGGAGGGGGGGTAAGGGGTAAGGGAGAAGGCTGATGAGAATATATACGGCTGTTATGTCAATCATTGATGGGAAGCCGGAGACGGCTTTGTTAAGGGAGGGCTGCTTTGCAAGACGGGAGTGGAGCTGCCGAAGCCAGTGGTGGAGGTGTTTTGCGGAGGAGGGAGAGTTGGGAGGTCCCTGTTCAGGGGGCGAAGATTATAGAAAAGGTGTTCAAAGAAGCAATTTCACAGCTTCCATGGAGTGTAAATGATATATCTGACAATATTGCTGACTTTCAAGAGCTGTTAGCTGGGAGTTGAGATTTCTTCTAGAACAGCATTTGCTTTATGGACCAGTAGCTACTAAGATAGGGCGAAATGCAGCGAAATGTGGCAAAATTGGGTCATTCGTCATGGTTTTTCTTTCTCTTCAAGGCTAAACAATTACATAAATAAGGGTATTTAGATTTCTTTTAGTGAGAGGTAATGTGACAGCTATTTATATAACCTGCCGCAAATATTACACGAGGGGAAATGCAGGCTTGGTAATAATACTTAATTTCGGTATTAATTCGGATTAATACCAGAACTATAAGGTATTAATACTATTAATACTAGTATTAATTCTAAGTAAGCTAATTCTAGTATATTTAAGATTCTTGGTATTTTTAAGGCTTTAAAAGAACTAATTATATTAAAGATATTATTTAAGAAATTATAAACTCTTATATAATTTTTATAAAATATTTCTTATTAAGTAATTATATATAATATAACTACTTTACTAATTTTATAAAGAGTTTTTCTTATAATATTATATTAAGTAAAGTATTTTTTTCTTTCTTATAATTATTATTATTAGCTTTTTTATATATTTTTTATATTTTATATTTCTGTGAGGTGTTTATTAGTAAGCAATAAGATAATAGAATGAATTAGTGTATTGTGAAACCATAGTATTAAATTCAGTACAAAACTAATCTCTGTCCTTCCTATAAGATCCAGGGAAGCCCCCTCTAAATAGGAGACCCCGATGGCATATATATAATTAGTAATTTATAAGCCTAATATATATAATATAAATAGTAGTTAGTTAGGATATTAAAGGGCTACTAAACTCCCTGATTAATACCCGTAATATCCGAGGTTTGTTATATGCCCTTAAGTCACGTGCGTTCCTATATATATTATAACTATACCCCTTTTCTAGGATCTTGTTCCCAAGATCTATTAATTTATTCTAGTAAATATTTAATTAATTATTTATTTAATTAACGTAAACTTCTAGTATCTTGGGAGGTGGTTTTGCTAATATAATCTGGATAATGGATATAAAAATTGTCTAATTAGATTAGGGCTAAGTAAGCGAGAAGAAAGAATAATTATACCCCAGATATAGGGGCTAGCCGGTAATTATGATTTTATTTGGGATCTAAGTATTCTAATTAGCTCGATCCAAAGTACTAAGGCGCTATCTTATAAAACTAATATTACCTATCAGATCTCATATTAGAATAATCTAAATAGCTATATGGAAAGTATTTAATAAATATTTATATGAGAAACCTATATAAATATTTCTAAGGTCCTAGAAATTATTTGCGGGCTTCTGGGAGCATATATTAATCGGTTATACTAGTTTCTAATTAGGACTAGTGCGAAAACTAGTAGTTAATTTAGGTAGTTCTTTACCTCTATAAAAGGATCTCTTTATATTACTATGCGCTCTCTTTCTTTCTAATAATTATATATATAACTTTTTCTATTATTATTTTCTAGCCTCTTTTTTTGCCCTTCTCTAAGTTTTCTTTAATTATTTTTAATTAATTCCATAATATCTTCTTCTGGCTTTATTATCCATTCCTGTAATAATAAGCGCAAAGGTAATCTTGTAGCCTCCTTTCCTATTACTAGTAAATACTTGAAATATTTTAAGTATTTGCTTATTAATTCTTTTACCTTATATATTATAGTACCTGGCAAGAAGAATTATAACTATTATAATAAGGGTTCTAAGTCTTATATATTAGTAAGTTCTTTAGCTTTAATATTTATTAAAGCTAACGTAATTTCAGATTCCTTATTATTTATTAGAGGCTTACTAGTCCTAGAAAAATACTATTATAACTTTTAAGAAATTTCTTAAAGCATATCCTAAATAGTATTATACTAACAAGGATAATACTATTAATTGGGTTTTTAAAGACTAGAAGAATACTAATAAGCTTCGGAATTCTTTTTCCCGTCTTAATAAGGCAGATAATAATATTACTTAGGTTAGTATTCCAA